CCCCCTCTCCCGGCCGCTCACCGACGTCGCCCGCCGCTGCCCCAGCCCCCACACACCACGCCACGCCACAGGAGCAGGAGAAGAGCACCCCATACTCGCCCCCGCCACCCATCGCCGTATCCATCGCCCCCCACCCTCACCCTCACCCCATCCGCCACGCACCGATGCACACAGCAGAGCAGCTGCCCCCTGCCGGATACTACCGGCTGAAGACGTCTGTGGCGGAGTGGGGGGAGGGAGAGACTGGCTACTACGCCAGCCCGCTGACGCAGTGGGACACCGCGTTTTGGGAGAGGAGGGGGGCCGAGTGGGTGACCTGCAAGCAGCCAGCGGAGGATGTGTGTTGTTGCGTGAGGGTGGCCAGGGGGGTAGCCAGGGGGGCGAGGAGCGCGTATGCGCACATAATGGCGATGGCTAGAGAATTCGTCGAGAGCTGCAGCCCCGACACGGCATAGAGCTGCCGTTGTCGGGGTCTGCCAGCTGCTTCGTCGACGCCATCCCATGGGGCAAGAGATAGATAGAGTGAGCGGTGCGGCGGGTGCGTGAGTGAGGTGTGCGCGTGTGGTGTGGTGGAGGACGGATGCAGCGATCTGATAGCTGAGAGAGGCCACACAGACAGACAAGACAGACAGACAGACAGACGACAGACGCGCCACGGCACGCCTAGAGAGCTGCCGTGGCGTGCCGTGGCGGCTGCCTTCCTTCCGTGGTTGGTCGAGCTGCCTGCTTGCCTTGTTGGACGGGTGGGATGCGTTCATGGGTGCATGTCATGGTGGCTGTCTCGTCGGTCTCGTTCGTTGGTGCATGGTGGGCGTACCTTACCTGCGGCAGACATGGATGGCGTGGAGGGGGCGACCGAGTGAGTGACACACCGGATTGGCTGACTGACTGACTAACTGCTGGACGTACTGCTGGCTGGGCGAGGTGGTGTTTGATGACGTGATGTGTGCGCTGTCGTGACGTGAGTGAGGTCGACTGTTTGGCTGCCAATTTGGCATGGCAGGTGAAGAGCAGAGAGGCGGGCGAACGGGCAGGCGGGCGGGCGATTGGGTGAGCTCTGTGTTGGCGGGAGGCAGGCCAGACAGAAGGGGTGGCTGTGATGTTGTGTGGTGGGGTTGGTCGTCGGGCCCGGCCCGACTCGACTCATGAGCGGCGTTCGCGCCACCCACTAGTGTCTGTTCCTTTCTGTCCTGATTAGAGGTGTTTTAAGCCAGCCATTTTGTGCACTAGCTATATAGATGAGTAGAGAAGTCTCCGGCCCTCTGTCTGTGCTGTGGCCATTTCAATCGTATACCCACCGTACTTTCCTTCCTGGACACGACGACACACGGCACACCGGCACATATTCTCTATATCAATCAGGTCAGTCGATCACACACACACGGACGAACGAGTGCATCAGCATCTGGCTATATATGTGCCTATCTCCCCGTGTGTGTGTGTGTGTGTGTGTCTGTGTCATGTGACTTGCAGGTCACTGGTCAGGTCCTCATTGCCTAACGAAGCCGACGTATTCTGACGCCCTCTTCCTCCATCAACGCTCCACAAGGTACGTATGCCACACACATGCACCGAATATGCCTTCGCCTTCACGTGTCTCTCTTCGTGTGTGTTTATGCCATTGGTTGCAGATTTCCCTCACAGGCCGTCTCCAGCCCCCACGGGCCATGGGAACTAGACGCGATCCGCGGACCCACCGATTTCATCCTCCGTGACCTTGTGGAATGGTTGGCTGTCCTTGGAGCCCACGGTCCCATAACGAGTTGTGGCGAAGCTGAGATCTGTTTCCCGCGGGTTGGCAATATCACGCCGATACTGCTGCGCAACGTCCGAGTTGAAGGATCATCTATCGAGGGGTCCGCAAGAGGCCTTCCTGACGCCCCTGAAGGGCCAGATTGTCGAGTGGTATCCGTCACACACCCCCGCCACGTCCCCTGACTCCCTCATGTCTGCCGGCATGGGCGGGCCCTCCTCGCCCAGCAGCCGGAAGGACAGCTCGCCCAGTGCGGCCATGCAGCAGACACTCACGTCATTCTGCCCGCCAGAGGGGCTGTGGCTCTATCGCGAAGAGCAGGGGTGCCCCGGACCTGTCTTCTTCTCGACGGTGCTATGGGGACTGTCGCGGCGGGCCTACGTGTGCTGCCTGATGGTGTGGGAGCCGCGGGCATGGCCGTGGGATATCGACCATGGCGAGATGCAGAGGAGCGGCTTGATCGACGGCATGGTCGCAGTGACGGAGGACTTGCTCGAGACAGCCCTGCGGGTGCCTCCATCGTCTATGTGCCGACGTGCCTGTGCTTCATGACCCGGCAGCCGCTGATCAGCTCCCTCAAGAGTGTCCTCTATGAGCTCTACCAGCTGCAGCAGAGGACCGCCAAGGTGTCCTTCCTGCGGCAGCTGCTCAAGACACCCACCCGGCCAGCCCGTCGAGTGACCACTCTTCTGCTGCTATTGAGAGCACCATCGGCCGTCTCGTCGTCGACCTTAGCGGTGCTGGATTGGCCCGGCCGTCAGTCAAGCTGCACATCGGCATCGGTGACACACACCTGCGGGCGATAGATCTGCCGGGCGGTCGCAGCAACGGCGGCCGGGAGCTGAGCTATCGGGCGCTCTTCGCGTGTCTGAAGCTGGACCGCATCGTCAACGTCTTCACCCTGCTGCTGCCGGAGAGGAAGGTGTTGATGCTCTCGCGGCGGGTCTTTCTTCTGACCTATCTGGCGGAGCCAGTGCCAAGGCCGGACGGCCTTGGCGGTGGCCTTAATGCAGGCGCCGCCATCTCGGCCCCCACGCCCCGGTGTGGAGCTCGAGGACGCCATTCGTCCCGTCCAGATCATCTCCGGCGTGGCCCGTCGGAGCCGTACCACCGAGTCACCGCAGTTTGGCCGCTACCCCCTGCCTGCTGCCAAGGGTCCCCGCGCCGGTTCGTTGGTGTCGCTGGGCGAGCGAGACGAGCTGAAGCCGTTGGGAGAGCGCCATTTGTGGTGATGTCCATGGAGACAGAGGATGGCGACCAGGGCAACGGCGCAAAAGTCGTGCTGGAGGAGGAAGGTACGAGACCTACACACACATACATATGGCGGAGGTCATATCATCTCTTGTCATGCTCTCATGGCTGTCGTGTGTGTGTGCAGGTGTCGTGGGTTTGTGTCAGGCCGCCAGTGGGCCCTAGTCACTCGGTGATCGACGGGCGAGGCCATCCGGCAGACCCATTGGTCACAGCAGCCCACGCACGAAGGCCATTCGAGAGGTACGCACGTATGACCACACGCAAAGGACGTGCTCATCTCGCGTGTGCACATACTTGTATGTCTCTGTCTGTGTGTGTATCTGTTGGTGTGTGTGTTTGTCTGTGTGTGTAGGTGGAGGCGATTGGCTGTCTGTCTGGCTGGCTCGGGCAAGTCATTCCTCCGGGAGTGCGTGCCTTCATCGGCAAGTCATTCCTCCGGGAGTGCGTGCCTTTCGGCAGCCCTTCTTCGCCACCACTCCATCCCTGGTAAGTGAAACACAGCACGCGCAGACAGACAGAAAGACAGACCTACCTGCATCTTGGATGAATGGACGGGTGCATCTGTCTGTCTGTGTGTGGGATGTGTTTATGAATGCATTCAGGTGCCGTGAACGGCAAGCCCAGCACCACCGAGCCCCCCTCTGGAGGTGTGAGCGTAACGCCATGCCCGTGTGCAGACGACCAGTGGGACAAGGGCGCTCGGCTGGTGTCGCCACCACCGCTGCTGCCTCAAGGGCACGACGTGGTTGTGGGCAGTGAGATGGACGACGAGGCGTTCTTCGACGAGGCAGCGGAAGATATCATGGCGATCCTAGAGGACGCTGTCATGTCTCCACAGGACAAGACCGCAGCCTCCGGCAAGGCCGACAGTGCCAGCCGGCCGGCGAGTGTGGTCGACAAATGCGTGTCGCTGGACCTGAGTGAGGCGTCGCCCTCTGACCACGCCACACCCACACCTCCCCCAGCCATCCCTTATGCGACCATCACCCCGGCCCCTGATGTCGCTGATGTGCCCACAGCCACCCCCTTTGACGACACAAGGAGACTGGCACCGGACGACGTGATTGAGGGAGAGTCACAGCAGCCATCGGCAGCTGTGCCGGAAGCGCCCAGACCCACACCCGTTTCAACTGTGGATGCTGCCACGAGCGCGGCGCCGGAGCAGGCAACGGTCTCGACAAGCGCCCTCGCCGAGCCGACAGAGGCGCAATCCATGGCGGTCGAGGGCCCCGACAACAAGCCTGTGCGGGAACTGACTCTTAAAGAGGTCGATCGGTTGCGTCTCGGGCATGAGGACATCGTTGTATCGAGACTGGGCGGCCTCCGCACCAGCATGTCGTTCTCCCTCCCCCCGTCTTCTTCCCCCCACCCCACGGCGCTCCTCTTCATGCCGCGACGCCATGGCCTCTCCCGTGTCGCCATCTGACGAGGGCCAATCTGTGCAAAGGAATTCCTTTGATGATCTCACTGAGGAGCCCCCTGTGTACCAGCACGCCCCTGCTCCTACCGATCCGCCTGGTGATGACCAAGGGCAGCGGGATGCTGGGGACGGGAGGGCTAGCGGCGAGGAGGGGAACGACCCGCCAGACGATGTGCCCGCAGCGTCTGTGCCCTCTCCCCCGACGAGAAGCACCCCACCCACCACCCACCACCGACCACCCACCGCCACCACGAGAAGAGGCCCCCGCGCCGCCATATGTAGACAGACGGGGGAGGATGGCTGTTTTTTGTTTTCCGTCAGCGGCCCTACCCGTTGCCTTTTCCTCTCCTTTCTTTTCGTCCCTCCGTATGGTGCGGACACTGTTTTGTCGTATTCTTTTCGTCCCTCCGTAGGGTGCGGACACTGTTTTGTCTTTTTCGTTTCGTCCCTCCGTAGGGTGCGGACGCTCCCTTTTCGTTCGTGTGCGTGGGTGTGGTGTGTCGCTGTCTACTGCCCGTCTGTCTACTTCTTATGTGCGTCGGCGGTGTTCTCGTTGACCGAAACAATCGGTTGGTGGTGGTGGTGGTGGTGGTGCTTGTCGGGGGCGGGAGGTCGGTTGGTGGAGGGTGGGTGGATGGATGGATGGTGTCGGCCCGGGGCTGGCCATGGGTGTGGGTGGCCTGACGTCTGTCAGAGTGTCGGTGTAGACATCGGCATTGTCTGGTACTTTCTGGTTGCGTACTTATTTGTGAATGACTGGCTGCCAGAATGGATGAATGAGGCCCATGCCTGCCCGTTGACTGACTGTGATGCAGCCAGCGTGTTGTGGGGGTAAGGGACTTGCTGGGGCCTTTGTCCGCGCAAGTGTCCGCCGTCAGAAGGCCACGGACGGGCCTTGCGGCTGGCTGGTCGACTTACTGGCCTCTCAGGGGCGCGTGTGTGGACGATATACAGTTAAGCTGTGGTCGCCGCGTGAACCTGGGATGTGCCACTCGAATGAAATGAGTGTGTTTGTTCTGTCTGGCTTGGTGGCTGGCTGCATCGGTCGGTGTGTGTGTCTGGATAGATGGATGGATGACAGACGAATTCACTATCATGTGGTGACAATCGTGACCCATGCTTCGTGGATGTGCGAGATGCGTGTAGAGGCGTGAGCGTAACGCCATGCCTGTGTGCATCCATGTCGACTTACTCCTACTGACTGACTGCGTATGTAATGTATTTTGGGTCCACGGCTCATTCGACTTACTCCACTCACCCACCATGTGCTGTTTGGATGGATGTATAGGCTTGCCCCACTGCACCCACAGACTCCCTGACCTGACCCGACCTGTTCTCTAGACAGGCGTCCGTCCACAGGGAGAGGAGAACAGCCGTTTCTTTATCGTGTGCTTTGGCCTGAAACACTTCCTCCTGTTTGTCTGCACCAGCCAGATGTGTTCATGTGCAGAGAGACGCAACACACACATACCAACCATCCACTGACTGTGTGAATGGCCACATGCCAGTGGATCCCTTTGTCATCCAGCGGTTTTGCTTAGCGCCCCGCGACACGCCCACCCACTCAGGCACACACATGCCGACACGAAGCACAGCCTTCTCCTGCTGCGCAGGAGCACTGCTCTTTCCGCCGCTGTTTTTCGTCGCTGGCCGCGTTTTTCCAGCCTCCGCCGGACACCACAACTGCGCTTTCGGCCCATCAATCATCCCATCGACAGCTCCTTGTGCAGCCGTACCTGCCCTGACTGACATCAGGCATCCACATGCATCCTGCAGGGAGGTACCGACTTTACTCCGGGCTCTTTGCCCCCAGTCTATGGGATGGCGGCCCGCATGCATTCGCTGTGCCTGTCTGGCTGTTTGTCTGTCTGTCTTGGTCTGTCTGTCTGTGCAGCTGCTCTGAAGGAGAGCCTCTTCAAGGAGAGCGACGGCCTGCTTCAGTCCATCCGTCAGCAGCACACACACGCTCTCACACACGGGTGCTCATCTCATTCACACGCCTTCTTGTTTGTCCACCCGGCCCACCGACGTGCTGCAGGCCAGAGTTGCGCTGACAAGAGCAAGCCGCTGCCGGATGCTCGTCTGTACGGCCTCAACACGTGCGCCAAGTTCATATGGCGGTGCGGGAGGGACGCCGGGCTGCAGCACCACATGCCCGCCATACTGGTGGGCTGGTGGACGGGGCGGTTGACCGGTGCACTTCCAGCAGGCCCTGGCCATCCAGCTCACCTGATGGATTGATGTCCGCTCGTGTGTGTGTGTGTGTGTGTGTGCAGAGGAGCGGGTTTGGGTTGTTCCAGAAGGACGAGTCGAAGCGCGTCAAGAGGGCGGCGCTGTATCTCATGCTCGAGGTCATCAAGTGCAACGCCAGGTGGGTCTGGGGTTCTGTGGGTGAGTGTGGGTGTCCACGCACAGCCAGACAGCAACAGGTACACGTGTCTTGTCTGGACTGGATGTGTGTGGTGTTTGGCGGGTGTCAGGTGCGGCAGCCCTCTGAGTGCCCAGGAGATGGAGATCGACAAGCACATCGGCAGACTCATGGAGGAGCTCAAGTCGTTCAGGACCAAGATGGGCCCACAGGCACAGGGCGCCCTCTACGCTCTCTTCGGTGCGCATGGCACATCACATCCACACACCTCCCTCTCATGGACATTCAACCTGCCTCTGTGGTGTGTATGTGTGTGTTCAGCTGGCATGATCGACCTGTATGACAATCACTTCTCCCCCCAGCAGCTGAGGGACATCGCCAGCACCATCAAGACGGTACGGTACGCACGAACCCACTCAGGGCATGGCTCTTCGTCCACAAGGCGTGCACCATGCATGTGTGTCGGTCGTGTGTGTCTTTCCCTGTCGCTGTGTGCAGGTTATGGAGTCCTCAATGTCGAATCTCTCCAAGGGCTTCGAGCCGTCGCTTATCGAAGGTGACTCAATGTAATGTCATCCCACAGAGATAAGACACACCCACTGCTCGCCTCCTCGTCTGTGTCCATCAGGCGTCATGAAGGGCCTCGAGTCCCTCCTCCACAGGTATGCATGCTGCCTCCCCAGCCCAACACGCCGCCATGTGCATCCGCACGGACCTCTCCGTCCGTGTGTTTGTCTGGATGGGATGAAGGCATGCCGACGCCTTCTTCCCGGCCGACCAGCCCGACCACGAGAGCCGCCAGAGGCTGTACACCTTCATAGAGGGCACGGCCAACTACGTGCAGGGGTCGGGAGGATCACTCGCACCCATGGTCGGCAAGCTAAGCACGCCACACACAGATAGAGGCGCGAGGATCAGTCACCCTTCTCTCTGTGTTGGTGTGCAGAAAGCCGCCATGTCAGTGTTGCGTCGACACGCCCAGCTGTTCCGCGGCCAGCTGCTGGCCGAGCTGAGGGCGGTGCCGGCATACCGCAACAAGCGGCAAGAGGAGAGGCTGGCGGCGCGGGAGGCTGCCAAGCAGGCCAATGCGGGTGAGGCTGCTGCGGCGGCCGAGGGACAGCCGGCGGATTGGCAACTGAAACGGCACACCGCCGGCCCTCAGCCGGACACTGACACACAGAGCAACAGGCAGGCAGGCAGAAGGACAAGACAGTGTTTGAACACATGAATGGATGGTCTCTTTGCTCGCTTGTGTGCGGGGTGCGCATCGTTGCTGCCATGGTAGCCCATAGAAGCTATGTGCAATCCCTCCTGCAATGAACGGAAACCACCAGAAGATAAGATGCCACAGAACAAGACGCATCCATCCATCAGCCAGATTCCTTTCCTCGCCTGCTCTTCTGCGTGGCCGGCACTGCCCGTACCATCCCATCCCTCCACCTGCGTACCATTTGGCCTCCGACAGCCAGGGGGAGGGGGAGGAGGGGGAGTGTCGTCAGTGGGAGGGCGAGAGGGAGGGTAATTAACTGTGTAGGATGGGACGTACACACCATCCATTTGTGCCTTGCTTTTCAATTGTGCTGTCTTAGTTCAGCCACTCATGTTTGCTCATTCGATGACAGATGACAGATGACAGATTCATCCATCGTGTCGACGTACTCATACGTACATGGCTCCTGCGTCTCACAGCCACAGACGAGCGACATGGCCAGCCTTTTGCAGCCTGGCCACGCGGCCTCATTGTTGGATATCCTCAGCCATCGAGCGGAAATCACTTGTGTTGTGGTGGCAGCAACGCCGTGGTGGCGCTTCTCCTTGGCGGCAGAGGCAAAGTAGGACGAGGGCACCTCAGACATCTTGCTAATGGGGCTTCAAATGGGGCTGCGAATGGCGAGAGTATTGATAATCAGATGTGTGGCTGCTGCCGACTCACATACAGGGCGATAGCATCGTGATGGCAAGAACCAGGCGTCCCAAGAAAAGGGGTGAAGAGAGAAAAATGTGGGCCGGAGTCGAGAATTTCGCGATGGAGGCGAGACGGCGATCCTTCCGAACCATCCCGAACCTCGATCGCCACACAGGTTCCAAACCTCCTTTCCGCTCATATTAGAGCACAGCTTCAGCCACCACAGCTCAATTCATTTTCTGACCGCAGCACGCGTGCTGGAATCCCAGTTGACGGTGGCACTTGACGAAGCGACCGTGGCGGCGGCGTTAAGAGGCAGTTTCGCCAACAGGTACGTCAAGACACCGTTGGCCTTGACGGCTACACCGCATGCCTTGCCTTGCCCTCAGGCTGATAAGCCACGGTGAGGTCCCAATGAGTCGCACAGTGACGCAAAGGACCTGCAGTGGCCGCCGGTTCAGCTCGATTACGCCAGTTTCGCCGGCTGCTTTGCGACAAAGAGGAGCGGAGAGGGGAAACACGAGTGAGTCAGACACCATGTAGAATGGGCACTTCTTTGTGCAGTTGTGCTGCCTTGTTTTGCAGTCGAGAACTTCGCGACCAAGAAGTCGCGGCGCTCTGTGCTGCTGGCCATTTCGTCGTATAGTACAGTCCTCACTCATTCTGTACGCACCTGCATTGCTGCCCACAATGCACCGTCGCCCCCCGGTGGCCATCGTCAGGTCAGTCGATCACTCACACACAAGGCGAGCATGTGATGTGCCCACATCTCCCCGTGTGTGTGTGTGTCATGTGACATGCAGGTCACTGGTCAGATCCTCACTGCGTAAGGAAGCCGATCTATTCTGACGCCCTCTTCGTCCATCAACGATCCATAAGGTATGTGTGCCACACACATGCACAGCCGAATATGCCCGCAGCTTCACGTGTCTCTCTTCGTGTGTGTGTACCATGGCTTGCAGATTCCCAGTGCCGGCAACGAAGCCAATACACTACTCATTTGTCCGTCCTGCACACACCGCCACCGCCATAAGGTGTGCTCATTTAGACCACGCAGAGAGTACCCACTCACTCACGTCTCTCTGTGTGCGCGTCATGGCTGCAGTTTTCCTCTGCCGATGCGCTGACCGGTCGGCGATCGTCCGCCCTCACGCGCACACACCACCAAAGCACCGGCGTGGCATAGAGCCGCCGTTGTCGGGGTCTGCTAGCTGTTTTGCCGCCTCCATGGCCAGAGATAGAGAAGTGGATTGGGTGGTCGTGTCTGTGTGTGTGGGGGGTGTTTTCTAAGAGAGAGGAGAGCGCGCCATGTGTGTTTGCCTGCATGTCGTTTGTCCGACAGTGCCTGCCTGTCTGCCTGTCTGCCTGCCTATTTATCTGTCTGTCTGCGTGAGCCGTGATGTTGTGCGTGCAGCCTTTTGCAGAGAAGAGGGAACTGCATTGGGCGGGTCAGTTGGTGGTGCTTAACCAGTGGATGTCTGTCTGCTTGATGGGTCAGGGTGTCTGTTTGGGGTGCTTTCTAAGGTGTCTGCTGCCTGTTCCGCCGCCGTCCCATGGCAAGAGATAGATAGAGAGGCGGATTAGTTGGTGGTGGGCGTGCCTGTGTCTGCCACGGTGTGTGTGTTGGGGTGTTGTCACCAGAGAGGGGAGAGCGCACCTATCGATCTATCTATCTATCGATCCATCGTTCGTGGTGCACATTGTCACCCTTGTTTGTCCGGCTGCTCGTCTGTCTGCTTTGTTGGTCTGTGTGTGTGTCGGGGGTGTTTCGTAAGAGAGAGGGAGAGCTGGCGGCCTGTAATGTGATGCGTACACCGGCTCGGCTGGCAGACAGACAGGCAGACAGACAGACAGGCAGAAAGAGAGTCGGTGGGTCGGAGGCCACAGAGAGGCCGTGGTTGCGGTTGTTGGGGGGTGGATTGTGGGGGCCCGGCTCGGTTTCATCGAGCGGCCCTTGCAGCCATCCACTATCTCACCACAACCACACGCAGCCGTCAGAGATCGGATGGGTGGTGATGTAGTGGCGCCGTTTTGGCCACCAGTGTCTGTTCTTGTCTGTTCTGATTAGCGGTGTTTGAAGCCAGCCATTTTGTGCTCTAGCTAAAGATGAGTAGCGAAGTCGCGGCCCTCTGTGCTGCTGGCCATTTCGTCCTTATAGTATCGTCCTCATTCATTCTGTACGGACCTGCATTGCTGCCCACAATGCACCGTCGCCCCCCGGTGGCCATCGTCAGGTCAGTCGATCACTCACACACGAACGAGTGCCTGAGCATCTGGCTATGTATGTGCCTTTCTCCCCGTGTGTGTGTGTGTGTGTGTGTCATGTGACTTGCAGGTCACTGGTCAGTTTGCCATTGCATAAGGAAGCCCATCTATTCTAACCGCCCTCTTCCTCCATCAGTACGATCCATAAGGTATGTGTGCCACATACATGCCAAGCCGAATATGCCCTCAGCTTCACGTGTCTCTCCTCGTGTGTGTTTATGCCGTTGCGTGCAGGTTTCCAATGTCGTTAACGAAGCCAATATGCTACTCGCCGTCCTTTTCGCACTCTGCACACGCCACCGCCACACTAAGGTAGGTGGGTGTGGGCGTCAGTCACACACACATGCATGCACACCGAAGTACCTGCTCATCTGTCTACGCTGTGTCTGTGTCTCTGTCGCTCAGCAACCCGATCGCCTGCCTCCTCTTGCCCACAAGTCTCTGCCACACGCCACACAAGCCGAGATCGTTAAGCCGAGGCCGTCTTAAGGGTCACTGTGTCTGCTAGGGGAACTCATGGTGGATGTCACACTCGTGGTCTTTTGTAAGTGGGTAATCACTGCGTGACGTGACGTGACGTGTCGGGTGGCGTCTGTGTATTTTTTGTACCTACGTGTGCGTGAGCCGTGATGTCGTGCACGTGTGTGCGGCCTTTTGCGGAGAAGAGGGAACCGTCGATACTCCGATCTGCATCGGGCGAGTCAGTTGGTGGTGTGGTGGGGGTGGATTGTGGGGGCAGATAGTCGGTGGGGCGGCAAATCGCTGTCTACATTTTATATTTGTTTGGCTGTGTCTCACTTGTGAACGCACCACTAAGGCCGAGACGAAGGTGAGGCGGCTGGGGGCAGACAGACGAGATCAGAGAGAGAATTCAATGCAATTCAATCTGTGCCCTCCTGTGTATTCCAGACTGCCACGACCTGCAGCGTGACGATCCACAACGTACGTGTGCCCACGACACGGACGGCCGAATATACCCTCAGCTTCACGTGTCGCGCCTCCTGTGTATGTGCCATTGCTTGCAGGTTTCCTCCCTCCCAGTGCTGTGGTGCCCAACCAGCCGGCCAACCAACCAGTAACGAAGCCAATATACGTACTGCTCATTCTTCCTTCCACACTCTCTACACGCCGCCACCACCGTAAGGTACGTGGGTATGGGCGTCAGTCTCATGCACGCCGAAGTGCCTGCTCATCTCTACGTGTGTGTGTGTGTCCCCGACCCAATCGCCTCCTACTCTTCTGTCTATCACGCCCCCCACACACCCCACACACCACACGCCAAGCCAAGCCAAGCGAGAGAGAGAGAGAGAGACAACTCACGTGGGGGAAACTCAAGCGTATGTGCGTGGGGAATGGCTGTCTGTCGTGTCACATGGGGGGATCTCACGGGAACAGATGACACACACGTGCCCGCGATCGATGGATGGATGTCATTCGCTCGTGGCCTCCTGTAAGTGAGTAGTGAGTATGGATGGATGGATGGATGTGTGTGTTTGGTTGTGTCCTCTTTAGGCTGTGGCCAAGCCGCCATCGACCACCTCGGCCGCCGACCACCGCATCACCACATCCACAGCTAGTGGCGTCCCCCTCCCCCGCCCCCGCAGACACCACACCGCCCAGGGGAAGGCGTTGGCAGACCGCTGTCTACATTTTATATTTGACTGGCTGTGCGTCACTTCTCAATAAAGTCCCAAGAATGCATGGTGTGTATTTTTGGCACCTACGCTCCTGCACACTGACTCTGGTACTTACCTTCGGACGGACACACTGGGGATCCCACCCAATACAAGACAAAAAATTCACCATCAAGTGCCAGGTGGCGCATGAGCACACAAACACATCAGTCTCACGAACACACACACACACACACACACACACGGTCCGCACCACAACACATCAGTCTCACGAACACACACACAACAGATCAGATCGAAGTTAGGTACACGGAACAGATCGCGTCCATCAACCACATCACTCTACTCAGTCAGTCAGTCAGTCAGTCCACAAACGAGAGGGACGGGCGAGCAGCATACACACATCGATGCACAGTGATCGAACCAGCGGCTCGAGGAGAATGACTGACAGGGCAGAAAGAAAGAGCCCCTCTATAGAACACCCATCCATACCACCTAGCCTCTTCGACACCTTGAACTGCCCACAGCGGTGACCCACCACCCATGACGCGCCTCCTTCCCTTCTGGTGGAGCGTCCAGTCCACATGCGTCGCCATGCCTTGACCAGAGGGCTCGCCTCTCGAACTTTCAGAGGGTGGTGAGGCATTCTCTTCTGAGAGAACCAAGTATGGGGGACTCCACACAGAGAGCGAAAGAAATGCCTGCCTGCCGCCCCTGTACTCACCGTTGGCCGCGTGACGCGGGGAGGGCGACCCGACCCTGACGTGCCTCGTTTGCCCAAGCTGGCGGCACCCTCACTCTGCTGAGCGGCAGTCGAATAGCGAGGCCGACCGACATGCGCTCCAGCTTGCGGCAGCGTTGAATGGCACTCTGGACCTTGACCTTTCTCTCCAGCATGTTTTCACGTCCGCCTCCTCGCGCGTCGCCCAGCTAGGGAGACCCTCTCCCTCTTGAGCCGGCCAAGCGCTGACAAAAAGAGGCGAGCAGGCAGGAGAACAGCCGGACGCGGAAGACCGAGGAGGCGATGGAGACGCCGCAAGAGCTCCAGAAGGCATAGGGGGACGGAATCACACGCAACCGCAACCGACCGAATCGGCTCGTCGAGAGATCTCGACAGATCTTGGAAGCCGAGATCTTTGCTGATACTTGCCAGGTGGGCAGCACGGACAACAGAGAACTCAGGGCGAGGGACTCAAGTCAAGCTCGCAAAAGATCAGCAGATTTCAGATCCTTGAGTTTCGTGGAAGAAAGCCCTCCAGCACTAGACTTAGGTGCCGATTTTTCATCGCCAGCAAGCGACAAGGCGTTTCGGGCCTGGCATCTGCAGATTTCAGATGCTGCTGCGTCGGGCATTGAGCCATGGGTGGTCCCCTGGCACAGCGTGGCTGAGATGCATGAGTGTGGGCAGGAGCCGCCAGCCATTCCAGGAGCTGCTCCTGCCAATCGAGATCAAGACCGAGGTAGGTGTGCAGACAGACAGACAGAGCACCACACACACAATTATGCACTCACACAGAGGTTGACAAGTGCTTGCTTGGTCTGTCGATCAGTTCCCAGGTCCAGAGTCAGAGAGGCTCAAGGCCGAGTATGACCAAATCGGAGGAGGTCAGCACATAAATGCCGCAGAGAGGAGAGAGGGAGGGAGGCATCGTGTGTGTGTGTGTGTGTGTGTTCGTGTGTCCCGCATGGCTGGCTACTGCTGTAACATCCGTCCATCCACCATGGCTGCAGGCGGAGGTGCGGTGAAGTTCTTTGTTGACTTCGAGTCGAGTCAGGGCAACTACCTGGTAGACGCCGATGGGAACAGGATGCTCGACATGTACGGCCACATCGCATCCATACCCCTGGTCAGTCAGTCAGTCACATGAGACGAGAGAGACTAAAGCTGCTGTCTTGTGTTGTGTTGTGTTGTCTTGTGTTGTCTTGTGTTGTCTTGTGTTGTGTTGTGTTGTGTTGATGTGTCAGGGTTACAACCATCCCCGTCTGTCTGCGCTGTCTGAGCTGCCGCACATGAAGACGCTGCTCGTCAACAGGGCTGCGCTGGGCCTCATGCCGCCTAAGGACTTTGGAACCAAAGTACAGCACATAAGACGATATGTGATCGACTTGCCGTGTGTATCAGTGTCTGTGTCTGTGTGTGTGTAGGTGAAGGACATTCTGATGAGTGTTGCGCCGCCTGGCATGACCAATGTGCGTGTGAATGCACCGTACCCACCGAACCTGTGTGTGAGTCCTCCCTCTGTCACACACACAGGTGTGCACGATGGCGTGCGGCAGCTGCGCCAATGAGAATGCATACAAAGCAGGTAGGTCCAGCACGGCAACATGTCTAGGCAGGGCAGTCATCCTTTGCCTTTGGTCTTTTCTCTCCCTGTATGTCAGCGTGCTTCGTCTACCAGAGCAGGCGGCGCGAGGCTGAGGGCCGCGGCAAATGGGAATACACGGATGAGGACAAAGAATCCACACTGGTAGACGAACGAATGGCAGCAAAGAGAGACGGGTGGGTGTAGGCGGCATCCCCTTTTGTGTGCGTCTTCTTCAGGTCGGCGAGCCTCCCGGCTCCCCTCAGCTGAGCATCCTCTCCTTCAAAGGAGGTCAGTCTTTGCACAAGTCATCTGATGGAAGCTGGCCTCCTTCACGTGTGTGCATGTGTCAGGGTTCCATGGCCGCACGTTTGGCAGCCTGACGACAACGCACACAAAAGACACCCACAAACTGGACGTCCCCGGTAAGTTTCAAAGGGAAACACTGAGACACTTGGGGTGCGTGTAAAGAATAACATGCATCATCCATCTCTTCTTGACTTGCAGCCTTCCCGTGGCCCGTTGCTGACTTCCCGAGACTCAAATACCCACTGGAAGAGGTCAGAAACTGACCGCGCTGGAGATCATTCGCCGTTCGATGTGTGTGTCTGGCATCGGTCAGAACGTGGAAGCCAACAGAGCGGAGGAGGCACGGTGTCTGCAGACGGTGGAGGACCTGATTGTCGACAGGGAGAAGCGCAACGACTGGCCTGTCGCTGCCGTGGTCGTCGAGCCCATTCAGGTACCTACCTAGACACAGTTGAATGAAGTGATCTGACGGACATACGTTTGTGTGGCTTCCTGGATGCAATGCAGTCTGAGGGCGGGGACCACCATGCGTCTGCTGACTTCTTCCGAGGCCTCAGAGATGTCACCAGACGGCATGGAGTGGTAAGACAAGACACACAGGATGAGCCATTGAACGCATCCTCGCTCTGTCTCCGTGTGTGTGCAGGCGTTGATTGTGGATGAGGTCCAGACGGGCGTGGCAGCCACAGGGCACATGTGGTGAGTGGATAAAGGGATGACAAACACACGACATGAAGAGTGTACACCTGCTTTCTGTGTACAGGGCTCACGAATCATGGAATCTGACAGACCCGCCAGATCTCGTCACATTCTCCAAGAAATCACAGGTAGGTTGGTAGGCAGAAACGGTCCCTGGCTATCTGTGTGTGCGTATGTGTGTGTGTGTGTGTGTGTGTGTCAGATTGCTGGTCTGTACTTCACCGATGCGTTCCGTCCCAATGTCGGATATCGGATCTTCAACACCTGGATGGGCGACGCGGTCAGGCTGTACCAGTTCCAAGCCATCCTCCAAACCATCGAGGTAGGTGGGCATGCGAGACGCGCAGCCCGGATCACGTGTGTGCCTTTATTGGCGTTGGTCAGAGCGAGAAGTTGCTGGACAACTGCCGCAAGACGGGCGATGCGTTGCTGGCCGTCCTGCAGGAGGCAGCAGCGACCTACCCCTCTTTGCTCAAGAACCCCCGCGGTCAGGGCACCATCTGCGCCGTCGATGGCGTCGACACCGCCACGAGGGACACCATTGTCGACAAAATGAGGCACAAAGGCGTCCTGATGGGTGAGTGAGAGAAAGGGCGAGAGGATAGACAACGGCGCTTCTGATGATGAACCTTACGCTTATGTGCATGTGTGTTTGGATGAGTGCAGGTGTGTGTGGGTCTCATGCGCTTCGTTTCCGGCCGTCGTTGACCTTCTCCCCATTGCACGTGCAGCAGTTCGCCCCTATTTTCATCAAAGTGCTCGAGGAGGTCGCATCGGCGAAACCGTGACGGTCGTCTTTTTCTCGCGCGTGAGATATTTGTCGATCGGTTCACACATGCCAGCTGGCTGTATTGTAGAAAGTATGAAGCGTGTTGATGTATGTGATGGCATGGTGCAAGACCAAGACACACAGGCCTTTTGTCCACCCATGCGTACGCACACGAGCGAGAGGCAGGCTGCTCATGTATGTCATATCACTCAACTCGTCGGAACGTCCCAAATCGATGCATGTCTCGATGACTGCATGCCTTGCTTTGCAAATCACAGGCGAAAAAAGGCAGAACAGACAACTCACACAGACACTCACACTCACACACACACTCCCCCTTTCCCGCCTTCTCTTGTCTCCTTCCCTCCCTCCCGCTTCCCTCCTGGTTGGTCGACGGTTGGTTGTTGCGCGCGCCCCTCACTCACTCAGAGGCCCAGGTCGTGCAGCAGTTTGTCGGTCCACTCGCCCGCTTCCGGGATGAACATGGGGGCCAGCACGACCACCAGCACGGCAGCCGACAGCACCACCCCCACGGCAACAAGACACTGGCACCGACAGCTTCTGTACCAGTCCTTCTCCGAGGCCATGTGCGTCGTGATCTCGTCGACCAGGGCCGCCTGCCTGGCCTCCGCCCCCATCATAGCCCCCGACCGCTCCTTCTCCAGCGCGTCGAGCCGCTTGGGCGTGGCGTCCTCCTCCAGGCCGCCCCTGCCTCCCCCAGACCACGCCGACGTTGTCTCCTTCCACGCGGCTGCGAAGCCCTCCTTGAAGCCCTCCTTCCACGTCTTCTTACCCCCCTTGCCAGCCACCGGGGTGCGCTCCCGCAGCGACTTGGAACCTGGGCTTTGGCTCATCGGACTGGCGCTCATGGGGCTGGCCTGCTGGTCTTCGAGAGTGGACTGGAGAGCCGATGCGCCGCCCGGGGGACCTGGCTTCGGCACAGGCAGGGTTTGGGGGGACTGCTGGTGACGCACGTCGCTCCACATCCTCGCTTCAGCTTCAACTTGGGAGTTCAAGTTGTTCCGGGAAGACTGGGGGCAGGCCCCCACTTCAAAATTCTCGACGATTCTTTCGCTTCGAATTCTAAGCTCGCACGCGAATTGGAAAGGAAGAGAGCCGGAAAGTAGAAATAGGTGAAAGTTGAGTTGACGTTGTTGAGTTGACGTTGTCAGAAAACGGAGACCCCCGTAATCTCGTTCGCTGACTACCGTCGTCGCCAGATCTCTCCCGCGATGGCTGCCCCGCGTTCCCAGGTGCCCACCGAGAGGACGGAGAACTTCCGCGCCGCTGTCCAGAGGCAGGGTGGCGGTTTCAACAGCGAGCGGCTTGTCCAGCTGCTGAAGCAGTGGGATCAGGACGGGGATGGCAAGTTCGGCTTGGAGGAGGTGGTCAAGGCCGCCAGGGAGCTGGAGGGGGAGCAGAGGAAGAGCAGGAACCTCACCTGGGTGCTCGCCGCCTTCATCATACTCTACCTCGCCACTCTCGCCATCTTCCTCGGTGGGAAGGAGGGAGGGAAGGAAGACCACAGAGGGACAGGACAGCAAACGGATGATGTGTGCGTTTCGTGTCGGTGTGTGTGTGATACAGGCATGACTGTAGCTGCCAATGAGTTGTCCAAGGACTACCGTCCCGATGTGGACGGCCGGCTGACCCCGACCGGCAAGTATGAGCAGACGGTGTCCACCAGGGAGGCCCTCGACTCCATCCAGATGTTCGACTTCCTCGATGTGAGTCAGTCAGTCGACTGGAAATGGACACAACCCATTCACCCACCCACCAGCCATCGTGAACCTCTCCCCCCTCTGTCTGTCTGTCTGCGTGCGTGTGTGTGTTCAGATTGACTTCGCTGATCTGTACAAGGCGGAGGCCATCTACCTGGAGTTCAACGCGACTAGCGAGTCAGGGCGGATCGAGAAGATTGAGAAGTTCTACAAGATCGCAGAGGTGTCTCGCAACCCCGAGGCCCGCCACGTGGAGATCAAGTTCGAGAGCGGCGAGTTCATGACCATGTCGGACGCAGGCGCCAACCTGTACGAGGCCGGCGCCACGGAGGAGGGTGACACCATCGCCGTCTTCAAGGGTGAGTAGTCTGGAAGGGAGCCAAAACACACCGGTCTCACACACTTTGCATCTGGTTCGTCTTCTCCCTGTGTTGTGTCCAGGTCCTGAGTTCAAAGAGGAAGCGAGCAACGAGGAGAACAAGCTGACCAACGAGACCATCCCGGAGGACCAGCGGCGGCTGCAGGCGCCCACCCGCTTCGGCACGCAGGGCGGCCGGGCCAACAATATCTTCTTCAACACCGGACGCCTCTACGACCGCGGCATCGTCGATATCGGTGCGGGCAGGTTCCAGGCGCTCGCCGTGCGCGGCAGGTGCCTCGGCAGCCGATTCCAGTGCCGATCTTTTTGAAGCATAGCGGGGCCGGACGGGATGGGGCGGGCTGGCATGTGTGTATCCACCTACTACTGTGTTGAGTGTCTGTCCGTGTATGTGTGTATTGTCAGGGGGGTGGGGGGCGTATGAGAGTTTTTCTGTGTGGGTCGGAGTGGGGGATGGGTTGTCTCTCAGTGTAATGGGCGGGCGAAGGTAAGTAAAGCTTATGGGTTGGTTGGGTGAACGGATGGGTGGATGTCGAAGCGCATCGTGGGGGTCATGCATACAGACCGTCCCTGCCGGCTATGATTTAGTCACACGTAGCTATCTGCCTGGCTGGCTGGCCTGGCGGGGGCACAGGCTCTCTCCCGCCTCGCAGAAGCGAGCAGGCACGCAGACCAGCAGCTGTACAGCTAGCTACACAAAGACAGACAATACACGACCGCAGCAAAGGGTGGATCGCTTCTCTAGCTGTCTGCGCCTTTGTCGCCTGTGTGCATGTGTGGGTGCAATGATCCTTTTTATGTGGGGATGTCGTTTGTCCGCCTGTCTGCCTGCCTGCCTGCCTGCCTGCCTGGTTGTCTGTCTGTCTGTCCCTCCCTCCCTCCCTCCACCATCAATTAAGGCCCCCTGCCTGCCTCCCTGTGTGTCATTTCATCGCGTGCCGTGTCCCATGACCCTATCGTTTCTGTGTGTGCATCGCCGCCTCTACACGGAGGGGATGATGCAGTGAGCCAGCCAGCCGGCCAGCCAGCCTTGTGAGTCTGTCTGTCTGTATGGATTGAGGTGTGTGTACCCACCGCGTTTCTCAGTTTTCCTGCAGTGCGTATTTTTGTTGGATGGCGGGTGGGGTGGGGTGGTGGGTGGTGGGTTGGTTGGCCTCTTGTGTGGATAAATACGTAAGCTGTCTGTCTACCTATCAATGCATACATACATACATACGTGGTTCGCTCCATACCATACATACGTTCATTCCTGGCTGTCTGTCTGTCTATCGCTGTGAGTGAGTGTTTTATGTGTTCGAAGATGCTGCTGCTACAGCTGCCATGCCATACATGGCCTGGCCTGCATACGCGTGGTGTGTTGCTTTCCTGCGGGAGCAGGGTGGGTGGATGGGATGGGCGGTTCCGGCTCTTTCTTGACGACTGCTGGGGTTTTGTTTCTTTTTACTGTCCCCACTCTTCCTTGGCTGCGGCGCTGTCTCTTTCTTTCTCGCTCGCTCTCTGCAGATCTATGTCTGCCTGTCTATCTTGTGTCGTGTATGTATGCTGGTGGGTCTGCTCGTGCTCTTGCTCGTGTCGCGCCGCGGCTCTATCTGTCTGTCGGTGTGTCGCTGCCGTTGCCATATCAGCGAATCCCGCTGAAACAGCCGCGATTCGCTGACGGACCGATGCACAGATAATGTGTCTCTGGATGGGGTGGGGGTCCTGAAGACAGACGATATGCTGACCGCTGAGTGTATGTATGGCTGCCTGGCTGGCTGACACACTGACTGACACATGGCTGTCTTTTATCGAGATGTCGCCGTCGTGACTCGATTGCCTGCTCCCGTAATCCTTGATGGAATCCATTCGTGACGTTGCCTCCTGGTATCGTGTTGTCCGCAACGTTTGAGCTTTCTCTTGAAAGAGAAAGGCCCCAAACGTTGCGGGTCGACAGGCACCAGGGACGTCCGGGCACGCCAGGAGGTGTTGTCCCTTTCGAGCACTCTCAGCTGCCTGCCTGCCTGCCTTTTTACATCGTTTTTATGACACCTGGATGGATGGATGGTTGGTTGGTTGGTTGGTTTATCCCTTTGCTGCCTGGACTCGTTCAGCAGCAGACTGAGTGCGTCCGACAGAGAGAGGGAGATGCGCTTCGTGAGTCGTCGAGTCAACTGTGTGTGTGTGTGTGTTTGCGTGTGTGTGTGTCGTGTCCTGACATCCATACTTGCATGCGTGAATGACGCTGCCGGTCGGTGTTGATCAGATGAGATGTGTGGAATGTGTACGATACGTATACGCAGTAGCATACAGCCACGAGCGCTCACATGCCGTGTAGACACAGTGTCCAATCACTCACACATCGATCGCGAATTAATCGGATCTACACTGCGCTGCAGACTAGACACATCTACACACCCCTCTCCCCATGATTCACCACAGCCAATCATGATACAAATCCATCACAACCAAGTTCGATCGACAAGCTCGCATGGGGCCGAGCGACTTTCATCAGAGGAGTGAAGCTTAGAGGTCTCTCGACATCATGTCAACCGTTGGCCTGATTCTCACAGGTCTGTTCACCGTGCTGCTCTTTCCCCTGGTCTTGTACATGGGCATCACTGCCTTCATCCTGATGTGCCTGAGCGACCCACAGCCGGAGGGCCGCCTGGTCCTCGTCGAGTGACCGACCGACAAACCGAGGTAAGAGCGGCTGTCAATTCATCAGATCTGACGACATCGTGCCGGTGTTTTGATGCAGCGCTAGCAACGGGTTTCCCCCAAATCACCTTCTCCCCCACGAGCTTGGTGTACGAGGTGGATCAACGGTGCGCGCAACTCCACGAGGGCGTCGTTCTCATGCGATGACCCGCAAGCACCGAGCCTGGCGTCCTTCCATCCGTTCCCGCCTCGAGCCCCGGCAGGAAGGTGGGGATGAGCGATTTGTCACCACCAGTGGATGATATTCACTCGTCTGCCCTTTCTTGCAGCTGGTGGCCATCCATCCGTTGAGGGCGACGATGCCCGTGGTAGCTCGGCCAGCAACGAAGGAACTGCCGCCGTCTACAAAGTAACAGATGCTTCACGCGCTCGCACCATCAAGAGAATATGTGTTTGTCTTTGTCCGGCGCATGAATGGCAGGCCATTCGCCTCCAAGGATGGTCAAGGCTGAGGACGAAAGAGAAGGCATCACACTGGGCGATTGGAAGGACGAGCTGCCCCTCATCAATTGCCTGATCATGCACTTAGACGGTAGGTGGCAAAGAAACGAAGAGCGCCCACTTGCCGCCATATATGTCTTGTGTCTCGCTGCTTTTAGTGCCGTCCATGGATGTTGTCGAGCCAGGCGCCTTCATCCTGTCGAGCATCTGGTCGGTCCTCGAGATCGAGTCCATCACCGAGCTGGAGCTAGTCTTGCCTCAGCTTCTGCAGGGTGCCCTCAAGGCTGCCGTGGACCGACGGTTCGGGCCCAACCAGAACTTCGGCTTCGTGCATCACGGGCGACTTCGTCTCGTCTTGAAGGCTGATAGTATTGGACGTGTAAGCGATGGAAGCTCGTCTCCTCCCTTGCATCGTCTGTCTGTTCTGCAGTTGCGCAAGGCGGCGTTTGCATTCTCAACAATTGACGCAGCAGCCGCGCACCAGGGACAGTCTTCGACATTAGAGCGTTATCTGCCCTCCCTCCCACCCAATGACTCAGCCGAGGCGCTCGCCACCGACTTCGCCAGCCGCATCACTAATGCTGCACCCATGACCGTGGTCGACCCCTCCAATGCCTCCCGACGGCTGAAGGCACCACTCATGGCGGCGATGGAGAGACATGGCCTGGCGATGGAGCCCATGATGCGGCTGCATGGCGATGGACCATGTCTCCTCGATCCCTCTGTGATCGCATCTGCCAATCAATTGATGGCCATCCTGCAGAAGACGGGCAAACAAATCACAGGCATCGAACTGCTCTACAAGTAAGAGATACACGAAACATGCCAGCATCTGTCGGGTGCTGCGTGTAATCCTCTCTTGTTGTTTTCGTCCTCTGTCTGGTGTGGTGGCAGAGCGAGTGTGGACGGGTTTGCGTACACCGACATGCTCAGTCGCGTGGGTGATGCGAGCGGTCTCCTCTTCCTCACACGCATGAATGCCTTCATTCATGGGTGCTTCATCAACGCCGATCTCCGTCCGCCACCGTCAGTTTCATCTGCAGCCATCTTCAAGCAGTATCCGGCGGAAGTCCTGATCTTCAAAGCATCCGGCCATTCGCAGCCCACCTTCCAGACATCCTCAGTGACGTCGAAGTGGGTCACTCTGTCGCGAGCAGATTACCATCCCCATGGCGTGGAGGCCAAACTGACTGTGGGCAAGGGTGCGAGCGATCCACATATACCAGAGTGGCTGGGGCTGTGGGCGCCGGACACGCTGGGCTGGTCGGCATCGGAGGGATGCGTCGTGCGAGTGAGCTGGGAGAGGGGGGTGGGAGATGATGAGCAAGACATCAATGCGATTCTTGCCGATGAGATAGAGGTGTTTCAGCTGCTGGTGCACACAGTGGGGTGAATGCTTTTGGGCGCAGTGGGGGGGGAGGGGGGGAGGGGTCTATATTGACGGGAATGTTTGAAGGAGAGACATGTAAGACAACACCGTTGGATTGCGCAAAGGACATGAATGATTGAGTGACACAACAATCAAGAGACATGGCACGTCAATAATTCCTTGAGGAAGCATGAGGTTGCAGGTGGCCCTTGGTCTGTAAGGTAGCCCGTTGCAATGGCTGGTGCCTTTTTTCAGTAGAGAAAGGCTCCAAACAACATACAACAACATCTGACGCGTGGATGGATGGTGTATCCCTTAGACTGAGTGCGTCCGAAGAGATAGAGAGACAGGGAGACAGGGCTGTCGAGTCGACACCGACTGTGTGTGAGACTTCCATTCATACATACCCTTCCCCCCCCCCGCCCCCCGTCTGTCGTGCGGCTTAGTGTATGTCTCCATGAATCAGCTGTGTTCCGATACCATTTGGGCCCCCTCAGTTGTCCTCCCACATTACAAAAAGTCACAGCCCCATTCCCTCAATCCTTTCCACTCCAGCGGTTCGAGACACGAACGCATGGAGTAACAGCAGCAGCCCTACGGTGAAGACGACCAACCAGATTTGCGTCACTGGTGACATTCTGCAAACACCAATTTGGCAGACACCGTTGTCATCACCTCCTCATTTGTTCGCTTACTTACTCCTCGAGAATGGCGGCGTCCTTAACCACCAAAACCGTCCAAAAAGCCATCAACACCGCACAGGCCACTGGCAGAAGCGCACATGAGGCCACCACCACAAGCAGAGATACCCAATACGCCGCCGCGCTGGGCTTCATGTCAGGCTTCAAGAGGGCGAAATACCGAGGCTTTCCCGTGCCGGGCTTTTTTGTGTAGAACCCCACGATAGAGAAAAGCCCGAACAAAAGTGGATGTTCTTGTTCAGCCGCCACTCTCAGGTCAGCCCCAGGCGGCAAGTAGACGGTGCCATCGCCCAAGCGTGTTTTGCCAACCTCCCGCTCTTCCCTCGTGATGTCTCCCCCTCCCATGATGTCGATGCGGTACTTGTTGCACATGGCCTGACGGTGAAAGTACGGGGCAGAGGACCTACGCCCGTGCGCTTCCTCTCGAACAGCATCCATGAAGTGCCTGTGAGCCTCCCTTGGACGAATCCCAGGCGGCAAGAGAGCGAAGTAGCGCCGCCCCATCTCGGTCTCGGTGTAGTATTCTTCAGGAGCGTTCGTGTCTTCGTAGACATTGCCATCGCCACGGCGTGTCAGCCCAACCATCCGCTCCGAGCCGTAATGCATGAACGCGTTGTTGGAGGGTGGGAGTGACATGATGAAGATTTCCTGGTGGAGGGGAAGGGGAAAAGGTTTCGGTGAGGGGAGGGAAGGAATTCACACTGTGAAAGTCAATTCTGCCCTAAGATTCAATGCAAGCTTTGACTGTGTATGCAGCGCATCTTTCTTATCAGGTAATGTCAGTCACGTCAAAAGGCGGAGATCTCACTCATGAGTTCCGTTCATGGATCTGCCTGATGTCCTGCTGCTGTCTGTGTTCCATGGTTGGCTGCAGCATGGCACTGCGTGCGGCGGGCCTTCTCGTGTTCAGGCGGCATCATGCACCAGCTGCAGGGACCATCAAGAATGAGTCGATAGAGTATCTGATGATGCAGACGTCATATGGAGAACTCCACTGGACACCGCCCAAAGGTCACACACACAGCACAGATACTGCACACACAGAAGGCAGGCAGCTGCAGTGCAGGGGCGTCTTCTACGTGTGTCTGTGCGTGTGTCGGCGTAGGTCATGTTGATCCCGGTGAGAGTGATCTGCAGACAGCATTGCGCGAGACCGAGGAAGAGGCCGGGCTGACCAACGGCAGGGACGTCAGGCTCTATGATTGGAACAAGGTGCGTGTGTGGGGATGGCCTGCATGCATCTCTGATGATTGACCATGTGTGCTGCCTGTGAACGTGCAGGAGCTGAAATATGAGGTGCGTGGCCGGCCCAAGTCAGTGATATACTTTCTTGCTGAGCTCGTCAACAGTGACGCCACAGTGCGCCTGTCTGACGAGCACCAGGCATACAGGCAAGCTTCGCCACCCACCTGACCAATCGCACGACTGTGGAACGAGTGAATGAATGAGTGAAAAGTGATCTTTGCGTGTGTGCGTGCAGGTGGGCTGCGTTGAGTGAGGCGTGTGAGCTGGCTAAGTATCGTGATATGGTTGAGACGCTGCAACAGGCAGATGCCTTCCTCAGACAAAGGGACGAAAGCAGACCAACGGGGTGAATGAAAATCCTTACACAAAGGGTGGCGGGCGCGGCGCAGCTAGCTTCTCACAGAGAGCAATTAATGCCGTTGATTGACTGGTTGATTGAACAGCGTCCGACGTCGCATACACACAGACAGGGCGAACACACCGAGTACTGACTGTATACTCTTACACATACACGGGGTCTCCTTTTGGTTTGTCAGAGAGAGGGCAACGCCACAGCAAACACCCAACCCACTCCAGCAATCACACACTTGTACAATGAACGAAGCAATACACCCGACCAAGCCCGCCACTGCATTGTACCACACACGCGCCAAATTGGCCGTTTCTTGTCTTATCCAAAGAAGGAGGGAGGGAATGGTGCGCCGATGTGTGTGGGGGGGGGCTGTTCAGCGGCTTGGCATCATGCCGTACGGCGCCCCCGCCATGCCCAAAGGGTTGCCCATCCCACCACCCATCCCGCCGCCGCGACTGTCACGCCTGAATGCAGTGGACACATCGGCGATGTGATCGGTTATCTGTGTGGTGTGTCGGTGCCATGAGCATGGCTGCTCTTACATGGCATGGTGGCTGTGTTGCATCGGCTGGGCACGGTAGGGGTTCAGCTGAATACCCTGAAAGGGACGACAAGAAAGATCAATTCAGTGGCGCTCGTTTTCACCATACGCACACACACGTTGCCGCTAGACCTGGTAGGGGTATCCAGCCGGGCTTGCATTTGCCATGGCGGCCGTGTGGTTCTCGGGGCCGGGGAACTGCCCGCCGCGCTGAGCCGAATGCGAACGACTGACACACCACACATCACACGCAAACACACACGCAGGAACGTATCAAGAAGACTCTTGTCTGACGGAAATCATGTCTGTCATATGTCATGCCGACTGACCCGGACGGTTGTGGCGGTGAGTTTGCCATTGGGTGCTGGCCGTAGTGGGAGCCGTTGCGCGTCCGGCCATACGGCTGGGGCGAAGACGAGGGCGCCATGCGGCCGTAGCCGGCATTCATGCCTACACGCACACAAGACACAAGACACACATCTATTGGCGATTCGATGAGTCAATCCCTCAGTGAGGCCATCTGGGGTTACCGTCTGGGGTCTGCTGCATGGGCGGTGACGCGAACTGGGAGTAGGGCTGGTAGTTGGGATCGGGTGGTGGCGGCTGCTGCTCACCCTTCCGCCTCTTTCTCTTGCTCCCGCCCTCGTCCATCACCCCACCACCACCCCCACCAGCCATCGCATTCGGAGGCACCTGCGTAGCGAACGGCCCCGCGGTCACGCTGGCGCCGACGGAAGGTGGCAGAGAAGGGCTGGTGGGGTCACATACCTGCTGCGGCTCAGCCATGCCGTGGTTCAACGCACCTTGGGCAGGCGCGTGGCTGCCGCCCCCACCGCCCTTCGATCCCTTGCTGGACCGTCTCTTTCTGCCGTGCGATGACCCGACGCTCTGCCGTGCTGGCGACATCTGGTTCGGGTGGCCGTAGGGCTGCATGTGGCCTATCTGCTGGCTGGGGGGCGACTGCGGCACCTGCTGCGCCATGTGCTGCTGTTGATAATAGGGGGAGGGAGGGGGGTGGCCGTGCTGCGGGTGGGGGTGGGGGCTGGCCGGGGGATGAGCCGCAGGGGGCGGCGCGGCCGACGCACCTCGCTGACCTCTGTGGCTGTGATGGTGCATCTGCTGCCGGTGCTGGTGATGCTGCTGGTGCTGATGCTGGGCATAGGCATGGTTGCCGTACTGCCCGCCGTGTGTGGGGTGCGTGGCAGGGGAGGGCATCGAGGGCGGGACGCCGCCGTGCATGGCTGCGGGCGGTGGCGAGAAGGGGGGCGAGTGCTGGTGCCTGTGGTAGGGATTGGCGTGTGAGGGCCTGTGCGTGGCCTGGCGCTGCTGCTGCGCCTGACGCACTTGAATGTAGAGCTGATCCTGCAGTGGAACCGACCGACCGATGACCTTGTGTGTCTTGTGTTCCGTGTTATATGGTGCGTGCAATGCAACTAAGGTACCGGCACTGTGGGCTTCTTGGCGTTGTTGGTGCTCTTCAAATAGGCCTGGTTCTGCAGATTCTGATACAATATACAGGACAGCAGCACCACACCATGTTTCGGCATAGTCATGTCGTCGTCTCGTGTGCCACACATTCACATACGTCTTGTCTGAGCTTCTCGTAGTCGGCAACTCTGGCCGCCACCGCCTCGTACGAACGATCCGATTCACCACCTGATGAACGACACAGCCACAGCATAGACGAGAGTGCCACGAGGCAGTTAGCCATGGTCTGTCTCTCCATTCTGCCCTATTCCTACCCTCTTGCGTGGCACCGGCGGGATGGTACATCTGCACACAGAGAGAGGGAAAGAGACAATGTGGTGGAAAATGTGGTGGTTGTCAGTGTAGTTGGCCGGCCTTCTGGCGCATCAATCCACCCACCTGAGATTGGATCTGTGCGGCGTCCCTGAGCTTGTAGTGCGAGGCGTGAATGTCGCAAACGGCGCCCCGCTCCAGGCTGTCGAAGGGCAACCCACTCGTCGACACGCCGCCCAGACCCGCTGGACAATCAACCACACCACACAGCAGCCGGGGAGGGATGATGCAGCCCATCCGGGAGTGTGAGTGTAGTGTCTGTGTGTGTTGGCTGACAGACCTTGTCTGACGAGGTCGTCCACTTTGAAGGCGTCGTGATAGGAGCCTGGTCATCGAGAGAGACACAGCACGGCCCATGCAGACAGCGAATAATTAGGCTGTCTGTTCTGTGTGTGTGTCCCGGCTTCGCCATGCCCACCTCTCGCTGAAACCCTCTTCTCCTTTTGGACACTCTTCATGACCATGGCAGAGTAGTACTTGAGCGTCTTGGCCTGCAGCGTAGTGGAAGCAACCAGCATCTGTGTACGTCTGTGTGCGTGTCTGTCGCGGGTCGGTAGGTCACCTCGTTCTCCTCGACTTCTCTCGGCTGTGTGTCAGCGTCGCCCATGAGCTTAGACACTCCCTCAGACGAGTGAACCAACCCTGTCAACAAGCCTGCACACCCACAGCCACCATACCATGCACACCCACATCTCCTCCTCTCCCTCTCTCTCCCTCCCAGGTTCACCACCCACCCACCTCGGATGTATCGCATGAGCGGCGCCACCTTCCCATCCGACGACGTCGTCGCATCGCCCACAGGAACGATCGCCCCACTATCTCGCCCCCATTTCCTCTTCTCCCTCTCATCGCCCTTCATGGTCTCGTCGTCACTGGTGGCCGGCACCCCCGTGGACCCCGTCTCGCCGCTCCCGCTCTCCTCCTTCTTGCTCACGTCCATCATCTGGTGGGCATCGCTGTCGGGCGGGTGCGACCCATCCAGCCTCCGCTTGCGGGCGCGGCGGGCTGCGCAAAAGGCTCTGGTTGAGTCGAGGGCCGATGTGACGGGGAGGAATCGGGGTGAGGGGCGGGCGCGGTGGACGCGGGACAGCGGGGGCAGGGACACGACCTGAGAGAGAAAGCGCGGAGAGAGAGAGGGTGGGTGGGTATGTGGGTCGTGATGCGTGTTCGGTTGCGTGCCTTTGGTTGGTCTTTGGCGTCTGCGGGCACTCTGGAGGCGTAGGTGGCGCTGGGGGTGGCCCGGGGGGAGCCAGACGCGGTCCGCTCGCGAAGCTTCACCCACCTGACACACAACCACCATCAATATCAGCGAGCCATCCATCCAAGTGTCCGGGGGATTGCCTTCCTTGTGCGTGTGAAGGCTCCGCTCACTGGTCCTGGCACATCTTGCTGTTGCGGCACTTGGACAGTGGCCCCATGGCCGTGTTGACGCTGTCGGCGATCAAGCCCCAGTTGACGTACTTGCCGCCTGGTGTGGATCGACACACACACACACACACACACACCCCAGCCCCTCCCGTGTTATCATGAATGCGCTCTGGGTGGCTGAGTGGCTTACAGAGCGCCTCTGGACTTGACCCATCGTAGATCTCCACCTGACAAACCAAACACACACCCCTTCATGTGTGTGTGTATTGTGGTGGTGTGGATCGATGGGCGTGTTGTGTTGTGTGTTGCCTGCCATACGAATCGCTCGAGTATTGTGTTTTCGTCTGGGAGCCATTCGCCCTCTATGGGTTTCCTGCCCATCCAGTCGTCGGAGGGCATGCCGCCTCCGCCCCCGTCGTAGGGGTCTGAGGAGGGGTGGGGCAGGTGGAAGAGGTAAGACGGATCCAGCTGCAGGTGCTTCAGCTGCATGCCATGTAGCAAAGCAAACAAAGCAGCCAGCCAACCACATGGATGGATGGATGGATGGATGGAGAAACAGACAGGCGAGTTAGTTAGTGGTGGGCCTGCAGGTCGGGGTGCCAATTAGGTGCCTACCTTTTTTTGGCTCTTTCTGTTCCTACGGGGAACATTTGGCACCAACTGGATGAAGGGAAGCGGAGCGGCCAGCACAACAGACGACACACACATGAATGACACGAGGTGGTGTGGTGGCCTTCTGTCCTTGTTTGAGGCTCACTCACCGGCAGGCCCTCTGGTCTCCCTGTGTCGAGCCCTCTCTGCTTTTTGATGCGGGGGTACTCGTCGTTGTCGGGGTTGCGGTAGGCCATGGCGTAGATCTGCAGCATCAGCGAGTCCTCCTCAGAGTCACTCCGACCTGGTCGACACAGACACACACACAGACACAGACACAGACAAGAAGGTGTGGAAGTGGGAGGTGTGTGCCGGTACACCACACACACACACCACTGAGCGGAAATTGGAGGACGTCTTTCGACAGGTCGGGCGGGCCCAGCACACCGGGCAAGTGCAGCGCACCCTGACCACACACACACACACGCACACGTAATGGTTGGTTCTTGTTTTTTGTGTGTCGATTGTGTGGTGCATCCAGCAAGGCAAGGCAATGCTAGGTGTCCATCCACCTACCTGTTGCTGCATGGCGTGAACGTTCTTTTCAAAGTGGTGCTGCCGCGACGTGTAGTAGGCGTCCATGTCCTCCAGGCCACAGCTCTCGCGAGTCGGGTCGCCGATGTCTGCCATCACACACACACACACCCACACACCCACACACACGTGTGGATGCAGTCCTTATGCCGTTTGTGTGCGTCTCCTTGACCCCTACTGAGGTAGTAGAGTGGCGTCACGGGCTGGATGTCGACGAACAGCGGCTCGGCCTTGGTGAAGGCGCCGAAGTCCTCACGCAGAGAATCGTCGTCGTCTGAAGCGACACAAGGAATATGAATGTCAGTGGGAATGGCGCATCTGTGTCCCCGCCCCTTCTTCGCATTCGGACCGTCGGATGGTGGGGGCTTCATCGCCTCTGTTGGCACAGGCACATCACACACACACACACACAGAGAGAGAGAGAGAGAGCCCATCCATAGAGCAGATGTGAAAAGAATGGATGACGCATGCCAATGCCATGCGTGTGTGTGTGTGTGGACCTCCTACCTGCAATGGCGCTGTCCGGCACGGCCACTCCATCCATGGTGGACTCCAACACTGATCGATCACAGATGGGATGAATGCAGTGTTGTGTGAGCGACCTAGTGTGTGTGTGTGTGTGTGTCAGTCTCTCACGTCCATGCTGCTTGTAGAGTGCCTTGAGGGTGCGATCGCAGTACTCGAACAGCCCCTGCGTGATGCGAGCGCTCTTCTCCTTCCGACGGGGATGGTTCTTGTCAGCCTGCATTTCACACACACACACACACACGCTGATGAGTGCATCCATCTCTCCATCCCTCGAGCCGCCCAGCCATCATTCCGCTTTGACTTATCCCACCCGTGGGCCCGTTCTGAAGACAATCGCAGCCCTCTGCTGCCTGCTTCCAGGCTGCTGCCCGCCCGCCCCCTCGGCACCCGGCCCCAAGCTCTTGGGCATGGCCTCCCTGTCGTCGAGCTCAATCGCCTCCGTCTTGAGGTCGGCTGGCATGAGATCAGGCGCCACTTTGTTGGTCACTCCCAGCCAGAAGGACTGCACGATAGCGGCGCACGTGGCGGCGTGGTGCTCGACCTTCTGCCTCTCGAGCTTGCGGAAGTGGTCCTTGATCATGTAGGACACGCGGCGGGCGAGATGGACCTTCCACTTTCGCTCCTCGTAGAAATCGATGGCCATCCATTGCATCTCCTGCAAGACGTCGTCCCAGGGCGTGCGCACCAGACGGGGAGGCTCGCAGGGAGGGAGACAAGCACCGTGCTCTGACAGGCAGCCAGCGATGCACACACCCAGATCACCCCATCTCATCACCAGTGAGTGTTTCCACAAGCTTACTGTTCACGTGTCTCGCCACCTCATCCGCGAGCTCCTGCCTCGCCAGCTGACACCATAACCACACACGGCAGCAAAAGTCGATGCTCAGAGCCAAATGACGGGTTTTCGCAAACTTACGGGCCGTGAGACCGCTCTCATGGCTTCTTTCTGATGGAAACGCTCAGCAGAGGTCTTGTGCGTCGATAAGGCCGCTAAGCAGTCCCCTGCGTTGGCTCCCCTCAGAGAACAAGCCCAACTCGATCCTCGGGGTCATTGATGTCAATCGGCGCCATTTTCAGCGGCTTTCGCGATCACTGTCCTCCCAGACTCATCCCAGGGGACAGATGAGGCACCGTCAGTGGCTCTCTGGGAGGTTTCAGAAACTGCGAGCTAAGCTCGCACATGGGCTGAGGGCACTGAATCTAGCGTCGTTTGCAGCTTGTTTGGCGCTCACTGCCTCACTGTGAGCGCTTTGCGATGAGAAATCTCAACTGAGAGGCCATCCTCACATCTGAATCGGTGAGCATTGAGATAAGAAGGATGGCTGGAGGGATTTGAATGCAGTGTGTGCCTCTGCCCTCTTGTTTCAGGCGTCTGTGTCTGGCCAGCGCGGCGCCATGGGAGCTGCAGCCTCATCTTCATCTGCTGCCGCAGACCTGCCGCAGCCACAGGTGCGTGTACCCCACTCATTCATCGGTCGACTGGTTCGTCCGTTTCATCCATCCGTCCGTCCATCCGTATGTTGTCTGGCTGCTCTTTCTGGCTGCACTTTGCCATTGCAGGATGGACCGCAGACGCAGACGTACCAGAAGTAAGCAGAGCGGCGTCGTTGCATGCGGCGGCTCAAAACACTTCTTTTCCTGTTGGTGTGTGGTGTGGCGCATTGCCCATGTTATGTTGCCTATGCCGATCGCCGGCCCGTTCGGTGGTCCGAGATCTGGGTTTGGCCCGTTCTACCCAGGCCCCTCCATCTCTCGCCAGCTGTACCAGCAATACCACGCACCCCCTCCTCACATGACGATGAACCTGCCACCGCACATGACCATACCCCCCCAGATGCTACCACAGCACCCTCTACCTGCCCCCACCGGCCCGCCGCCGCCTCCACACACCCACATGGGCGAAAACCCTCAGATGGCGACCCTCGTGCTACCGTACCTCATGCCACAGCACATGCTACCGCAGAGCCCTCGCCGTCCCCCGCACGGCCCCCCGCCCCCACCGCCCCACAGCCACATCAACGACGGGGCGCCAGTGGCGGAAGAAGGGGAGCAGCCAGTTCCCTTTGAGGGGCTGCTGGGCGGGGAGGGAGAGGTGCACTCCATGCTGGGCCCGGACGATCCGACAACACACCCGATCCTGCCGTCATCCCACGGGCGCTACGAGAACGGCACCCGTGTGTGGATGGTGACGGCCAAGCGGGACAAGGGCAAGCAGGAGTGGGTCAAGGCCGACGTCTATCACACTGAGGGGACCAGCGGAGGGACGAGAGTGTCGATGAGGGAGGTAGAGGGGCGAGAGGAGTTCATTATGGTGGTGCCGCACCAGCCCAAGGCATCGCCGCACGGCCTGCAGGTACGTTCTCATGCATGTGCCCATTGGTCCCGGTGCAGCTGAAAGATCCAACTTGTGTGCGCGTGTGTGTGTGTGTGTGTGTGTGTATGTGTGTGTGTTCTAGTGTGTGCAGGTGCATGAGGGCTTCACATTAGTCGAGAGGGCGCCTCGGGATGAGTCCGACAGCAACAAGGTACACTCACAAACAGACAGACAGACAGACACACAGACAACGCACTGTCAACCTGCCGCTTTTCGCCTCAGCACGGCCAGCACGTTGGCTTGTTCGACCTGCCACCCGACGTCGAGCGTGACGTCGTCTTCGCACTGCTCGGCCCCGGCGACCTTGCCCGCCTCCGCCGCACCTGCACACTCGGCAGCCGGCGTGTGTCGGAGGACTACGTCAAGACGCGGATCGACGCCCACTTGACCAACAAAGGCATCAAGCACATCATCAGCTACCGCATCAAGCACAGGACCGTCGGCCACATGTTGCGGCTCCTGTACTTCATCGAGCAGAGCGGCGATTGGGCCGGCTGGGAGCCAATAATCAGGGTGGCCAAGCATCAGGGGCGGGGAGGGGGGCAGTTGTCGATAGAGCTGGGGAGTGCTGATGTAGAGGCGGTGGGCAGCCGGGCGGTGTTTGACGGGCGGTGTGAGGCCATGCGCCAGCTCTCACCCATCGCCCGCCACATCGGTGTGAGGCACGAGAACCATGATGGCGAGGAGCGCTGGCATGGGCGTCCGCTGACCATCTACACACCGCAGACACTGCTGCTGGTCGACCACCCCTTCCGCAATGGATTCGACCCGGCCAACCCCGTGTGTGAGTATGATGGTGAGGGAGAAGGGATATCAATGGGATATGGATCACACGAGGGAGGAGGGCATATGGGCAATGGAATGGACCATTTGGTTGGGTGTGTCCGTCTCTTTGCAGGTTGGGAGTATGCGTCACTTCGCGACGCTGTGTTGGATCAGTGAGAAGAATGAGGAGAAAAATACACATTGGCTGTACCGCTCTGCCGTGATGTGTCTCTTCAGGATGCGTTATGGAGGGTCGGTTGTCGCGGACGAATCGAGCAGTCGATGGGAGAATGCCACACGATACAACCGACTGGTCACACACACACACACACACTCACTCGTTGTCATATCTCGTTCTTTCTTCAGCATTCGCTTTCCACTCAGCAGCCGCCCGTGTGGGACCGGCGCACCATCAGCACCAGCCACCGTCCGGCACTCCCATCCGATTCAGTATCCGATCTCCCATTCGATCACCCGGGACTTGGACGCTTCGATCGCGTGATAGTGCTGCATGGCGACCAGCCCGGCCACACATTCCAGGCCCACCTCATCACCTGCGTCGGCCCGGACTTTGTGCGCGCCCACTTCCGGACGACGGAGCCTCCCGTGGACAGTGAGGTGGGTGCCGCCAGACTCCCACAGACAGCGAGGGTGGCGCGTGAGGTCATAGGGGCCGACGCAGAGACGGTGTTCGGCAGTTGGTGTTCGGCAACAGTAGGGTGTTCCGCAACAGTCTAGCTATAGCCGTAGACTAACTCGAGTGTGCAGAGGGCCTTCCTGTCTGTCTGGCCCATTGCCGCAGCAGCGGATGGCAGGCAGGCAGGCAGGCAGGTGTCTTAGAGAGACTGACTGACTGATGCGGGCGGGACGGGGTGGGGGCGAGCTAGTGGGTTGACAGACTGCCTATGTGTGGGTGGGTGGGTGGGTGGGTGGGTGGCGGATTCTCGGATTCTCTTCATGGGACGATGTAATGGGGATCCCCCTTCTCGCCACAAACAGAAACATTCACCAACACCCGACACCCACCCTGTAAGTCACCATTGAACTGAAGAAGGCCGATTGATAGAACATCGCCCTTTGTTTGTACACAAGGCATGTGCACACACACTGGACGCACCCCAGTCCCTTTCTCAACGACACAACACGTGCACGGCCCTGCTTACAAAGATCCCGCTCCATCCAGCCTGGTCTCTGTCTCTCTTTCATCATCCCCATCTCTGGCTGCTGTCAGCCAGCTGTCGGCGCGTCGGCATCGGTCAGAGGGGGGGTGTGGGGGCTGGACGAGGGGAAGTTCTCGGACGGCACGCCAGGCCGCTCGTTCGCAAACGTGATAATGTTCTCAATGTGCCTGCGAGTAAACAGCACACAGGGAGGGCAATCATGTCGGCCGGCAGAGGAGGGGTGTGTGTGTGAGGCGATCTGGTCAACTTGGTCTGCGGGAAGATGTCCACAGGCTGGATGTCGTCGATGCGGTAGCCATTGCCCAGGAAGTCTATCGTGTCACGGGCCTGACATGGACAAACGTGGCAGCACCACGCAGGCGCATGTGTCGCATTGTCTGTTCACCTGTGTAGCGGGGTTGCACGACACGTACACCACACGGGCGGGGCTCAGCCTACGCACACACACACACACACACACACACACAGAGGGAGAGAGAGAGGGGGATGAAGGCGCATGGCAGACGGAGAGGGGGATGACCCACCTGAAGAGTTGTCTGAGAAACGATCGGTCGCATCCCTTGCGGGGCGGGTCGATGACGACGGCCATCGACGGAGATGGCATGGCGGGCAGCGAGGGGTCACCACTCAACGCCCCTACATACGCCCACACACAAAGCACACCGACATCCACGCAGCCGACGAGCGCGTCAGTGCCCATCCTGCGTGCCGACCAAAGATGGCCTGTGCGTTGCCGAGAACGAATCGACAGTTATTTGCACCGTTCTCGGCAGCGTTCCTGCGGGCGGCCTGGGCGAAAGAGGCACCACAGACATTAAGGAAGAGGTCGTTTCCGTGACTCTCCCTTGCCTGGCTCTCTCCTTACTTACTTCGACGCTCTCGCCCTGCACCTCTACACCAACGACCGTCTGACAGAGAGAGAGAGAGAGAGAGACATGCAAGAGAAGAGCCTTGATGCGCTGAGAGAGAGATGAGTGCAGTGCGTCATGGGATCCCCCACCCACCTCCAAGTGCGCGTGTCCACAGATGGCGAACAGGCCGACGCCGCAGTAGCAGTCGAGGAGGAAACGGGGAGGGGCGCCGTCGCTCAGAGGCTCACGCAGCCTCGCATTCACATACTCCACCTGCACACGCCCACACACCCACCCACCCACCCTTCCTGAGTGAGGGTGCATGCGGCTGTCCAGGACCCGTTGCTCACCATTCGCGGTAGGACGAATGGGTTGTTTTGGAAGAAGCTGCCAGCCGTGTACCAGAAGCGATAACGGCCCACCTGCAGGCGCACAGCCACACCAAGCCAACAGTGACAAGAGCCCATCTTCCCTCCTGGTGCAGGTCGGTCTCACCTTCTCTGAGCACTCCTGTCGTGGGTCGGTGACGACGCCCTGCTCTGAAGGACGACACGAGCATCACCCGATCACTGCATGTCTTCCTCCCACCCACCAACCCATTCCACTCGCCTGTTGCCCTCAGCAGGAGAGTGCCGCCTCGCGCCTTCCTGATGCCGTGGCGCTCCGCTTCAACGGCACGCCTGACATGAAAGGATATGGAGGCACAAACCACATAGGCAAGGAGGATGCACGTGCCCATCCACACGCCGTACCTCCGTTTCTCCACTACTTCCTGCCTCGTCTGTGGGAGCTGGTCGTTGATAGCGTCAAGAGCGATAGGACAGTGTGGCACGTCCACTATCTGACACACATCGACACGGGTACACAAGGGTGGTCAATCACCTCCTTCCGTCCCTTCGCACCTGTCTGCTGAACTTCGAGTTAAATCCGATCGGTCCCCCGCCCTCCTGGTCCCTCCTGGGCCGGTCGTAGTGCGGGGTGAGCTTCGACCGATAGCCAAACGCATCACCGGTCCCCAGCACTGGGTTGACTTGCACGTCTGGCGGGAGGCCTGCCAGCCGATGAAGCACCTGCTGCACATGGCCCCGCTTCAACTCACGCTGAGAGAGACCAGGAAACACAGCACCCATCAAGACAGTTTACACATGTGCCCGCAGTCTGCCTTTTCGCGCACCTGTGCCTCGAGCGTCATGTGCTGATACTGGCAGCCCCCACACGCACCGAAGAGCTTACACTGAGGCTCGATGCGGTTGGGCGATGCCTCAAGTACCTCCGTCAGCACGGCAAACGAGTAGTTCTGGAAGTTGCGATAGATTTTGACGCGCACGCGCTCGCCGGCGATCACATCACGGACCATCACAACCCAAGTTTTCCCGTGCTGTCCAGGCAGTTCCACCCGCCCGATGCCGTGTCCGTCGTTTGTGACGGTCTGGATGTCCATCGTCAGCTCAGTGTGATAGGCGAAGGGCTGATCCTTGAAGCCCGGAGGGCCAGTCGGAGCCAGCACTGCCCATTTGGCGTCATCAATGGCCTCCCTCGTCGCCGCATGACTCATCAACAGCTGCACTTGCCGCCTTCTGCGTTTCCTTCGACAAGCTAGTGGCGGCCTGGATGCGGTCAGGAAGGCTTCTCTTCGTCGTTTGCGGCACATGGGGAGCGTTGGAGGGGCCACAGCCGCAAGATCCTCCGTTGGTGATGAGTCAATAGCAAAAGTGAGGGCGAGAAGGACAATGAAACGAATCAGCAGCATATCCTCACGCCACGACAGCCTCTCCGCAGCCGAGATCTGCTCGTTTCTGCCGCGTTCGATCCATTGCAAGCTTGGAAGCTCGCAAACCCTAAACCCTAAGTCCCTTGCCGTTCTCCTCGCCTCTCTGCATTGACTGACGATGGAGGACAGTTCTGTGGCGATATCGATAGACGAGAACCACCGCATCCGGACGCTCCCTGATGACCAGTACAGGGAGTCCGAACAGCTCGAGATGGAATGCGCCTCATTCATACAAAGTATGACGAGCTGAAAAGGGGGGCGGCACGCACCACATCGCCCTCCTGATGCCTGCCTGTCTGTGTGTTGTCTGTTCCATCAGAGGTTCAGAACTTCAATGGGACGATTCAGAGCCTGGTTGAGATCCTCTCGGCACAGGCAGATGAAATCGAAAAGGCCAAACTGCAGGTAAGACTGTGCGTGGGGAAGGCAGACAGCAGCCAGGCCACTGATGTGTTGTGTGTTGTGTGCAGGCGATGGGTCAGAAGCTGCGTGTTGAGATGGAGGCGGAGAACCGCAAGAGGCGCCAGCAGCAGCTCAAGGCACTCATCGCCGAAAAGACCGCAGAGCTCGAGCGGTACGCATGTCGAGGAGGAATGACTTGTAGCTTGTTGTCGTTCGTTCGTGCAAGGTGCTTTCTTTCATGTGTGTTTGTATGTGTCAGTTTGAATGTGTATTACGCCTCTCTGGAGAAGGTTGAGAAGGAGCAGAGGGCGCTCATCGACAAGCTGTCCAACAACGAGGCATAGAGCAGGGCAAGGCAGGACCTGCCGGTGAAGTGACATGCATCATGGCGATGCTTAGCTCGGGGACTCCACAGGGGTGTTGATAGGGTGCATACTTTGCTGTCTGACTCTGCTGTCGGGTGACGCATTCATGCACTTAGCTAGTGAGATTGTTCCCTGCCTGACAACGACACGACTAGTCTACAGCCCTCCACAAAGTCACGAGTACCTACATCCACACACCTCTCGCACTTGCACGTCTGTCTGTCGGGCAGAGCAGCCCCATCCGTTTCCACCCTCCCACCGTAGCCGCAGCCAGGGAATATACACCCACACACACATTCAATCCATCATGCGTTTCCGCACCTCGAAGCTCGCGACTGCCGAACGCGGCGGGTATTTGTCTACTGTGTCGGTATTTCTATTGTCGTCAAATAGACCACATTGCAGATATCTCCCCACATCCGTCTGCCATCGGACGTTGTACGACGTCTCGACGCCCATAGAATGGCAGATCTTGCGCATTGCACAGGCGAAGCCCTCCCCTTCATCCTCTTCATCCTGTCCATCCTCTTCATCCTCCTCCTGAAGACAGACATTCACGAGCACGCACAGACAGGCATTCACGAAGCTGGCTGGCTGACCTCGCCAGCTTCCTCCTCGTCCTCGTCTTCCTCCTCATCCTCCGCTAGACTCACATAGACTGGAGGGCTAAGGCCGTACAGCTTGTGCCGCGCTGACACATTCACACATATACACAACAAAGACCCCGTATAGGGAAGCTGTCGACCGGCGTGTGTACTCACGTTTCGACAGCTCCGTGCACATGTCTTGGTAGAATTGAGTGAAGGAGCGGCCGTCTTGGCAGCACGTCTCATGCGCCTCCTGCATGACAGCCAGCCGCCTGTCGAGGATCCGATCGGGAGGCCGCTTGTTGAGGATGCGCCCCAGCTCCTCAACCAATGCCTTGCCTCGCTGCACCTCGAGTTCCGACCCCCAGCCCCTCGTCTCAGGCATACCAGGATAGTACCCCTCAGCTGCCTCAACCGTCCTACCGGGCAGCTGAGCAATGGCTTCAGCCGTCCAGCCATCCCTCCAGCCACTGCCTACAGTAGTGAGTGCATCGACGGCCATCGTGACGTGATGGACTGAGTGTGGTTGGTTTGTTGCCGACTTACTGTGAAGCGCTTGCTCGAGGAGCCCCCAGAACAGGAGAGGACAGTGAAGCCCGCCGACTTCACCTGCAAGTGAGTTGGTGGATTGACACAATCACAATTCATGTCATGACTCTGCCTGCCGTTGCGCTGTGTGTTAATGAATCTTCCACCTCACCTGCATAAGCGACGCGCCAGGCGTCAATCAAGGCATCCTTCTCCAGCACTAGTTGGCTGAGGTACTTCTCCGCTACAGTTACAGTACTAGTGGTCGTCCCTTCGCTGCTCATGGCCATTCTGTTCCTCAGACGACGCCGAGGGTTATGGTGAGAGGTCCGCAGTGTGCGAGTGGGAGTGAAGGCGAGCACTGACGAGGGCAGGGCGAGGACGGGCAAAGTGATGAGGCAGAACACCACTCGGGGGACAGAAATCATGAGTGAAGCGACGAATGACGGGGACACCATTTCCCACTGCAGCGGGCGAGTGATGAATCTGCCTATAACAGCATTCCCGACTGATTTGGGATTGCGATCGATCAGCAGGTTAGGGTGCAGGGTTCGGTGTTTGCGAGCTTTTGGGTTCAAAGGGAGGGCGCCTGGCGTGTCAACCACCGAGCATCGAAGATCTCTCATCGCCAGATGCGGAAGGCACGAGGCGTCAGCTTGAGAGTACTCCTGTTAGTGGCGTCAGCGCTTGTCCTGCTGCTGGCGAGGAGGACAGGAGCACATGACCTTGCAGACGGTAAGAAGGTGCATGTGGGCTAACCCACAACCGCTGGAAAGGAAAGAGGTACTGACACACATCTGGATCTCCGTGTGCGCGCACAACCAGATGATGAGGAGTTTGAGGCCTCCCCCGCCTCCCCGCCCGAGCAGCCCAAGAGCACTGTCCCGTCCGCCCCACAACCGTCATCGGCCGGACACACGCACGGCGGTGTGAAGCCCGGTACTGGGCACCATCACGAGGACGAAGAGGAGTTCGACCATGCCCCGAGCGATAAGGGAACCCCGTGGGCCAACAGAGGCAAAGGTGCGCACGGACGGAGTGTGACCATCGTTGCCCGCTTGTATGGACACACACGTGTGCAGGTGCAGGTGGCGGCAAGCAGCGAAGGGACCAACCGCCGTCGAGAACCATGCGGCCCCGCCCTAGGAAAACCCCTGAGGACTTCATCCCTGAGCTGTTGGCCGGCATGCTGTTCGTGTTCTATCTGGTGCACATGTACTTCGGCAAAAACTACAACAAGAAAATCGCCATCGCCTGGTGAGTGAGTGAGTCAGCTCATAGCCGCACTTACGAATGCAGCCAGCCAGCCACGTGTGTGTGTGTAGGTTTGAGGAGAATGTCGAGACGCTCGAAAAGAGCTTTGCTATTGTTGGCTTCGGCAAGGACCCTAAGGAGGGGCCGTACATCAGGTCAGTAGCGGCTCGAGCCACCAGACACACAGCCGTCATCCACTCACGTCTTCCGTGGTGTGTGGTGTGGTGTGTCAGGCAAGAGTCGTGGGATGAGTATCTGTTCTATGCGAGTGGGCGTCAGGGGTGCAGCCACCTGCTGGCCCGCCTGCAGCTCGACCGTCGGCAGGACGCCGTCCACTCGTTCATCCTCAAGTACATCACACCCAGACCTGACACATGCATCATCGAGATACCATTCGACTCTATGGTATAGAGCACACCGAAGCACAGAAACACAGGGAAGTATGTGTGTGTGTGTGTGTGTGTGTCCGTCTGCCGCCAACAGGACACCTATGTGATGGCTGTGCTGCGCCGGAAGGACCAGAAGATCATCCACAACAAGTATGAGGACCTGGTGAGCGGCCACCAGCCCCACCCCAAGCCACCCCAAGCCACCTCACTTTTTTTCTCTCTCCTCCCTCCGTTCGTTCATCAGAAAGAGTTCGCCAAGGCCCGCAAGTCGGACCTGCCCCAGAGCCTGGTGGTGCTGGCGGACTCGGGCGACCCCGTGGATCATCTGCTGACTCCCCAGGTGGTCAAGGCCCTCACAGCCTTCGAGTCATCCCTCGTCTGCCTCCACATTTCCGACATCCACGGCGGCATCAAACTCCCCACCAGTGGTGGCAGTGGCGGAGGGGGCGCCAGTGGGTCGTCGAGCAGCGCCAGTGCTGAGTCGACCACCACAACCGCATCATCGGAGCCGGAGGGCAAGGACAGCCGATACACACAGCCTGTGTAAGGGAGAGGGGGAGGGAGGGGGGACAGACGTCTTCATTGCACTGACCGACACGTGTGTTCTGCGCTGCGTGGCGTGTGTATCTGATTCTCAGTCAGCGGGGTTTGCGGCTGGAGTATCGGCTCCCCGATCCCAACAAGATGACCGACTTCGCGTGAGAAAGAAGGGATCAGATCAGATGATCCACGCACACAACACAAAATGGGAGCGGGTATGTGCTGTTCTTTGCTGTGCTGTGCTGCCTGTCTGCAGCGACCTGCTTCGCCTCGCCCTGTATCTGATCGAGCCCGCGTCAGCCCTCAGGATATCTGAAAAGGTGAGGTGGGCAGCCGAGCCATGCACCGAACGACCATTCATTCTGTCATCCACCCGTGGCGTTGTGTGTGCGTCTCTCTCTGTCTCTGTCAGTCCCGCTCGACTGTCAACGATGCGCGTCGTGAGGTGGAGAGGGCGCAGTTCAAGGAGAGCGAAGCCGAACGACAGGAGGTCAGCCGGGGGGCATAAGGGGCATACTCACTCACTCTCACACTCATGGCGTTGCGCTTCATGGTGTCCACCCACAGAAGATCCAGAAGCGCAAGTTGGAGAAGAAGAAACAGGAGGAAGAGGAATTTGAGAAACTCACACCTGTTAGCAGAAATGGATGGATGGATGGAGGGAGGGACGCACAAGGCTACCTGTGTGGGGCGTGTGTATATGGATGTGTGTGTGCAGGAGCAGCAGCGCAAGCGAGAGGAGAAGAACCACAAGAAGTCGCTCAAACAGAGGCAACCCAAATTTAAGGTGAGCCAGTACTGCGGGCTGAGAGTGCCGAAGACAGAGAGAAGAAGGCACACACCGAACGAAGACAACACTCACGTGTCCGTGTCTGTCTGTGTGGTGCCTGGCCTGCCTACCTGCAGATGATTCGAATGTAATGTGACTTGGCGGACTCCTGTGGTGCCTTTCCTTTCCTGATGCCGCATCTGCCTAGCACTCGCTCTTCATCTCCATCTCTCTACATCCACGTCGGTTCATTCCGTACAGCTGCCGTGTGTTGCATTTGGTGGGGGTGCTGTGTGGGCGGGGTGCATGTCTGTCTGCCTGTCTGCCCGTCTGCCTGTGCTGGCTGAGAGTGGCTGAGTTGCTGAGGATCGAGATGAACACGCAGTCGTGCAGTGCTCATCTCGATGAAGAGCGACTCAGCCACTGCCAGCCAGCACAAGCGATGGATGACACGGCTGACATTCTCACGACTGTGGACGAGTTCGGTCTTGCTGCATGTGGTGGTGTACAGTGAACCCACGCGGAATGAATGGGGCGGGCGCCGCTGATCGAGGGAGGGGACGTGTGTGTGTGTCTGGCTGGCGTTTTTGGCTCTCTGCGGTGCGGACGGATGACTTTTTTGGGACCTCTGTGTGTGTCGTATCAATCAATGGGCTTTAGGGCGTCAGAGAGAGAAAAGGGAGGGAGGACGAGGCGTCAGTCAGTCAGCCAGACACTCGAGGAAAGAGAATCCAGCCTACCGTCTACCACACCCCACCCAGGGACCGTCTCACCTGCCTACCTGCCTGTCTGCCTGCCCCCCGCCTTCCTGACTCGCCTGCACCACATATCCAGCGAGTCCATGGGGAGAGAGCTACGGTAACCAACCAGCCAGCCATCCATCCGTCCACCTCTGCCTCACTCATGGCAAGTCCCGCCACGACCACCGCGAGAGGCGGGGAGGGACGTGGGTGGTGACCTGCCAGCAGCCCGCGGAAGACGTTTGCTGCTGCGTACGCCCATGGCCATACGTCCGTCATGGTTAAGGGATTGTTGGAGAGCTGCCGCCCCGACGGGGCGTACTGTGGATGCACACATAACATACACACATGGGTGCATGACGTGACGTGTCGTGTGGCTGTCTGTGTATTTTTGGTACCTACGCTCTGCACACCGACTGTTACGTTCGGATTGACACACAAGGATCTCAACTATTGAGGGAAGGGTTGAGAACCCTGAAACCCTAACCCTGCATCCTGCCGCGTGACACAAATCCTGAAACGAAGCGTGCCGATATAGCGATAGTCACTGTGGCTGCAGCCGAGTACTGCGGTGACGATGGTCATGAATTCGAGCCCCATTTCTCCAGATCTTTGCTGGGCGGGATGCTGGGCGGGATGAGGTGACCATTCTGCTCACACACACACCGGAGCAATGTCGGTGGTAGCCAAGCTCTCGGACGCTGCGCAGCAGTATCGGCGATACATCGCCAACCCGCGGGAGGCAGATCTCAGCTTCGCCACAACTCTGCATGGGACCGTGGGCAGCAAGGACAGCCAACCATTCCACAAGGTCACCGAGGATGAAATCGGTGAGTCCGCAGCGACAGGAGGAGGGAAAGGAGAGATCTGCTCGGCCATGGACACACAATGATGAGTGAAATGCATTCGTTGTGCCTCTCTGTCTGTCTGTCTGTCTGTCTGTGTGCGCAGCTGCTCTCAACGAGAGCCTCTTCAACGAGAGCGACGGCCTGCTTCAGTCCATCCGTGAGCAGCGCACACGCACTCACACACATACGGGTGCTCAGTTCATTCACACGCTTTCTTGTTTGTCCACCCGGCCCACCGACGTGCCGCAGGCCAGAGTTGCGCTGACAAGAGCAAGCCGCTGCCGGATGCTCGTCTGTATGGCCTCAACACGTGCGCCAAGTTCATGTGGCGGTGCGGGAGGGACGCCGGGCTGCAGCACCACATGCCCGCCATACTGGTGGGCTGGTGGACGGGGCGGCTGACCAGTGCACTTCCAACAGGCCCTGGCCTGGCCATCCAGCTCACCTGATGGATTGATGTCCGCTCGTGTGTGTGCAGAGGAGCGGGTTTGGGTTGTTCCAGAAGGACGAGTCGAAGCGCGTCAAGAGGGCGGCGCTGTATCTCATGCTCGAGGCCATCAAGTGCAACGCCAGGTGGGTCTGGGGTTCTGTGGGTGAGTGTGGGTGTCCACGCACAGCCAGACAGCAACAGGTACACGTGTCTTGTCTGGACTGGATGTGTGTGGTGTTTGGCGGGTGTCAGGTGCGGCAGCCCTCTGAGTGCCCAGGAGATGGAGATCGACAAGCACATCGGCAGACTCATGGAGGAGCTCAAGTCGTTCAGGACCAAGATGGGCCCACAGGCACAGGGCGCCCTCTACGTTCTCTTCGGTGCGCATGGCACATCACATCCACACACACCTCTCTCTCACGGACATTCAACCTGCCTCTGCGCGTGTGTACGTGTGTGTTCAGCTGGCATGATCGACCTGTATGACGATCACTTCTCGCCCCAGCAGCTGAGGGACATCGCCAGCACCATCAAGACGGTACGCACGAGCCCACTCATGGCTCTTCGTCCACGGCAGGGCAGGCACCATCCGTGTGTGTCGGTTGTGTGTGTGTGTGTATCTCTGTGTGTGTGTCTGTGTGTGCAGGTTATGGAGTCCTCCATGTCGACTCTCTCCAAGGGTTTCGAGCCGTCGCTTATCGAAGGTGACTGAATGTAATGTCATCCCACAGAGACACACCCACTGCTCGCCTCCTCGTCTGTGTTCATCAGGGGTTATGAAGGGCCTCGAGTCCCTCCTCCACAGGTACCTATGCTGCCCCCCCCCAGCCCAACACACAGCCACGTGCATCCGCGCGCACCTCACCGTTCCGTCCGTGTGTTTGTCTGGATGGGATGAAGGCACGCCGACGCCTTCTTCCCGGCCGACCAGCCCGACCACAAGGACCGCCAGAGGATGTACACCTTCATAGAGGGCACGGCCAACTACGTGCAGGGGTCGGGAGGATCACTCGCACCCATGGTCGGCAAGCTAAGCGCGCCACACACAGATGGAGGCGCGAGAATCAATCACCCATCATTCTGTGTTGGTGTGCAGAAAGCCGCCATGTCAGTGTTGCGTCGACACGCCCAGCTGTTCCGCAGCCAGCTGCTGGCCGAGCTGAGGGCGGTGCCGGCATACCGCAAGAAGCGGCGAAAGGAGAGGCTGGCGGCGCGGGAGGCTGCCAAGGAGGCCAGCGGGGGTGAGGCTGCTGCGGCGGCCGAGGGACAGCCGGCGGATGATGACGACGAGGACGACGCCAAAGACAGCACCATCATATTCGGTAAGGACCGATGCGATGCGGGAAGAGCGAATGACAGCGCATCCATCCGACCACGCCTATCTATCGCTGCTGGCTGTTGCTGTGTGGCAGACAAGCTGCTGACTGGAGCGGCACATAACAATTCGGTAAGCAAGTGACGGACACCCCCATCGCCACCAGACACGTATACTGTCCTCCGTTCTCCTGTCTGTCTGTCTGCATCAGTTGTATGCCTTCGCATGTCGCGAGTGTCTAGAGGACATTCTCCGCGACATCTCCCGCTACCTGTCCGACCTCATGGACCACCAGCCCAAACCTGACGACACCGAGATCAAAGACGAGGAGGAGCACGGAGAGGCCGGCGCTGAGCACACGGGGGGGGCGGGTCGCAAGCGGAGGATCAAGCAGGAGGAAGAGGAGGAGAAGATCGCAGCGCCCACACAGTCACAACTCGCCCTGTAAGCTCGCTCCACCGGCCAGGGTGCGTATGGCAAGGCGGTCGGTGGGATGGGTTGGCTGTGTGTGCGGGTGATGCAGGTCGGTGAAGGGCGTGAAGGCCTTGGCGCGGGGCTACAGGGGCCGGCTGACCAGGTGCCACGAGCTGCTCGGCGAACAGGGACAGCTTCTGCCAGGTCAGTCCCTCGGCTTCTCTGCACCAGTGCCTTCCCTGTGTATGTGTGTCTTGGTGCAGAGAAGCACCTCAAGACGACGTTGAACTCTTGCATGGCGATTGGTCTGCTGGCGCCGGTGCTTGTTCGGGCGGACGGCACCGACTGGGCCATACAGGCGCTGCACCAAATACTCGACCTCATCCACGCGTAGGCGCGATGAACGGATGGATGGACGAAGTGTCTGTGTACGTGTGTGACATACCGGTGTGTCTGTCTGTCTGGCTGTTGATGTGTTGTAGGTTGGAGCCCAAGCAGCCAGACACCGTGGCCATGGTGAGACTTGCGCCGCGAACGCGAACACCACAGCAATACCTCTGTGTCATCTCTTTCTTGGGTGCAGTACTTGCCTGGGTTCATCAAGGCCATGTCCACTCTCTTGCGGCCACTCACATCAGTACGTTTGGGCCCAGCAAGCACCAGTAGTGTCATGCCCAGCCAAGGACATGTGGACACGTGTTGCTGTGTGGCAGGTGATTGAGGGCTCCACGTGGGGCCGCGTTGTGCATGGGGTGGGCGGCCTCTTCACCTGCTTCCACGCCACTTACACTAAGGCACGGCCACGGTTCGCAGAGGCCGTCATAGAATTCACACACACTCTGGTAGACCGCCACACACACACACACACACACTCCGTGCATCCATCGTCTCTCTGCCGCTTTGTGTGTGTCAGCTGGATACCGAGGAGCGTTCGCAGCCTGAGTCCCAGTTCAATGCAGAGGAGTGGCTCGACACACTCATACAGAGAGGTAGGTCACAGCGTGGCAGCAGCAGCAGCAGCAGCAGGAGAGCCGGCGGCACCACATGCGGCTCATGTCCATATCAGGCGTGATGGCGACTGTCGTGGCTGCTCCCGATGCGCCCAACGAGCTGTCCCCGCTGCTCCGCTTCTGGCAGATCCTCTTCAAGAACCTCGACGAGGCCATCGCAAACGAATACAGAAAGCAGCGGGGCGCCGCCAAGGACGACACCGACGTCAAGATGGAGGACGGTGACCATGACGACCATGACAACGACATGGACGCCTCCCCCGTCAGCCGCCCACCACCATCCGCACAGCAGCAGCAGCAGCGGCAAGAGGAGGAACAAGAAATCGCCCCTGAGGACCGTGAAGAGGAGCTGGATCTGGGCCTGGGTGGAGGGGGGGGCACGGGCGAAGCGGGGCAGGACGACGAGGGGCCGCCGAGCGCGGCAGAGGGGGACGGCGAGGGAGATGGAGGTGAAGATAGGGAGCAGGAGGCCCTGGCTCTCATCCCTTCGGCGTCGGCAGCCGACCTCACCCTCAAGGAGCGGAAAAGAGTTCGGGCGCTGCTGGCCGAGTCGCTGCTCAAGACCTGCCTGGCGGTGAGCCGTATGAGTTTTACCAACCAGATCGCCTTGGTGGAGGACCGCCGCACGGCCGAGCAGTTCATCACCGAGACGTCACGGCGGGGCCGCAGGGTGGCGGAGGGGCGGCAGGAGAGCCCTGATGGTGGGATGACATCTCGGCAGGCGCTTGTGGACATCGGCATTCTCAACGAACAGGCAGCCGCCACCTCACTTATGGTGGGCAGAAAGAAGGGGTGACGCGTCTGTCTGTTCTGGCGAGGGGGTGGTGTCTGTGGTGTGGGGTGTTGTGGTGTAGGTGGGTCATCTGGCCATGTTGATTGAGGGCGTCTTCATTGACAGGACACACTACCTCATCCCGTGGTTCGAAGCCATATCTCCATCCATCCATCCATCCGTCCATCCCCATGTGTGCATGTGTGGTTTGTGCGTCTGTGTCAGGGTAGAGCAGTATGTTCGGCTGAGCTATAAGTATCTGGAGGGCATTGCATTCACCGACTCCCTCCCGCCACTCGGCCTCTTCACCATGCTGCACTGCCTCATGCGGCCTCTCGCCAACCACATCAACCAGTACCCACCAGAGAAGGACAAGGTCTTCCCGCTCGCCGTCCGGGCCTACCTGGGGAGCTTCCTGGCGTCGGTGGTCGAGTGGGCGCCCCAGTATGAGAACGAGCTGCTGTGTGAGGCGCTGCGGATGGTGCTGGCCGCGCCTCTCACTCTGCTGCCCACACAGAAATGGGTCGACCTGGGTGCGCTGGGCAATGGGTGGAGGGACGGAGATGTATATTCCTGGTGCTATTTGTGAGCTGTGGTGTCTGTCGTGATATGGGTCAGTGTGTCGCGCTTTGGAGGAGGGTCTGACGTACCGCCCCCTGGCTGAGCTCGTCCTCAGCTCCCTGCAGACATGGAAAGACACCAAGTAAGTACGCCGCTCTGGCGGGGAGGGAGAGTCTCATAGATGTGCATTGTATCTGGTGTGCCTGCCTGCGCGTGTTGTGTTGGTGTCAGGTCGGATTTCCTCAGTCGTGGTGAGCTGCAGGTGATCCTGCCATGCTTCTCCCCTTACCTGCGCGAGGAGACCAGACAAGGTCAGCAACCATTGTGTTCTTGGCGACCCTCTCACTCCCTCCCTCCCTCCCTCCCTCTCTCTCTCCGTGTGTGGGTGGGTGGTTTCTTTGATGGCTCAGATGCTGACTTGGAGGGCCAGGTGACGACAGCCGAGTTCCAGCGCGCCGAGCAGGAGCGCCAGAAACAGCAGGCAAAGAAGAAAGGACGACAAAACGAGGAAGGTATATAACACGACGCACACCAACACACCAATACACCATCACACACGGGCTCCCTCCCTTGCAAACATGCAGCCTTCGAGTTGCGCCTTGTCCGTTTCCTGGGGGACCTGGGCGGCGATGCCCACTGGCTGGTGCCGTCGCAGGGGGGCCGGCACACGCTGCCCAAGCTGACCCATCCGTCAGGTCTGGAGGGAGACTGCAAGGAGCTGCAGGTGCCACTTCACCTCAAGAGCCACCAGGTCAAGGTCCCCATCGAATACCTTCTCCAGAGGGCTGCAGAGGTCAGTCAGTCAGTCAGTCAGTCAGTCAGAAGACAGGCAGGCGACTGACTGACCAGCAATGGAATGGACCCAGCCGTCGACTCGACCCTAGCTAGTGTTTGTGTGCAGGTTGCTGAGGGTGCGAGCGACCGTCAGCTGCGTGCGTCTGCGACTGAGTTGGTGCATGCCCTGACGCACTACTTCATCGGCAAGATGAACCGCGAGCAGGACCAGGACAGGCTGGCCAAGCGGGAGGAGGCCATCTACCGAACCATCTTCCCGTGCATACTCAGGTCACACACACAGAAACACACATAGGCAGACAGACAAGCAGCCGCCCGGCCGACGGCTGCCTGCACTTGTCAGAGCGTGTGTGTTTGGCGTGTGGTGGTGTGCAGGTTGGGATGCTCTGCCGACGCCGCTCCGCGGAATGTGATAGGCGACCTGCCCCTGCAGATTGTCCGCCGAATCGTCATGGTGGCATCTACCAGGCACAAAGCGCGGGTGGGCAGCACACACACACCCACACAGAGCAGCAGCCGACATGAAGATCGCGGGTGTGACAATCATGGTATGCAGAACTTGGTGGCGCTGCGAGAGTGTCTGACAGAGGTGCTGGGCCACCCGACCAACGCCGGACTGCGTCGCCTGGGTGCCCGGTGCTACGGGGAGATGGTCAAGTACATGACTCGGCACACCGACGGGGACATCGAGATCCGCCTCAACACTCTCAACGACTCCATGCAGCAGCTCATGTCGCTCATGGGTGGGTCGGTCGGTACACAGACATACACACACGACACGGAAGGAGAGAGGCTGGACGGCGGGCCATGTGTGTGTGTGGGCACTCAGCCCATCCTGATCCGTTTCGTCGTCTCGGTGCGCTTGAAACGCTCGAGTACCTGCTGCCCTCCATTGAGAAGCGAAAAGACATGGTCAAGACGGCACACACACACATTCACACAGACACAGAGCATCCCTCCCTGAGTTGTCAGTCATGTGTGTCGTCCATCCATCCATCCATCAGATGTTGCTGTACGGCTTGGAGCTCTTCTACCGTGTGGTCAACTGCCTGGTTCTCGCTCACCAGCCCTTCCACCGAGGCAAGAAGACCCCAGGCGCCACCACCTCCTTCACGCTCACCCTCACCGCCCCCAAGGTGGCCGCACTGGGCCGCCGACTGCTCACTCTCAAGAACACCGGCCTGCTGGACATGTCGGAGCACCTCGACCGCGACCGCACCGCCAAGGAGCTGATGGAGATCCTCAAGAAGTCCCCGCAGACCTTGCCGTGGCGGGAGGATGTCGTCACTTCGTCGCGGCGGGTGTTCAAGTCGCTTGGTGAGATGGCAGCATGGCTGTGGCAGCAGTGCATGGCGGCCCCCGAGGCCGTCTCACGCGCATTCTTCTGCCGCACGCTCGAGGACCTCTACGGCACTCCCTCTTCCCTCCCGTCCGCCTCGACATCCCTGCTGTCATTCCTCGACTCCAACGCCCTCAAGCGTGCCCTCCAGGAGCACCACGCCACCCTTCTACAGTGCACGGCAGATTCTGACCAGGACGACCCGGCGGTCGAGCAGGCCCTGCGCGAGCTGACATCGCTGCTGCACGCCTTGGCATGGCTGTGCGACAGGGATGTGATTGAGCACTTCGGCATCTCCGGGACGTTCGACCGCGCTGCCGTCATCCCGCAGGTCCGCCACCTGCTGCTGAGTGTGATCCGGCGTGACAGTCGTGCAGCGATGCCTGGAGGCGGCAAGGGTATGGCGAGTGCTCGCCAGGGGTTCTGGGTGGGTGTGGTGATGCTGATGCGGCAGGACCTGCCACTCGACGGCAGGTCGCCCATCGCTATCATGCCCTGGACCGGAGAGGGTACGCTGAACACGCCGGCAGACCACGCAGAATGGGCTCATCTGGTGTGTCTGTATTCCTTCCTTTGTAGCTACGGTGAGTGACGTAGATCGCCTGTTGGGTGTTTTGGTGACGGCCATGATGGCGCCGGCAGAGCTGGGGTTCCCGGCGTAAGGGACGAGAGAGAGACCACACCGCACCGGTGGACACACCTGTACAGCGCACTGCCGTGTTTCTTTTGTTTTCTCCTGCAGGAGTGGCAGGGAGCGTGACGTCCTCCTGCGTGTATGCCGCGGTTTCTTCAAGCGGTACCTGGCCGACAAGGATGGCCGCAGCTTCAATGACATCCTGCAGAAATGGTCAGAGCGACGATCGACGCTCACGGGAGGGAGACAAACAGGCATACATACGACGGACGGTGTGCTGCCATGTGTGTCTTATTGTCTTAAGGTATGCGGATCATCCCTCGTCCGACCTTTTGCGGCTTGTGCGTCAACAGGGCCTCGACAACACCATGGACGCCGATGCTCCGCCAGACTCACCACTCTTCGACGACTTCCTCAAACAGCTCGCCGCCGCCGGACAGACGACGGACACCACAGCCACAGCAGCTGTGCTCTCCTTCGTCGGCCTGGAGGAGTTTGAGCACTACATCGATGCACTCGAGGCCATCCAGCACGCCAAGGGCCATCTCTACGATTCACAAGAGGACAGGCCCCTCGTGCAGGCGGCCCTGCGGCACGCGTCCAGCACACTGGAGAAGCTGGTCCACCGGAAGGGCGACACAAGCACGTCGTCGTCCGCCACAGCCCTGGGTGGCCGCTTCCGCATCGACCGGTACATGGAGTGTCTGTACCGATTCATCCTGCTGTTCATCAAGGACCCGACAGAGGCCGACACAATGACGGATGAGGCAGCGTCGAGCGGCGGGTGGGTCGTGGATCGCGACGAGGGCATGGGCATGTTGCTGCAGCTGAGTCAGCTGCCGTCTGCTCGTGTGCGGTGGGATGCGCGGCGGCGGTGGCTCGAGGAGGTGCGACGCGACCCCAGACGGGCCTTCGATCTCTGGGCCGCCAAGGGCGGACAGCCACGCGTGAGTCGAGTCAACTCACCGCCACTTCACTTACAGCCCGCAAACAGACAGAGCGTGTGTGTGTGTGTGTTTTCATGTGGACAGGCATTTCTGAAGGTGTTGCGCGACATGGTCAAGCTGGCGTGCCATGTGACAATCCCTGACGCCAAGATCGCCCCTCCCCCACGTGCCAATGAGGACTTCATCATTCCATCGGCCACGAGCCACCCCGACTGGTCGGTGGGCTTGGCCTGGCTGCTCATCGAGGGGCTGCCCGCGCTCAAGCCCTATGTGGAGAGATGCACCAGCGAAGATCTGGACAAGCCGCAAGAGGCCACACCGCCGGAGCGCAAACGCATCAAGGTGGGCGAAGCAGAGCGGGTGGTGTGATGGGACCTGCATGACCCGATTTGTGATATCGTGTGGTTCTGTGCTGTGCTGTGCTGTGCTGTGTTGCGTGTCAGAGGGAAGAAGACGCTGAGGAGCCACCGAGCCAGGCCGAGTCAGCCAAGGAGAGCCCCCCGTTCCGGCCATGCCGCGACTTCCTCCCGCTCATCGCTGCCATCCTCAATGCGGCTGCCGATTGCCCTGTGCTCTTGACTGCATTCGCCGCCAAGTAGGCCAACAGAGACCAGCACAGGCGGACCAAGTGGTGGGTGGGTGACATGTGAATGGTCTGTCCCATGTCTGTCAGTGAGGGTCTGTTGGAGTGGGTCATATCGTTCATGGATCGTGTGGTCGGCTCGGGCGCACATGTGGGGCTGTCGACGCGCTCCCTCATTGTCAAGGCCATACCCACACTGATATTCCGGTAGGTGGGATTGTGGGCAGCAACGACACACACACAGAGAGGTGTGTATATGACGCGTTGCGTTATTGCCTTTCTCTCCATTGGTGCTGTGCTTGCAGAATTCACCTGGTGGGAATAGAGCTGTCTGAGCGCCTGCCGGCCGATGGCATCGACACCAGCGGCAGTGGGCTGGGTGCATCCCTCCGTCGGTGGGCGTCAGGAGTGTCATCCGACCGCCTCGCTGATGTCGTGAAATCGATGATCGAGCGGCTGGGCGACCAGCTGCGTTTCCCAATCAGGGTGAGAGATCGAGGCAGCACGACACGCCGCGACGAACGATGCACCTTCTCCCTTGCTGTGTCCTCTCAGTCCGACGAGATCCCCACTGTCGAGGAGGATCGTGCCTTCCAGGCCCTCCTGGGCGCCCTCTTCACGGCCAACAAGCTCTCCCTCCACCTCCCCGCCACCATGTCCTTCGCATTCATCCCCTCCACCCGAGCACCCCCCTCGCCCCCCACCCTCCCTCCCCGGCTACTGCTCTCTCTCGTGCAGGTCTTTCTCCGCGAGAGGAAGCCGGAAAGGGGCACCAGCAGGGGCGGGAGGCGGTCCAACCGGTCGGCTTACTACGAGCGCTTCGATCAGTTCCTGCGGGGGTACATCTTCATGGCCGCGAAGTCTGAGCGGATGGCGAGGGCGGTGTTTGACCACTGCTGGAAGGCGTTCGAAGCTCAGAGTCCCTACAAGATGGCCAACGGCAGGCCGGAGAGCGTGTGCATTGAGCTGATGGAGAAGATTGCACTGCCGCTGCTCTGGGAGCTGCCGACGTCGCTCAACAAGGTGACGTTCTCACAGCATACACACCAACAGATGGATGCACTCTCCGCTCCCTTGGTTGCGACCAGAGTTTGTGGGTGTCGTATTGGCGGTCGATGGAGCGGTGGCTGCCGATGCAGGACAAGGACGAGAAGCTGCCGGGTGCAATCGAGCCGGAGAAGTACACCATGCACGTCTGGAGCCGATCCGTGGTGCTCGGCATCATGGAACTACTCTTCTGTCGGATACCACAAGAGGTCAGTCATCGCACCGCGCCAGGCCGCTCGACAGCAACACCACACACACACACACAGTGGGTGGGTTGTCCCTCAGAGCATCCGCCGCGACGTGGGCGAAGAGATCGCCAGGAGGACTCAGGGGGCGGTGGACAAGATCCACAAGCACGTCATTAAGGCCGCCAGCAGGGCCCGCAAGTACCAGCCACCCACGGGGCTCAGAATCGACGAAGAGATACTCCACAGGTAAGTGTGTAAGCAGACCAGACGACACACAGACACACGAGGCGCCACACAGAAACACGGGGCGCACCTTGTGTGCTTGTTGTGTGAATCCATATGTATCAATCAGGCTACACATCCGTGCGCAGGGGTGTCTGACGGCCGCGATATGCGCCACTCAGGACGACGAGAAGACCTACGGCAATATCCTCAAGAATGCGCCGTGGGCCCACCTCATCGGCAGATACGACATCAACGACCTGCAGTGGACCAAAGACAGGTCAGCCAACCAACCACACGCACACTCACACACACAGATGGATGGATGGATGGTTCTCCTTCTGCAGGCGTCCATTCACTGTCGACACGAACTTCGAGGAGGTGCAGCGACTGGGCTACACCTTCCAGCCCTACCCCGTGGTGGCTAAGGGTAAGGGTGTGTCAGCCAGCCGCAACAAGGCCGTCAAGTTCATCAGGGGACTCGACGAGGCCGCCATGGGAGCAATGGAACCAGGTAGCACACAGAAAGTGGGGAGGCAAAGGTGGATACTCTGTCGACAGAGGCTCGTGTCTATGTCGTTCCTTCCTCAGGAGGCGGTAGTGCCCAGTTCTTCCTTGATCAGGAAGCCGGCAGCATTACCCAGTCGTCCATATTCGGCGCCCCCACCTCTCTGCGCCCATCGATGGCTTCCCAGCGACCGCCATACCTGGCCTCCCTCCCCGGCAGCCAGAACCTCCTCATGACGGCCGCCCGACAGACAGCCGAGCAGTCGCTCAAGTCATCGATGCTCTCGCAGGTCAAGTCGTTTGCACAAGACAAGGACAGGACGGCCTCGCAGAAGTCGCTGCTGGCCTCACTGTCGACCTTGACGAGCGCTGCGGGCGGCGGGGGCCGCGAGGGGCCGGCTGAGAGGGGCGGGGGGGAGGCAGCTGGGCGGGCTTGGGTGCTGCCGATGAGTCAGAGTGACGGCGATGCGCGGATGTGGCCTGGGTGGGAGGGGGAGGTGCCCGTCGACCCCAAGACACTGGCGGTGCAGGGGCTGATGCTGGGCAAGGCCTTCCAGGGCAGCGCCGCATCGCCCGCTGGAGGCGATGCCGAGCACTCCATCGACTGGAGGAAGGTCAGCCAACATCACATCACATCACCAATGGCCGGACGACATTGATGTGTTGTGTGTGCTGTGTTTGTTCTGTGTGTAGGATTGGATCGACAGGGACTGGCTGTACGAGTGGCCCATTGTGCCCCTGCTCCTCAAGACCATCGACGTCATGCAGGTGCGCTTCGGAGCACAGTGGGTGCCCCCGCCACCACCGGCACCTCAACAGCTCCCGGCAGCAGCAGCACCTGCGGCAGCAGCAGCACCTGCGGCAGCAGCAGCAGCCAACCAGGGCAAGAAGGAAGAGCCCATCGAGCCATACAAGGCCGAGCAGCTGCCCAACTCCCTGCGGTCGCTGATCGATGCCGCCACGAGCCACAACGCTGACTTTGGTCTCAAGCTGGTGCTGCTGCGGCTCATCGTGGCCAGACAAGAGGTGTGAGGAGAGAGACGGGCTCGGCTGGGTGGCTGGGTAGGATGTGGCATCGCATCTGTGTATGTGTGTTTGACTGACAGTTCTTCAGGCCGTTTGCCGGCCACCTGGTGTCGTTTATGTGCCTGACATGCCTCGACGAGAGGTTCGACGCAAAGATGAAATTCCACTACTTCTTCAGGTACACACACACACACACACACACACGTACGTGTGTCAATCATCGCGCTCCTCTGTGTGTCGGGTTGTCTCCACTGCCCACAGGGACGTGTGTGAGGTGCTGGTGTCGTGGCGAGGGTACCCCTCCCACCGGCAGCAACAGGACCACGCCAATGGCCTGCTGCAGCAGATATGCCGAGTCGCCGCACACCCCAAGCCCTTCTGGATGAGACTCCACATGTGGATCATCCGCTACCTCGTGGAGCAGTGGCGGTCCTTCATCAAACCCGACAGCGCCACCATCCTCAAGCTCCTGTGGCACACCAAGAGTGTCCCTCTGGAGCACATCGCCGCTTACCGCCTCGCCGGTCTGCACATCAGTGCCATCTATGTGGAACACGGCAACACGGACCCCACCGAACACCTCGCAGCCTCCGAGGGCGGCAAGAGCAGCAAAACCCTCTTCTACGAGGCCCTCGTCCGTAGCATGGCCGTCGCCAAGAGGCCCCTGTCGATGAAGGCCGCCGACGTGATCGGCACCGTCCTCAAGCACTTCCCTGACGACGAGCTCGAGAGCCTGACGTACACTGCGCTCGAGAAGCTGTACCGCTGCACACCTCCGGTGATCGCCAACAGGGGTGGCAACCAGCCGAAGAACAACATCACCTACTGGGCCGGCAACGGCCCGCCCGCCAAGCCGACGCCGACGGAGAAGTCCAGCAGCATGCTGGCGTGGGCATGGTGCCTCGAGTTCATCACGGACAACTATCCCCTGCTGCTGGTCGGTCCGCCAGGGTCTCAGGCGCGGAAGCTCTTCAATCGTGTGATGCAGGAGACCACCAACCCCCCTGGCGGGTCGCGTAATGGTTCGGGGGTGCAGAAGATGCTGGTGCAGACGTGGGTGCACGTGAGCGAGATGAAGGTGGAGCAGCACGAGGAGGCGGGCAAGCAGATCGCGCGCTTCAGCAGGGCGGCTGCTGACGAGATGGGCGAGAGGGAGCCGTACGAGCGGATGCAGCAGTGGCTGGAGGAGAGCATGGGCGATCTCATGATACAGCTCAGCTCGTACCAGGGATGGGCTACCCTTCTGGCCAACAAGTGAGTGGCGCGCCAGCCGACACACTACTGCACTCACGCAGCCCATCCGTCTCTCTCTCCATGTGTGTGTTCACTCCCTCTCACAGGGAGTGTTCGATAAAGGTGGCGGCCGGGCAGCTGTTCAAGGCGTCGATGGCACGCGTGAGGAAGCGGGACATGGAGAGAGAGACCGACGCCTTCTCCACGGCACTGGCGGTCATCGCGCAGGAATTCCCAGACCCCAAGACCGCCGACGACGGCTGCCGATCGGCCTGCCGCGGCCTCTTCATCGACATAGCCACTTTCGCCATACAACACAACCCCATTTACATCGTAAGTGACCACACCACAGCACCAGACCACACGAGACCTATTGATTTGATGGTACGGATGCGCCGTTCGTTCGTTCGTCAGGACTCTGATGAGGAGATGGTGAGTCCCGTGGAGCAGAGCATCGTCTACCACTGCATCCGGCTGCTCTCCACTGGCACGCCCGACGACCGCAAGGCCCTCCTGGGTCTGCTGGACCACCCCCCCTACCTCGACAGCACCATGCGCCCAGACCCCGACGCACGCCACCGGCTCTCGCGCCTATTCCGTCTCTTCCAGGCCACCACTGGACCAGAAGGCCGGGTGCTGCCGCAAGACCTCCTGCAGACCACCCTCAACCTGCTGCTCTATGACGCCCAGCAGGAGCCGAGCTACGACGACCCAAAGGGCATCTTTGACTACCCTCTCGACGCCAGCAAGAGGTATCGAGAGCGGCCCGTGACGCCCTACTGGTCGGCCTCATCCATCGGCACACAGGGGGCGGCCCTTGGCGGGCGGGGCGGCGGGAGCCACAGCTCGTCGTCATTCGTGTCGCCCCTCCTCCTTGCAACACTTGAGGAGAGCGGCTCTGTCGGGGAGCGGGACGCCACCTCCCAGTGCATAATCGACATCCTCACCGGCAGTCTGGCCGTCTCTGACCAGCCTGAGGTCAAGCGGGAGGCCCCCAGCTCCCAGGCGTCCCAGGGCGACCGGCACGGCACGCTCTCATTGACCGGCCGGGCGGGATCGGTGGCCACGCCCCCGTATGACATTCAGCGGCTCATCGGCAGGTCACAGGGGGGCAGCGGCAGCCAGGGAGGGGGGGAAGGTGCGGTGGGTGGTGGTGTGGGCATGACTGTCAAGCATACTCGGCACCACACGGGGACGGAGCAGCAGAGTGAGGCGGCTCGTCAATTCGGTGAGCGGCGGAAGCGGCTGGCGTTTGAGCAGGTTGAGAGGCAGAGGGACGTCAAGCAGAAGAAGGTCAAGATACTCCGCAAGTACCGCGAGGGCGAGCTGCCTGACGTCCAGATTCGCAAGAGGGACCTCATCGAGCCGCTGCTCTCCAGCTGTGCAGACCCGCCACTCGCATCCGAACTCATGAAAGGTGCGCAAGGCAGCCGGGGGGGCGCACGTGTACTTCTGCGAGAAGGCTCACCTGTCTGTCTGTTTGCCTGTGTTTGTTGTGCATAGGCGTGTTTGTGAATCTGTTCAATCAGTCGACGGCCGACAAGGGTATGCTGCTGATCCACGCCTTCCAGTGTCTGCTCAACTCCACCGCACGGGCCCTCTCGTCCCCCTCGGCCTCCACCCCATCCCTCACCACGTTCCTGCACCGACTCCTCCTCGCCCTGCCGTCAATGCTCTCGCAATCCCCAGACCCACACAGCCTGCTCGACACCCTACAAGCGGGCGCCCTGGTCTCGCTCAACTGGATGTCTGCCGCCCTCATCATGGAGCAGCACATCTCACACAAGGCCCAACAGGGAGACGTCATCGCGATGGCGCGCGGCGGGCTGCCCATGATGGGCGTGTGTGTGTCGGCGGATGACCGGCCCGTCATGAGGCAGCTGTACTACCTCTACGGTCTGCTGCAGGAGCGGTACATGCAGCGGGGGGCGCTGGACCTGCTCAGCATCAACAAGCAGGTGGACGCCAAGCTCATGAAGGGCCTAGAGCAGGTGGCACGGCAGGAGTACAAGGCCGCCAAGGCCACAATGAGGGAGCTGGACGCGTCGGGGTCACTGGCCGATTGGGAGAGGGGGCTGTGGGAGGAGGGCAAGGTGCAGGCCCTCACCGGGCTGAGGGAGTGGGGCAACATCGCCACACAACAGCGATTAGAAGCGGGTCTGAGCTTCGAGAATGTCGGCGACATTTCCCTGCTGTCGGACACAGAGACGGCCGATCTCGCCCTCCGCCTCAGCAACGCGGCCCCCGTCCTGCGGGCCGTCGTGCAGATCACCGTCGAAGAGCCCAAGTACGCCGACAACGAGTTTTTTGCCGTCACACTGCGGAAGCTCATCGAGTAAGCAAAGGCTGAGGGGTGTCGGGATGGGGCGAGATGAATATTGTCCTGTGGTATCCCTCCCTGTTTATTTGCTACAGGCAGATGACGGGCTCCTCGTCTGGTGCCACGATGAAGCTGTCGGGTGCGGCTCCGTGTGACATGTTCCACCTGCTGGCTGCTCACGCCACGCTTCAGGCCGACTACGACAAGGCGCAGCAGGTGCTGCTGCACGGCTACACGACCGTCCAGCAGCTGTGGACACGCCTCTCGCCGCTCGCACTCCCCGCCCACCACTCGCTGGTCAGCAGCATCGCCCTCCTGCGTGAGCTGGAGCACTTTCTCCACTTCATGACGGGCAAGAGCGTCCCCGGCACCAAGGTCGTCAAGGTGGACCACCCTGGGCAGGTCGACAGAGGGGTGCAGTGCCTCGAGTGGCTGGAGCAGCGGTGTGACGCCACCAGCCTCTCCTTCACCTTCGACCCCTTCGTCGCATGGGCCGATATGGGCATGCTCCGCTGCTTGGGGGTGCAATACCACAATGGCGTCGTCACTGGCAAGGGGCTGCCGGAGGGGCAGAGGGTGGTGGACCTCGACGAGCGGCAGAAAAAGATGACGGCCCGCATCCACTTTAGTGTGGGGTCGGCCGCTCGCAAGCTGGGCAACCTGGAGGGCGCGAAGGCGCTGATGGCCAAATCGTTAAGCATTCACAAGGACAATAGCAACCCGCTGATGCCCAAGGAGACCATCAAGACCTTGCTCAAGGAGGCAGACCTCCAGGAGGACCTCGCCAAAGTGGCACAGGTGAGTGAGTGATGGGAGACTGACCAGCAAGACGCGCAAGCCGCCTGCTCGTCTGTCTCCCCTGCCATGCATTATGTGTGTGTGCGCTGTGCCCTGTGTTGTTTGTCATCAGTGCCTGACGAAGGTCGCGGGCGGTATCGCCAACAATGACCCCACCACACACCCCGAGCTCCACACGGCTTTCCGCCTTATCAAGCTGCGCTGCCTGCTCACCCAGAACTCCATCAACATCCGACGGGATTCGATGCCCGAGGACCCCCGACCCCTCTGGCAAGACCTCGTGGACACGGCCAAATTCCAGCTAATCAGGACAGACGGCGGCCACACCGACACACAGGCCATGATCGACCTCCAGGATGCTGCCAGCCCAGGTCAGTCCGGTACGAAGCTCCACGGCGCCGCGAGCTGTGCCAAGGCCCTGCTGCAGCTGGCGGACGGAGCGGATCAGCTGCTGCGGCACTATGAAGAGAGGGAGGTGGTCGAGGGGCCATGGACGGCCGACGCCCGGAAGGCACAGACCTTCTGTGTCCTCAAGCTGCTGCACGGCGGGGAGGGGGTCGGCTCCCGCAGATTCGAGCGGGCACATGCGCAGCTGCCCCGTCTGCTGGAGATGCTCGCGACGCATGGCAGCGATGTGTCGGACATATGGGCGCATTTCCGTCCCTTGCTGCCGGTGCATCTCTATCTGGGTTGGCTCAACCAGCTGCTGAGCTGGGTGCCTCGGCTCGAGCGTGTGGGGCAGGGTGAGGCCTGGCGGGAGGTCTTGAGCAAAATCGCTGAGGCCTACCCGCAGGCACTCTTCTACCCGCTGCAGGTGCGCAGCGCAATACCTACAACAGACAGAGACGACAGAGAAATGCTCACACGTTCCGTTCCCGGCTGATGTGTGGGTGCAGGTGAGTGCCGAGGCGGCCCCCAAGAGCTCTCTGCTGCAGGAGCTTCTCGCCATGATGAGGCGGCAGCGTCCCCTCCTCGTGTCCTTCTCACAAGCCATCGAGTGCCTCATGGTGCCCGAACTGCGCGCAGTCGGACTCTTCCTGAATGATATTCTCACACACCTCGCCCTAATGACCAAGGCCAAGTCGGGAGATGCCAGGGACAAGGTCAGCCCGGCACACGACAGCCCGACGGCCCATCCTGGTCACACAAGCAGTATTTCTGCCATGTCATGGGTTCAGGCAGGTGACGAGGCCCGGAGGAAGGAGCTGTGGGAGGGTTTTGTCAAGTCGTGCGCGATGCCGCAGCAGCACTTCGACCAGATCGCGGGCCGTGAGGGTGCAGGACTGGGCAACGACCAGCTGGTCTTCTCAAAGGGGCTCAAAACCGTCAGCAATGCACACGAACAAAGCACCTCCGTGTTCACATGCCGTCTTCCTGTTCGTTCATTGCTGCAGAAAGTCGCTATGGCCCTCAGAGTCCAGTCCCTCCCCTCCTCCCCCTCCGCCCTGCTCCAGACCCTCAGCACAGCATTCATGAAGCTCAACCCACACCAGGCACACCAGGTGGTGGACAAACTCATACGGGAGATCAACACAGAGAGTCACAAGAAGAAGCTCCAGTACCAGGACAAGCGCAACACAGAGGACGTGTGCGGCTGGCTGACGCGGGGCGACGGGTACTCAGCGGCCCTCGAGAAGCGGGCGTGGGGCGAGCGGAATGAGCGGGGGCTGCTGGAGGTGCCCGGCCAGTACGGCGCTGGGCTGAGGGCCCCTGACACAACCACCCACGTCAAGGTCGTCAGATTCGACACTCAGGTGAAGTCCGCCTGCCGGAGGCGAGGCCGCAGCGACTGTCTGTTGTATCTGTTCGTGTGTGTGTGTGTGTGTGTGCAGGTGCGTGTGTTGGCGTCGAAGCAACGTCCCATGAAGCTGGTGCTGCACGGCAACGACGAGCGGGAGTACCCCTTCCTGGCCAAGGGGGGAGACGACCTCAGACTCGACCAACGCATCCAGCAGCTCTTCCAAGCCATCAACCGGGTGCGCAAGAGCTGCATGGCATCCATCTCTTGTGTGTGGTGTGAAGGCATGGATGGCCCTCTTCCCTTCCTCCCTCCCTGCTGCTCAGATGCTGTCATCGACGTCGTCTCTGTCAATCCGCACCTACTCGGTCATCCCCATGACCTCCCAGCACGGGCTGCTGCAGTGGGTCTCACAGACAGAGCCGCTCAAGGGTGTCCTGGAGGAGCAGGCCAGGGTGGATCGACAACGACTTGCCAGCGACGAGAATGCCGCACAGGACGCCGCGCAAGCCAAGAGCCCGTATGTGCAGGCCGCTGAGTTCTTCTCGGGCAATCTGGTCGATGTGCAGCGGAAGCGGAAAGAGAGAGACCTCGGGGGGCGCAGGGTGGCCAAATGGAATGACATATACAAGGGCATATTCGAGCTGACCCGTCAAGAAATCCACGAGAACTACATCAAGACATGCGAGTGAGCGAGCGAGGGAGGGAGGGAGGGAGGGAGGGAAGGGCACGAGGTGCCAACATGGAAAATGACTCTGCTGTGTGTGGTTCCTGCAGGCGTATGCCGTCCGATTTGTTGCGGAAGCGACTGTGGGAGTCGAGTCTGACCCCGGATGCGTTCTTCGTCCTGCGCAAGAACTTCTGCATCTCACTGGGGGCCTTCAACGCGGCGGCATATGTGCTGGGCGTCGGCGACAGGCACCCCGAGAACTTCCTACTCGACACGCAGAACGGCGAGGTCACACAGCAGACACGCAAGCAACAAGAGGCATGGGATCCCTCTGTGGTGAATGCAATGCCTGTGCTGCAGGTGGTGGGTATCGACTTTGGCTATTCCTTCAGCACGGGCATCCGGATGCTCCCCATCCCCGAGCTGGTGCCCTTCCGCCTCACCCCAAACCTCGTCGGAGTGGCCTGGCCCATCGAGTCCGCCCAGGGCAGCGGCACCCTGCTCAACACACTCATCGACACACTCACCGTCATGCGCGCCGACCAGGCCGCCCTCACCTCGTTGTGTTCGATCTTCATCAACGAGCCTCTGGTGGAGTGGCAGCAGAAGGACGGCAAGAGGGACATGATGGACGAGGGCGGCGTGGGGGCCGACGGTGGCGATGGGGTGGAGGGAGCGGGTGTGGCCGTGGCCAAGGGCCGGCTGGAGATGGTGCAGCGGAAGCTGAGAGGCGAGGCGCCCACTGCCATACTCATCGACGAACTCATGCACACCGTTCCTGTAAGTAAACAACAAGCACACCTGGCTGCATCAACCAACTGCTTATGAATGAGATACCTTACTGCTGCAGAATTCTGCTGTTGCCGCCATGGTGGAGTCCCGCGGCAAGCAGCCGCAGCGGACCAGCAGCAGGGCGGCCTCACACTGGCAGGACCTCCAGGACATCGTGACGGGCGAGAGGGCCAACTCTCTGCGATCTGAACTGCTCCGCGACGCCCTCACGAGGCGGCATAGGGGGCCATCCGCAGGGACCAAGGGGGCCACAGCGATGAATGGCGACGGTGTGACAGGGAAGGGCGTGGTGCTGAGTGTGTCGGATCAGGCGCGGAGCCTGGTCGATCTGGCGACGGACAGCAACGTGCTGGGCAGGGCGTTCATCGGATGGGCGCCCTGGGTGTGAGTGTGGGGGATGTGTTGCCTGGCTCGGTGTTTTTATTTTGGGATGACGCTTAGATGAGGAAGGTGTGTATCTCATCGCATCTGCTGTACATAGCATAACCTACATGACCGGCCTTTCCTGGACTGCAATGATTGCAATGAGATCGCTATGAGATCGATATGTATGTGAGACTCGCGAACTGAAAGAAAGAACGAATGAGCGGGTCTCACAGCCAGCACAAGACATACGCAAAAAGTCACCAGCTGTCTAACTAACTAGTACTAGCTACACAATTAACACTGGTATCCACTTTCCAGCCACTGACTGTACATCCATCCCACCGCCCACCCCACCCGACGCGATGCGTTCAGCCATCATGCGGCCGAGAGGGCTGCCGGGCTAAGCGGTAGGCACATCGAAACGGGCCATGCTTCGATGATCGCTTGGCTCAGCAAACCCCTCGGCGACACGATGCCCGACACACACCCCAAGTCGATCAGTTACATGATCAAGAGAGCGGACTCCTGCCACTCCGAAAGTAGTAGACAGACATCGACACTGAGGAGAGCAGCAGCCCGAGCCCGCCAAGTGTGAAGCCAACCCCCGTCAAGAGGCACCCGAGGCCGAGGCCGGCGATGCCCATGCCAGTGTAGTTGGGCTCTGCGGCCTTGGTGCTGCCGCTCTGCTGCCAGAAGTCACCCAACGCGCTCTCAGATCTGTGCAGCACACAACAAGCAAATGGACACCATTAATGAATCACTGCAGTGCACTCGGGGAGGTGCGCATTTGAGCTCAGTGGTGCTTACGAGCTGCGCGTCACGTAGGCAACTTTTGGGTTGAGATCCGACCACACTCGGGTGCACCTTCCGGTGTCCCAGCTCAGAAGGCTGGGCACCTGCTCCCTGCACACACACACACACACACACACACACACAGACACTCACGTACACCCACTCATCCAGGCATTTCATTTGCCAGTCTTGTTTGTTTCTTTCCAGCTCATGAATACAGTTTGAGCTTCGTCCAGTCCTCGAACTTGAGCTTCTCGCACACTGCGTCCTTCTTCTTCTCCTGCAGAGGCCAGTGGGTGAGATCAAGACGCACAACTACTGAGCCCCACGCATACGCCATGTGATGCCTATCTACCTTGAGCAGTGCCTGAAGCTCGTCATCGCTGCTGATCTTTGTGCGCACGCCGTCGATTGTGAAAACGTTCGGCGGCGACGCCATGATCAAGATCAGATCTTCTGGTCGTACGTATCGATGCCGCTCACATCACCGGGCGCTGGTCGGGGGGAGATCTGCGATCTGAGCTCGCAGATCTCTCGAGGCGGAGCGGACGGGTGTTGAGGGTACACACAGTGATCAGAGGGTCCTCACTTCCACTCTGTCTGTTTGGTGTCCGTTGGCGATGAGTGGCTGACCATTTCCCAGATGACTTTCGGGCGGTGAGGTGACCTATGTTCCAGCCAGACGTCACGCCGGATGCCATTCCGCCACGCAACTATCCACCCCATCTCACGACAAAGAAGGCAGCACTCTATGTGCTCATCGCGTCCACCCTGCAGATCTTGTTCGTCACGGCGGAGGAGCTGCTCCAACGTCGGCTGCTGGGATGGGCCGCGCTGCCGCCCTCGGTCACTGATGACGCTGTCCGTCTGGCTGTCCGGTTCCTGCTCTGGGATGCACTGGCGATTGTGGGCTATGCGACGGTCTCCATTGTGACGCTTGAGCGCGGGCATTTGAGGAGCCGCTATGGCAGCTATGCGGAGCTGCTGAAGCTGCAGGCGTCCCTGCCGCTGATCTACATCTGCACTGCTCCATCCGAGACTCTCTCGGCTTCCGGCGTCAGCTGGTCCGTCTACTTATGCGGGTTCTTCGTCGGTCTGCTGTTCACTTACTCGGACAACCAGCCCTTCTTGCAGCGGGTTGGGTGCAAGGTGCCCGTACCGGCCCTCTGGTCAACCCTGACGCGGAAGGAGGGCGTATTTGTGGCTGGAGGGCTTGGGGTGAGCTTGGCTGCGGCCCTGCAGCTGTGTGGTGAGTTGTGGAGGCAGCAGATGCTCACACGACGTAAGCTGGGCTGGCAGGGCAGCGACACACACGGGTGGTGGACAGATGGGATGAGTGGGTGCAGGTGCACGGACTGGACAGCTCACCTAACCTAACCTGGTTGGTTCTTTTGTGTTGACTGACTGACTCGTATTTATGTGACTTACTGCCTGCCTGCCCGCAGTCGTGACAAACCTGGGGCTGCTGCTGTCGGCATTTGGCGCGTATTATCTGCACAAAGCGAGAGGGAAGAGATGGCGGTTCAGTGAGATTGGCGTCCACTTCCACCACTACATCAACGGGGGTCTACTGCCTCTGCTGTTCACCGCGTTTCGCGGCCGTCTGGCTGAGGCACTGCAGGGGGTGTTCTTCGGTGTGTACGTGGAGGGCATTGCTGTGTGGGGCATGGACCCGATCTTGTTCTGATGTATGGTTTGGCGTGTGATGTGACCGATGCACATACGGGTGTGTGGGTGTGTGGTTGGACGCACAGCAGCTTCTCTCACTGAGTTGAGGCATGCCATTCATGTATGTGTGGACACGTCAGACGTCCAGCCCAGCCCCTCTGGACGGAATGAATGGGAACGTCGTGGAAATGAGCCTTCATCGACAGCCGTGCTAGCTAGATACACACACGCTCTTTGTCTGTATGCAGAGAGAGCAGCCTCACATCATGCACCCGGCAGACAGATGCACGCATAGCACACAGCGAGCGGTGGATGTCGTTGAAGCCAACCAACACACACCATGCCACCCATTTACACACACGACAAATGCATTGATTGACACGCACGCACACGTAGCGCCAGAGAAAAAAGGCGAGAGATAGAGGCTAGCACATAAGACATACATAGAGGGCTGGCTGGCTACGGGGAGGGAAGGGCGGACGGAGGAAGGGGTCCCTCCCTCATTCGTAGTAGCACCCGAACACCATCCCCACGGCAAATAGCGAATCCTGCACGCATCGCATCCACACACAGCCCATCCATCCGTCCATCCATCCATCCATCTGTGTGTCGTGTGTCTGTTGTTGGTTGTGTGTCTGCCCGCATACGTACGTTTTTGTATGAGAATGATGACCAGTTGTCGAGGTTGATGTCCCAGAGGCACTTGGAGGCCACACGGATGCCCTGCCCAGAGTTCTCCCCAATCACCACCTGCACTATCAACTTGAAACGCGGAATCTCCAACTTCTCTGCACACACACATACACAGATACACACACAGACACACAGACAGAGAGAGATGGACAAGTCACAGGCCAAAGCCTCCCGCCCGCTGCTGTGTGTTTGTTGCGGTGTGTGGGTCTCTGACCTTTGACGGCCTGTTTGATTTCGTTGCAGAGTTCGAGTGTCCATATCTTGGCCTCGTCTTGGTGGTACTGTTTGTCCGTCAGCTTGTCCTCCATCACCTGGCGAATCACACGCTCAACCTTGGACGGCAGAAACCTGCACAATCAACAGCCCGAATGCACCATGAACGGCTTTGAATGCCTTCACCCTTCTCCTGATGTGCTCACTCACTTTTCGTTTTCTGCCGGCTCTGTGCGGTAGGTGGGCTCCCAGACGTGAACCTGCTGGCCGTCCATCGTCGTCAAACCTCTACCAAGGGGCTAGGAGCTTCGCTAGGCCTCAAATGTCACGCTGGCGCTTCTCTTCGGTGCACGAAGTAGCGTGATCCTCTCCGGTGTACCTCAGGCACACCAGCAGGAACCTCAAACGATTGAAAGAGGCGCGGTTTCTGCGCGAGCCTGGATTGCGAGCTTAGCCAAAAGGTCGCTTCTCTTTTTTCATGTTGGGGAGGCATTCACAGCTGATTCTGCTGCGCTGTTCCATCGTCTCGGCAGTGGCATCCTCCATCTCTGTCGAATCTGCATCTGCATTCATCCATCAGCTGCGAGGGCCCGCTGCGGCACACGCCGGGAGGACCCGACAGCTCAGGATGGCCACCAAAGGTCAGCATGCATGGCGACAAACATGAGTGGACACAGATCTTTTGCTTTGACTGGCAGGTGGCGGCGGCATGCCATCGGGCATCACTTCTGAGTTGATGAAAGATGTGACGAAGCTGTGGCGGATGAACGAGGGCGTCGCAAGCATCACATCGGGGAAGCTCTACGTGCCGACACCACTCTTGGGACAGAAGGACAAGATCAATGCGGTGCTGTTCAAGTCACAGGTCAGCAGCGAGCATTACACAGATGTCATCCACCCACCCAACGCGCCATTGATTGCCTGCCCGTTTGTGCGCCTGTCCATGTGCTTGTCCTTACCCACAGAGGGCCAACTTCAAGAAGAAGGCCTTTGCAGCGACATTCCCGACTGAGGGGGTGGTACTGCCCATGCCCACCGACAAAGTGGCGTCCCACGTCACGCCCGACGGCCGGGCCATGGTGCTGCTGGTGCCGGGGGAGAAGGGCAATGGCGACAAGGACAAGGACAAGGGCGGCACGATTGAGCTGTGGAGCCTCACTGACGGTGCCATCCAAAGTGCGCTGTCGGCCGAGAAAAGGCATGGCCCATTTGAGGCGGGGGAGTATGGCGGGTGCGATCTGGACGCGACCCAGACAAGGTGACAGCAGCGTCGGAGAGGTGCTCGTTTGCCACACAGCGGATGGATTGTGCGTCCATTTGTCTGCGTGTGTAGGGTTGTGTACGCGGCTGAAGTCAAGCCACCGACTACAAAGGGTGAGCGAGTCCACCTAGACACGACATTCACTCTCACCTTTGCACCTGCACGGTCCTTACTCTTCGTTACTACCGTGTGCAGCATTCTGGGATGAGGACGACAAGAAGGACGAGAGCAAGCCAGGCACTGACGGGGAGAATGGCAATGGCAGGGGGGCCAAGTATGAGTACCAGCAGTCTTGGGGCGAGCAGCAGACTCAGTACACAAAGACCAACATCTACATCGCAGGTGTGGGAGGGAGAAGACACAAGCTCCATTGATCGATCAATGAGTGAGGCATTGCGCGTGTGGCTTTGTTGGCTGTGGTCAGATTTCTCCGCCGAGTCGATTGTCGAGGTCGAGGGGCTGCCCGACGGCAAGGCTTACGGACAGGTGAGCGGCAGAAGGAGGGAAGGCAGCACAATCACTGTTTGTGTCTTTCGATCATCTCATCAGCCCCGTTGGCTTCCCGATGGCAGCGGGTTTGTGTGTGTGGGCTGGGACATCGAACCCTTCAAGTGAGCCACCCAACCACAACCACAGACAGACAGACAGACAGACAGAGGTGGACGGCCATAACTTCTTTGTCATTCTCCAGGCTGGGCCGCATCTACTGCATGAACCGGCGGTGCGCCACTTACCTTTGCCGACTACAGCAGCAGCCCAAAGGAAACAATGACAAGAAGAAGACTGTCAAGGTGGATGTGCTGCCCCTTACAAGTGACGATGACTTCGCCGGCTGGAGCCCACTGCCACTGCCGCCCTTGAAAGGCGCAGAAAATGATGATGAGTGTCGCGTTGTGTACATTTCCATCGACCACTCAAAGGTGACGCGACGACACCGAGACTCACACATGATTGTTGTGTTCTCGATGGGGGAATTCTGTCTTATCTTTCAGAATGCGCTGCCGCATATGGGCAACGTGCGGCTGATGATGGTGAATGTCAACCTGCCCCAGGACACGTCAGCTCCCTGCTCCATCAAGGACCGCAGCGTCCTCGTGGACTTCGTCAATCAGCCAGACAAAGAGGGGGGTTTCCCGGGCCTCTACGTCTTCAACCTGCCTGCACGATGCGTGTAAGTCCACCACACCTGCAAATCCATCCATCCACCCATCCATCCCCTCTGTGTGCAGGAGTGGCGACGGCAGGACCATTTTCGTCTCCTCGCCCAACAGGTGTCGCACAGCTGTCTGGGCAGTCGACACCACTACAAGTGAGAGAGCCAGCCGACCGAAAACAGTCACAGGCAGCCACCTGCCGCACCACGGGGAAGATGTGCTGGTGTTGTCACGTCAGAGAGCGTGAGTGAGGTGTACAGCACCCGAGGGGAGTCTGTGCAGTTTCTGGACTGCCTCGGCGACTACGTCCTGTAAGCGGCGTTAGATCAACACAGGCCCAGCTCTCGTGTCATGCCTTTCTGTGCGCTTGTGTTGCCCCTCAGGCTGAAGGAGAGCTCCCCCACCTGCCTGGACACACCCATCATCGCCAGATGGTATCCATCGCAGAAATCTTTTGAGTGGTCTCTCAAGACAGCCGAGGGAGATGGCAGCAAGGAAGCCCTGTCATCCCTCGGCCCTCGAGGCAGGCTGCGCGAGGCCTTGAATTGCGTCGAGTGGAAGGTGCTGAATGGCAGGCACATCCTGGTGAAGCCGACCGGCAAGAGAGATGACGGCAAGCTGCCGCTGGTGGTCAACATCCATGGCGGCCCGCACACGGTGTACGACACCTCGTTCTTCTTCACGAGTGTCTTCTGGGCGAAACTCGGTGGGATGGATTAGGGAAGGAACGAAGCAAGGACAGACACAAATGCTATCGCCATTTATGTGGTGTGTATGTGTGTGACTGTGTATGTGGCTGGCTGGCCAGGCTACGGTGCGCTGCTTGTGAACTACCGTGGGTCGGTAGGTTTCGGCCAGGACGAGCTGCTGTCCCTCCTAGGTACGTGAAGGGGGGTGGCACTTGCGTCGCGTCCACCACCAGCAAACAGATTGGTCCCTCCATCCATGGATGTTCATCTCGTATATATAGGCAAGATCGGCACGCAAGACGTCAAGGACGTTTATGACGCCGTACAGACAGCTCTCAGGTACCTACCTACCATGGTGGGCCAGTGAGTAATGCCCCTCCATCCACCACACCGGGGGGGGGTATATGCGTGTGTCCAATTTTTCGTCAGTGAGGGGTGTTTCGACGAGAAGCGCCTGTGCGTCATCGGCGGCTCTCATGGCGGCTTCCTCACACTACACATGATCGGACAGGTACCACACCCACAGCAATGCATTCGCCACAAGCTAAAGACCTAGGTGCGTTGCCATGAATGTGCTCTGCTCTGCCCCCCACCGTCTGTCCATCAGTACCCCGATATGTTCCGTGCTGCGTCGACCCGCAACCCCGTGGCCAACATAGCCTCCATGATCAGCACGTCTGACATACCCGGTGCAGTCACTTTGTTTGTGTCCACTTCCAATCACATGTAGCATGCAGTTTGTTTGTTGGTGTGGGCAGACTGGTGCTATGCCGAGGTCTTTGGCGACAAATACCCATTCGCGGTGGGTGAGAGAGAGGTGATTGATATCTACTCCACGGGTGGGCGTGTTGTGTCCTTCCTTGATGCGTCGACGTGCGTGTGCAGGGGGCTAGTGGACATGAGCTGATGGCGATGCACCGGGCCTCCCCCATTCGCCATCTCTCTGACGTCAAGACGCCCCTCCTTACTGGACTAGGACTAGACGACCTCAGGGTCAGTGAGTGAGTCAGCCGGGGAGGGAGGGAGAAACGGACAGGGCGTGGCGTACACAGACAAATGCTGGCTGTGTGTATGCGTGTCTGTGTGCGCCAACCACTCAGGTGCCTCCGTCGCAGGGAACGGAGATGCACCATTATCTCACTGCCAAGGGTAAGGGAGGGAAGCTTTTCATTCAGACAGCAACACACGATGTGATGTATGCAGAGTGAATGATGGATGGGCTGTGTTGCGTGATGTCTGTCTGTCTGTCTGTCTGTCAGGTGTGCCTTCAAGACTCCTGTGCTACCCAAAAAACGGTGGGACCACAAATAGTATATTTGTTCCCCACCCCGTGTATGTGTGTGTGTGTGTATGTGTGTGGGTGCCTGTGTGTATGGATTCGATCAGCCCATCCAATCGCCCAGCCGGAGTGCGAGAGTGATTACTTCATCAACACGGCCCTCTGGTTCCACGCACACACCCAAAAGCAGCCATAGCCATAGATAGAGCCGGCAGGACAGCACACGGAACAACGATATGGCCAGCTTCCAGACAGACAGACAGACGCGAGGTCGGAGGGAATGTCGCTCGCTGCGGCACCCCACCTGACTGTGTACATCAATCACCTGGCTGCATGTTTGACGTTTTATGGGTACCCGTGGCTATAGCTGAGTGCACGCACCTATGTGTTACGTATTAGCTGGACTCTCCACCCCTGGCTGCAGCAAAGCAAGGTCTGTCTCGTCAATCTCATCAATCTACCAGGATTGTGAGAAGAGAACCACTCTCGCTGATTCGCAAGCCCCACATCACATCGTAGCACAGTTGTCCCCCGCACCCGCACCCGGCCCCTCCACCACAACACAGCCACACCAACAAATCGCAGCGAACTGTCCCCATACATATGAACAGCATCGGGTGGGGTGGGCGAGTGATGGATGGTTGGCACTATAAAACACCCACCAGAGGTCAAAAGCAACCACCAACGTCTCGCCCTCTGCTGTGCGGGTCTCTCTCTCTCTCTCTCTCTCTCTCTCAGTAGACGACTTCCCGTGGCCCGTTGCTCAACAGTGCTGAGGTCCCTGTGTCGTCATCCAAATAATCCTGAACACAATCGGCACACGATCAGAATGCAACAGCGATTCCTCCTCTCATCCATCCATCGATCGTGTCCTCACGTGTATGTCGAATGAGGCCCCAGCAAAGGGGCTCCGCAGCAGGGGATGCCGGTAGTACGTATCTGGGATGCACACACACACAGCACAGCAGGGACGTCCGTAAGGTGACCAATTCCTGCCTGCCGTCTGTGTCTCCTACCGGTCATTCGGTATCCCGTCTTGTAGTTCTGCGCCTGCCCCTCCTTCTGCCCATCCTTCTCCTTGTGGCCCTCCTTGCTGTCGCCCTTGCTCTTGTTTGTGGCCTCGTCGCTGGGTGACTGGTGACTCTTCTCGTCACGATGCGTCCGGTAGTCTTTGGAGAACTTCTTATGGTTTTGGTAGAAGTCGGTCGACAGCTGCTGGGCGGCCCAGGGGATGTTGTCGAGGGCCGGCACCACATACGGATGACGCAGCGCATCGGCAGCGGTAAGACGGCGCTTCGGGTCTGACGAGACACGACAACAAGGTGGTTCTCCTGGCGAGTCACGACTTTAGTCGGGTTTACTTGGTTCGAGGAGTTTCTTGATGAGGTCTCTGCACTCCTTGGGCGCGTGTCTGCATGCCTTTGTGGAGTACTGGCCCTTGAGGATCGCCCGCGCGACGTCATGGTCCTCGAACCCTGCACCAAGCACATTCCGGTCTGGTAGACAGCCACCCATGTGTCAGCATCCACGCTGAGGTGAGTGTGACCGACCTGTGAAAGGCGTGAAGCCCGTTATGATCCAAAAAAGGGTCACGCCTGCATTGGCAAAGGAATATCATGGAATTGGCTGTCGTCTCGTGTGTCTCTGGTGGATGTTTGCATACCGACGCTCCACATGTCAGCCTTGCGGCCGTAGTCGCCTGCCAACACCTCGGGCGCCAAATACGGCAGAGACCCAGAACTGAAGACACATACACACACACGTACACCAAGTGTAGCCACCAAGTCCTGATGATCTTTGGAGAAGGCCCCATTCGCAACGTCCCTTACGTGTCTGAGAGTCCAGCATGTTCGCACTCGGTTTCGACAGCCAGGCCAAAGTCCGACAGCACCAGGCGGCCCTCATTAGTGACAAAGAAATTCTGGGGCTTGATGTCTCTGTGTCATCCATCCCATCCATGGGAGGACAGCAGGAAAATGACACATGGATGCCTCATTCCAGTCATGTTTGATCCCACACCTGTGGCAGATGTTGAGTGAGTGGAGGTGATGGACGGCCAGCAGAATGTGCGCCGTGGCCTCTGTCACTTTGGATGCAGGCCAGAAGAGGCAATCCACGCTCTCCAGGTCAGCGTCGTACCGCTCCATGACTGCACGTAAGGGAACGGAACACACACCGTACAGGAGAGGCCAGACGGGTACCTGCTTGTCGGAAGCTCTACTTACCAATGTAGCATGACGCGTCGTATAGGAAGACGTCGTGGACTAGGACGATGTTGGGGTGCTGCGCGAGCTTCAGCAGGTACACCTCCCGGTGGATCTCCTCCGGTGTCATCTTGGACTGACGACGCTGACGCCCCTTGATGTACCTGACGCAGAAAGACAAAAAGTGTCACCGTATAAAGCCAGGACTGCAGAGATGTGGGTATCTGTCCGATTCACCTCAGGTAGGGGTTAAGCGACTTTCTGTTTTTCTTCTCCTCGGCAGTGGCGGCCTCGTCTTCCTCAATGGCTGTCTCGGATATCTGCGTGATCTTCACTGCCTGATGGGAGACAGAGACAGACGTACACATGGACTATACCGGTCTGCATGCTCTATCTGCGTGGGTCCGCTCACCCTTCTTATCTTTGCTTCTCCCACAATGGCTCGAGGATTCCTCAGGATGGCCTCACGGCAGGTGGAGAAGCCGCCCTCTCCCAGTTTCTTGCCCAAGATGTACTTGTCATTGAAACCTATTCGCAAAGGACGAAGATACTACGTGTGCCTTTTGCTTGCCGTGCGTATGTTCTGCCTACCTGTCAGCTGTCCATTCTTGTCGGTCAGCCGCCGGAAGACGTCTGTCAGAGAGAACCTCCGTCTGTACTTGCCTCTCCCAGGGCTCCCCTCGGGACTCGCCCCCTCAGGGCCGCCTGGGCTCGTCGGCATCGTCGACATGTCACCCTCGCTCACTGGGCTCAAAAACGAACCCCGGCCACCGACAGAGCTGGCCACTGAGCCGCGCCGCATGCCCCCACCACCCTCCTTGATGCTCTCGTTGGACCTCTTGCGGAACATGTTCATCAGCCGGGAGGCCAGAGATCCCTCTCTTGGACGGTTGGCCCTCCGAGCAGCGTGCTCCACCGGAGAGCCGGGCATACTGCCAAGCCGCCCGACACCGCCCTTCTCAGTGACACCCTCATGCCAGGCGTGTGCCGATTTTCCAGAGTCATTGGTCGAGGGGGCCTGATGCGCACTATCTGTTGGGGGAGCGACGGTGGCAGCGACGCTGTGGCGGCGCTTCTCCTTGGCTGCGGAGGCAAAGTAGGACGAGGGCACCTCAGACATCTTGCTAATGGGGCTTCAAATGGGGCTGCGGATGGCGAGAGTATTGGTGTGTGGCTGCTGCCGACTCACATACAGGGCGATAGCATCGTTTGGCAAGGACCGGGCGTGCAAAAGGAAAAGGGGTGAAGAGAGAGAAATGTGGGCCGCAGTCGAGAATTTCGCGATGGGGGCGAGACGCGATCCTTTTGGAAGATTTCGAACCTTTGATGCGATAGCCTGGATGCCTTTCCGCTCATATTAGAGCACAGCTTCAGCTGCCGCAGCCCATTAATCTATTTTCTGACTTCGCAACCCTTCTGCGCGAATCCTATTGTGCGAATCCCAGCGGCTGAAGGTGGCAGTTGACGGCGAACATCGCGGCGGCCTTGTGGCAGTTCCGCCAACAGGTACTCAAGGTGAAAGGTATGTGACAGACAGACGCCTACACCTGCATTTGCCCTGATGCAATGATGAATTCGCAGCAATGCGCCACCGTGACGCGAAAGGAACACTGTCAGAGGTGGGCTGGCTGTCCGCATCATTCCGTATGACATTGTGCGTCTGTGTCAGTGATGTTAGATGGCCTTTGGGCCCACACTGGCGCGAGCCGCCGAGGAGTCCTTCTGAGCTGGTTTTGCAGGGGCCAGCCGGTTGCACCTCTTCCCCCGTCTCCTTTGGCGACAAAGAGGAGCTGGAGAGGGAAAGCAAGAGTAAGTAAGAGACACACAGACCGAGAGAATGGCACCATGCAGAATGAACACTGCCTTGTTCAGTCGTGCTGCCTTGTTCTGCAGTCGAGAACACATCGCTCTAGCTTTGAGCCCGTGATTTGCCATCCGGAAGAAAATCAAGAGATAGATTCCACAGAAGGTGAGCGAGGGAGGAGTGGAATCATCACCAGACGGGCAGAGGGTGCATGTGTGAAGCAGGACCTTGCCGTGATTTCCTTGACGCTTTTGCTGCTGCTTGTGTGGATGCATATCAGGTGCTGCGGCAACATGAGCCTGCCCATCAGTGGTGTCACACCCCGCAGCACTCTCCGGCGGTGTACAAGTGAGCCGCAGCTGGGCAGCCCCCTGCGGAGAGTCCAGTCGGAGGTGGACCGCTACATCCGGTCGGGCAGGCCCCTCCCAGTGCACGACACCCCCCTGCAGCAACTTGAAGAGATTGCCGCCGCCCTGGGCGCGGCATTCTACGGCCCACTAGGGGAGTCCGTCACATCGACCTCGACGCACAGCATCAAGAACCCTGACTGCACCTGCATGGAGTGTTGGGTAAGCAAATCATGGGCGGGGAGGGAGAGAGGGAGGGAGGGAGGGAGGGAGGCTGGGAGGGAGGGATTGCCGGCACCGATTGCTCGTTTGTCGTGTCATGTTGGTCAGCGGGGCGTTCCTCTCGCCTTCTGCTGCCATACGTCGCCGACCTCGTAGCCAGGCACGCTGCCCGAGGGCTGGTCCCAGAGATGTCGATCCAGTTGGTCGACCACCTGGTGTTCCCCGAGGGACTGTCGGGCCGGACGGTCTTTGCGGCTGAGCCGCTGAGAGCGGCGGTGCGGAGTGCGGCCATTTGCCTGTGTAGGCAGATGATGGTACGACTGGTGGATGGGCAGCAGGACAACACATTCCTGACGCAGGTAAGCAAGGAGAGAGTGTGTTCCCACCCCACGCCCCCCCGCAGCATCACGCATACCAACACGAGGCCGCACACCACCAGCACCACCAGCAGGTGCAGCAGCGTGGTGACGCACAGCCGCCGCCCGAGCAGGCCTTCCTGGGGAAACATCGGGAGGTGGATACGGGGGATTTCGAGGTCCAGCCGGAGAACGTGAGCTTCCCCATGCCGCCCCTCTGGCCAAGCGCACTCACATCCCTCTACTCCATCCCGGTACGCATTGAGGAGGAAGTGGGCAGATGAGGCTGAGGTGGTGTGGTGCGTGTTGCAGTATCCCTATGACGTGTTGGGCAGGGGAACGTTCGGCATAGTCGTCAAGGCCTACTGCAGGCTTCCAGGGGATCCCGTGGCGATCAAGGTCATATTCCACCTAGACGACCTGGCCGAAATCCATGTAAGTGTATGAGCAGGTAGGCAGTATACACACAGCGTGACACATCCATCCATGTCTCTCTCTGTGTCGGTCTGCTTGTCTGTATGTGTGTATGTGTGTGGATGGCATGCATGTGTGCAGGCCCAGGAGGAGATCGACAAGATGAATCAGTTGAGTGAGCATTCGGACCTGGCCAAGCACCGGCTCATGGTCACAGCGGAGAACCGCTTTGTGCTGGCCCACTATGTAGTGCTGGGCGTTTCGCCCTTTGCGTCGAGGGGGGAGGTCGAGGATGCGTGGAAAAAGTGTCGCAAATGGGTGAGGGGCGCACAGCACTCGAGGCGACATCATGCTGTGGGATGGGGCGTGCATGCTGCGCGTGTTTGGGGTGTGCAGGCGCATCCCGACCGCAAGATACTGCGGGACGGGATGATATTTTCGTACATGAATACCGCCCAGCAGCTGCTGTTGGATGAGGACAAGAGGGAGGCCTATGACCACAAGAAGGTACGCACACGCGCTGGAACCCTCACATACACTGCGGGCATATCCATCGTCGGTTTGCTGTGCTGTTGGCGGCTGGCTCCTTTCTGGATGGTGCAGGGTGTGAGTGAGGCCAACCGTGAGCACATCATTGCTCTCTGGAAACACGATTGCGGCCGTTTCGAGGTGGGCGACACAGAGATCCACACACATCCTACCCATATCTACGCACATCCACCCTCCCTTCGTATGGTTGGTTGTCCCTCCAGTTCCTGGTTGAGCAGGAGAAGTTGAAGCCTACCAACACTGCCCAGCCGGTATGTACGGGCGCACCGCCCAGCTGCAACCATCACCTTGATCAAAGGCACTGTGGATGGATGTGTGTGTGCTGGTTGTGCACTCCTTCAGGCCGCGGCTAAGCCGCCCGTGCCGAGTTCAGCTGCCGGCAGTTCGCCCACCAACGGCCGCACCGTGACGCCAAGCCGACTGCAGCTCGTCGTGGTGCCAGCGAAGCCTCCCACCCCCTCACCGTCCCCCTCCCCCTCCCCCACATCGACTCCCCCTGCTGCCCCTGCACCCACACGCGCCGCACCACAAGTGCAGAAAGCCACGCCATACTTGCCCCCGACTGCCGTCGCCGCTCACCCCCACCCGAACCCCCACCCTCACCCCATCCGCCACACAGCAGAGCAGCTGCCCTCGCCGGGCTACTACAGGCTGAAGGCGTCTGTCGAGGAGTGTGAGCGGTCCGGAAGCAGATGTGTAGGCCGCAGGTACATATTGATGAGGGCAGGGCCATCACACACGGCCAACACATCGATGTGATGTACGTGTGCGTGGCTGTGTGTGTGTCAGGTATCATTGCGTACCAGATGATTCGGGCAAGGTAGTCACTGGCGGGGCGGCCTACAGGCGGGCAGATGAGCTGGGCGTGCCCGACATACGATACGACAATGAACACATAGAGGTCCTCCTCCCACCCACATACACACAGACACAGACACAGACAGGGACAGAGACACGTGTGGATGAATGGATGGATGGATGGATTTGTGTACTGCAGAAGGTGAGGGAGTCGGTGAAGGGCCCCAACTGGCCGCGGCAGGAGCTCTGGGACAAGCTGGACCTCGCCACCAAGAAATTCCAGGAGCCGCCCTACAGGTCACTCAACAGCCTTCTCGACTACATCTCGCTCATGCTCGCCTACAGACGAGAACTGCGGCTCACCGCCCAGGAGGTCCGAACTCAGAAACCTACACGCACACGACCTGACATGACCTGACATGGCATGACATCCATGTGTGCAGCTGGTGGACCCAACGGCGGAGCACCCCGTGTTCGAGTCGATGCGGGAGGAGATCGCCCGGCTGCTGTCCGGGTGGAGCCCACGGGATCGGTACGAGCCCACGGGATCGGTACAACCTGGAGCAGATCACGGCCGTCTTCAACCCCAAGACGCGAGACTTCAAGCCGCGCACATGAGCACTCAAGGGGCCCGTGCCGCCCTTGTGCCCCCCCACACCCATCCCCACACCGCGACCGTCAGCCGGCCCCCTCAGCCCTCCCATGGTGCGCCAGAGCCCCCCTCGCGGTCCAACCAAACTCGCACGTAACGCCAAATCTGTCCGGTAGGCAGAGGGAGGGAGGGAGGGAGGGAGGGAGAGAGGAAGGGTGCACACAAGCGGAAAAATGAAATCAAGAGTGCAATAAGCTCCCCTTCCCCCTTTCTCCGTCTGTTTTTGCTGCAGGGGTCTGCGCCTTCGGAGGGACACGACGACGCCCGAGGACGGCTGAGAGGGTAAAAGCGGTTGTTCCACAGAAACAAAGGGAGAAACCGTCTGTGAGTGCATGTGTGTTCTGCAGGTGGGTTGGCAAATCGCTGTCTGCATTTTATATTCGTTTGGCTGTGTCTCACCTCTCAACGGACCACAAAGGACAGCATCGCGTCTCGTTGGAGGTGAGAAGGGCTGGAGGCAGACCAGTAGATAAGGAGAGAGGCTCAGCAGAAAGTAATGGCAATCGAATGCGTCTATTCCTGTATATTCCCGTCCCTGATGCAGCAGCACCAGCAGTACACCCGCGGCTTCGGTGAGGCCGAGTTGCGCCGCACAGCCGCAAGGTGGGCAACGCCAGAGGACATCGCGGCGATACGGGCGCTCATCGCGGCACACCGGGACCCCTCTAAGACCGACGCTGAGGTCCACGAGCTCGCCCTGAAGGTCCCACACATGGGGGTAAGCGGGATGGGGCAGCAACGAGGGCAGAGAGAGTGTCAGCTCAGCCTCCCAGTCAGTCTCACTACACACAAGTGGAGGGTGACGGCAATGGAATGCATCACATACCCTCATTGGTGTGTTGCTTCAGGAATGCGCCGAGGGCGGTATCGCCCACCTGACGGGAGTGGAGATGAGCGACCTGATTCAGGCGATGGGGCGGGCGTTCGGTCCGAAGCGCGGTGAGCAGAAGGGGACCAAGACGATGGACCTCGTCGACGCCATGGCCCGGCCCTCGAGGGCGGCGGGTGAGGAGGGAAAGACAAGATCGCATGAGACTGTAAAATAGCCATGTGTGTTATGCGCCTCCCTCTTTTCGGCCCGACATTCCCAAGACCAACCCTGTCGTGGCGCTACTGAATAGGTACGTGAACACGAGACATAATAAGGCAGTCAATCCAAGTGTGTGTACGTCTCCCGCTCTTTGGTGCTTAGAGGCGTAGATGCTCACCTGGCTTGCGTCTGTGCGCGCGCGCGTGTGTGTGTGTGTATCGTGCAGATTGCTGCAGGTCAACCCAGCGGATCGACTCAAGGCAGATCAGGCCTTCTTGGACGACGCGTTCATCGCGGCCCGTGCTCACAAGGCAGGTCAGTCAATCAGCTTATGGGCAACACTGAACCACTCCCCACCGCAAGTGTCTCTGTCTTTCTGTGGCTGCTGGTGCTTTCAACAGCTCAAGCTGCTGCTGCCGCTGCTGCCGCCCTCGCACCACAGCCACCAGTGCAGCCGCCTCCTGCAGCCGCACCACAGCACCAGCCGCCTGCAGTCAAGAAGAAGAAGAAGGCCGCGCACGAGAAGGCCGCGCACAAGAAGGCCGCGCACAAGAAGGTCCCGCACAAGCCCAATAAGGTGTTCAAGAAGAAGCCCACAGGAAGCAGCCACATCGGGAAGGGGCAGCCGTCGGTCCAGGGCAAGGGCAAGAACGAGGTGGTGGGAGGGAAGCAGACGAGAAAGGCCATCGCAAAGAAGACACTCGCAGGAGCCAGCCATGGCGGCGGGAAGGCGCAGCCATTGGTCAAGAGGAAGGCCGCCAAGGCCAAGGCAGGGGACACGAAGGAGGCTATCGCAGAGAAGAAAGCCACAGCCACGGTACGAAAGAAATAGGATGAATGGATGACAGGATGACAGAGCCACGACAAGGACCATGGCGAGCTCTGTGTGTGTGTGCGTCTGTGCAGGCTCCTGTTTGTGAGGTCAAGGGCAAGACGAAGGTGCAGGCCATGCGGGCCAAGGCCGGCGAGGGCTGCGGGTGAGAGACAGACAAGCTGCGGGTGGATTCCCATGTATGTTGTGCGTCTCCATCCTCTTTTTTCGTCAGAAGACAGACCTTTGAATCGCCGTCTACATTTTATATTTCGTTGGCTGTGTCTCACTTTGTCAACGGACCTCTTCAGCAGAAGGGAAGACTACTGCATCAGTGCGGCGTGAGATTGCGGAGGGGCCGCAGCTGACGGCTGAGCAGATCGCACAAGATGGCGAGGGCGAGAGAGGAGAGGCGTAAAGAGGAGGAAGAGGCCAAGAGGAAACAGGTGGGATGGATGGATGGATGGGTGGGAAGGTTGACACGCACACACACACACACACACACAGAGAGAGAGAGAGAGAGGGAGGGAGAGAGAGAGAGACGAAACCAGGTACCAGCGAGATTTCTTTGGCCTCCCTGTCATCTTGCCGGTGTGTGCTGCCACCTAGCCGGTCGAGATGATCTCTTACTTGTCAACGCACCACAAAGACAGAGGTGAGGCGGGTGGGGGCAGACAGACGAGAACGGAGACATAATGCAGTTTATGCTCTGCTGTTTATTCAAAGGCACGTCAGCAGCGAGCCGCTCTCGTTCTCGGGACCGCTCGCCTCGCGCCGCACATCGGCGGGTGACCTTAGAGGGCAGGAGGGAGTTGAGCCATGAGCGACAGCGCCAGCGCCAGGAGGTGGTGGCTTATTGGGGAGGAGGGGAGGAGAAGTTGCTGACGGACGAGGAGATCGATGCCATGATGCCGAGCGACGAGGAGACGGCGGCCATCGCCGAGCAGCGTCGGCGCGACAAGGAGAAGCTCAAACCCGAGGACATCGCTGCGGTGCGGAGGCTCATCGCCCTCCACCGCGACCCTCGGGCTACCGACGAGGAGGTCCTACGAGCCAAGCAGGAGATACCGAGGGAGGTAAGGAGGGATGAGGGACGATGGCAGAAGAGACGCAGAAGAAGAGGCTCAGCAATCATTGTGGCACTGCTGCGTATATTCCTTCCAGGTGTACCGCACCGTCTGCCATGGGCTGGAGCGCCACGAGATCGAAGACCTCACCAAGCTCCTGATCAGGAACTGCCGCCACGCCGCCTGTAAGTAGAGAGAGATGGAGAAGGAATGGATGACATGACATTCGACGACATACTTTCCCTTCTTCCCTTTGTCTGTCTTCTCCAGCCGTCATCGCCGCTGAGCGAGGCGTCCCTCCGGCCAGTTTGTTTCCGCCCCCCCTTCTCCCCCTTCTCGCCACACAATCCCACCCATCGCCACCACCCCCTCCCTCTCCCCCTCCTGCCCACGGTCCCACCTGCACCGTCGCCCCTCACCGCCACCCACCGACTGAGAAGATCGAGGTGCTGCCCGCCCCTGCGGGCTACTACCGAGTGAAGGTCTCGGCGGCGGTGTGGGGGGAGGGCGAGAGTGGGGTCACCGGCTGCATCGCCAGCACCGTCGCCCAGCGACCGTGTCAAGCGTGAGGCCAAGAGCGAGCAGCAGCAGCAGCAGCAGCAGCCGAAGCGCTGCTGCTAAGGAGAAGCAGCACTGCGGCGGTGCCATCGTCTGTCTGCGCACGACGCCGGTCGCCATGCTGGCAACGCTGCGGCTGGTGCGGGTGGTGGTTGTGCCGGTGGTGGGCCTGAGCGGGAGGCCATCGAGGCCGCCGTGAGCTGCACCCAGCACAAGGCGCTGTGGGCGAGTTTGGTGAGCTGCTGGTGACCCCGACTCTCTTCCCGCTCGACGACTGCGACCTCTACACAGAAGAGGAAATCGCTATGTGGCTGGCTATGAAACAGCGTTGCCGACGCTGATGCAGCAGTCTCCCGGCTGATCGTCTTGTCGGCAGCGAAAAGAGGGGGTCGTCAGACAATGGAGACGCCACGATTGGTGCGGGTGAGGCGCTGATGGGTTTGCCGGAGGCTGCGAGGGAGGGGGAGAGGCTGGAGGGCAAACACTCGCTGACCACGGCTGCAATGTCTGTGTCTGTGTCTGTCGTTCTTTTCTGTCTGCAGTCGCGGCGGGTTCGACGCCTCCCCCACTCCCTCCCCCTGTCCCGATGCCCGTCTACTTCGGCCGCCCGCCATACATCCCCCCTCCCTACCGCCGCCCCCCCGCCGCCATGCCCCTGGTCAAGCCGGACAAGTGCTGCCTGGTGGAGGGGTGGGAGCGCCTGTGTGAGTGTGTGCATGATGGGGTCGTGTATGTGTGTGGGAAGGTCCGGGACTTTGTCGTGTGGGTGTGGGAGGGCTGTGTGTGGGTGGCGACATGTGGGGGGGCCTGCTGCGTGTACTAAGTAGTTTGTTGCATCAAACGTGGGGGCTGCAGTGTGCGTGCGAGGTGCTGGTTTCTTTTTTGAGCGCGTTGTCTGACCGTCACCACACCACGTCCGTCTGTCCGTCCGTCCGTCCGTCCGTCTGTCCGTGTCTTCTGTGTGTTTTCACGTGCCGTCTGTGCTGTGGTCTGCTGTGGTCTGCTGTGTTGTGTTGTGTTCTGTTGGGCCTCTGCAATTTGCTGACATTTGCTGCTCTTGCTTAGCACTTGTGCTGTTCATTTGCTTATTTGCTGCCTGAGTGACGTTCTTGGGTGTGGAGGGCAGGAGGGAGGGAGGGATTGAGGGAGGGAGGGAGGGGACTGGGAACTCATGAGGAGGGCGGACGGGCGTTCCTTGTGGGGTAAGTCAGAGGCACGACACACACACACACACACACACAGAGAGAGAGGGAGAGAGAGATGGCACCTCCAACTTCTGGCGTGTTGTGTTGGTGCAGCGTCAGCTATGTGCACGGTCGCAATGGCGCCACGCGAGCATTCCCTGTGGGCTTCTCGCGTGCAGACGTCCAAGTCGAGGGCAACGACTCCACTGCGGCGGCCATGGAGGCCATCAAGCTGCGCAACCAGCATGCCAAGAAGCTCGGCCTTCCCCTCTTCGACTGAAGTATATGCGTCGGTGCGGCTGCCGGCTCACGGCAAGAATGTGTTTCTGCTGGGTAAGGTGCGAGTGCACTGGCGGTGGATCGTGCTGCCGGCCTACGGGTACATCACGGAGGCGGCTCATGTGGACTACTACGACAACGTGGAGTCGCGGCTGGTGTCAGTCAGTCAGTCTACCGCACACCGGCACTGCCGCCCGAGCCACAAGTGAATGTGGAGGTCTATAGTGTTGTGGTCAACTTCTCGCCGAAGCTTCAGGTGAGTCGGGGAACAGACAGGCAAATATTCCGATCATGCATCTGCCTGCGTGTAGTGTGGCTGCTCTTCTGCGTCGTTTGTCAGATCCACCGACACGTCAGAGTTTGTGTTCTCTCTAAAGAGAGCGCGGCGTCGATGACGATCAGCGTCCCCGAGCCGGTCATGGGCCTCTCCCACACCCCTGCCACCGACTGGGTCCTCTCACACCCGCCTGTGCTCCTGTCCAGCCGCATCGCTCTCACCATCACCTTACCGAGGCCGCGGAGGGCCAATAAATCGGCGGCCACCTGACGCGCCCCCGCTACACCCCTGCGCCATCTGTGTGTATCGTCACTCACGAAGGGCGAGATTGGGAAGACACTCACCGTGGAGACACTCGTCTGCTGCACCGAGGTGCGTATGCGTGTGTGGATAGATGGGAAGCACTGGGAAGCAGGATGCCTGAGTGCGTGTCTGTGGTGGTGTTGTGGTGTGTTCAGGTGACGGACACGGTGTGTTATATGAGCCACCTTGTGCGAGACGCGCCGACACATGAGCGACTTAACCCCTTCCTAAACCGAGACGCCAAGACGCCCGACGAAAAGTGAGCAGATCAAGCGGACACAATCAAGACCCCCAGACGGCCATCTCTCCCTCCCTCTGTCCATCAGGCTGAGGGCTGCAACGGCATCAGCCGTCAGTGCCGTGGAGCTGCGTATCGTCAGTATCTTGCTCGTCGCCATTCGCTGCATGCAAGACAGCCCTCCCCGCACCCAACCAACGCCAGGCCCCAACTCACCACATCCCTCCTGCTTAGCCCCGATTCGCCCACCCACGCCACGGCCATGGTGACACAGCTCTCCAAGGACGACAGCTGGATCGATGAGGGGCTGAGAGACCGCCATGGTGGTCGGGATGATTGGCCGTGCGAGTCGAGCGTCTCCCTCAGCAGGAGGGTGCCCTTGCTGGGGCCGGGCACGGAGTCAGTGGGATCACCACATGTCGAATGCCCTGGTGTCGCGGATACAGCGGCTGGCGGCCCATCCAGGGGCACCAACACGACAGGCTCCCGCTGCCGAGATTCGACTCAGCACAGCGGCTGATGTTCGCCCGTCAGCACGCGAGGCGCCACCTGCCGACCTTTGACTATGGGGATCGAACAGCGGGCGTCCCGTGGCCACGGGCAACGGCCTCTACGGCGTTTCTGATCGCAGCCCTTCTCCCATCTCGCAAACCCACCATATCTCGACAGACGTCACGGCAGCCCTCGCAGCTGGAAAGAGTGGGGAGCGAATGCGCCATGGCCGTCATTGGGCGGGTCTGCCAGATGCTGCCCGCCCCGGAGGTGCGGGCGCCTAACGCACCACTCCCTGGCTGCGTTCGATGCCGCGTCGTTTGTCAGCTACCGGGCGGCATCCGCCTGAGTGCTGGCTGGTTTAAGAGAGATGGAGGCTCTTGAGATGCTCATTCCGGCGTTACAGCTGTTCGCTCTGCTGGACGCGTGTTTGCCGCCGCCAACGAGAGAGGACGAGACCCCCACGCCGCACAGAGAGACCGGCGGCCTGCCCCACGTGGCCATACTGTCAACCCGTCTGGGCAACGGCATCGTGCTCGCAGCTGGGGCGTCCGTCGGCTCTCATTAGGGCTACTCCCACCCCCTCGTCAGCATCCCAGAGATCGCTGGAGGTGCGTCTCGACAACGTGCCTCGAGAATACCACCATGACGACTCAGGCATCTTCCCCAGCCCGCCAAGCTTTTCCTGGAGGTCTTCTTGCGCACACTGTTGCGGGGCGACACAGCCACGAGCACCAGCCCGCCGCCCCGCCGGCTGGGGACGGCCGAGCCGCCCACACTCGAGCGGCGGCACTCTCAGAGACGCAGGAGCGAGACCCTGCAGCCCCCTACCTTTGCCCTGGTGAAGCCGGCCCAGTGCCTGACCATCAATGTGTCTTCCGAGCACCTGCACCTCATTCTGCAGCTCCCAAGCACTCCCCAGATGGACAGTGCGCATACGACGAGGGGCATTGCCCGGCAGCTCTCGTCGGTATGGCTGACCAAGGCAACTGCGGGTAAAGGGGGATGGCGCGGAGAGATGGCAGCTGTGTTTGGTTGCGAGGAGGGGGGGCAGCGGCCTGGCGAAATCCGTCCCGAGGTCGCGGCAGCTGTCGCGGAGCCACGCGAAAGATAGGGGTACACGAATTGGCGTCCATGTGCAGGTGAGTAAGCGGGGGCACCAGGGACGAAATACAGACAGACAGACAGACAGACCACACTCCATGTATACTGTTTGTCATTGTCAGGCGGTTGGGTGTCACGTCAAGTTCGCCGCGTGGGTACTCGTTGAGACTCGGGGGGCCAAGGCATGCCGCACCCACTGCACTCTTCCTGAGGGTGAGTCAGACGCACAGACGAGATGGGTGGCTGTGCTGCATGGTGGGTATGTGGCGTCTGTGTGAATCGTCAGGAGTGCCGGCGATGGGCACCGCTGGCCCTCTCATATTCAACCCGATCAGTGCGTCAACATCGACCTCTCCCCCTACTCCCTCCGCACACCCACGCCCCCATCCCTCCACTCACCGCCAAACCGGCCCCGGCAGAGGGCGACCCCTGTGTGTGTACGGTGCCCATTCAGTCAGCTGTATGTCCTTCGCGAGACTGCCTGAGGGGGTGGGCGTGATGACATATGAGTGAATGGCATCATGTGATGGTTGTTTGTGACGGCTGTCTGTCTGTCTGTCTGGCGTTGGCAATGCACTGAATGGTCCGGACATGTGTGTCTTCTTTTCGTTCTCCCTTCTGTTGGCCGCGCTGCCTAGCTCAGCCCACGGTGCTAGCGTCGACGTGTGAGTGCCCCTGAGACGGGTGTGAGTTGTTGATGCTTGGCTGTGGGCGACACAGCGCGGCCCTTTTGCTTGTCGGACATGTGCGGCCCCCACACGTGTGTGTGTATGCATTGCATCCATCGTCGTGTGCTGACTAACTTGAGATCTCCACGAGTGAATCTCTCTGACTTAATCCATTTGTGCCTTCCTGACGCCTCCTTGCAGTGCCATTGGCTCAGTGTATGTATACTCTGTGTGTGTATTACCTGATTGCACGACTAGAGAGCTGTTTTGTTAGCCATCTGACTGACGTACCACTTGATCTGCCGGCCTTCGCAAGGCGGCCGGGGACCTCTTTACCTGACAGACAGACAGACAGGGCGATTCCTTGACTTAGAACAGCCGCCGGACCGGTAGCCATCGTACCCTGAGATTCGCTGTGGATTGTCGCGATGCCTCTCAAAAGACCTCAACCAGCACTGGCCGCCGGCTTTGCGCTGTCCCTCAGATTAAAATTGTCCAAGACCAACACCAACACAATAGTGAACCAACACAGAGAGAGCAGCCATAATGATTGCAAAACGGCAAGGCGCCAGCGAAGCGCCAGTGCGAAGCCCCATGGCAGCACGTCTGAGGTGCTCCTTTCGTACTTTGCCTCTCCCGCAAAGGACAGGCGCCGCCACAGCGGCCAACCCACACAGGCGCCTGGGTGCTGAGGATGGTGCTGGTATGTTTGTCCGTGATTGAGGGTTGGCTGATTGACCCTGTTCATTTCGTGAGAGACCGACAGACTCTGCCTGCCGCTATGAGTAAAGTATTTTCACACCTACACAACCTGGCCATGAGTCGCTCATCTGCTTTCAGGGCCTCCGTGGGGCCGCCCACGGGTGGTGTGCCATGACACGGGCAGACTGTGGGCAGCAATCATTCAGCGTCTCGTGTGTCTATGAGCAGGCCAAGTCAACAGAGCAAGACGTCTGGCAAAATTGAAAGAACGGCACAAATGGGAATCATCACACAGCTACACAGCAGGCTACGTCACACACTCAATTAATTACCTAGCCTCCCTGGCTCCCTCCCACTGGTGCCCCTCCCACTCCCCCTCCCCCCGGCTGTCCTCCTCCTTGTCCACCACGGCCATCCCCACCACCACGACCCATCCCGCCGCCACGTCCCGCAGCCGCAGAGGGCGGACCACTCGGAGAGGAGCCCAACGACGCGAAGGGTGGTACACTGGACGGGTGCACGGAGAGCGCTGCAGGGCGAGGGCCAGGGAGGGGATATAGTCGGCTGAGCGAGCGAGCAGCGGGTCGGTGTATGGTGAGCGTCGGGCGCACGTTGGGCATGGCGGGCTGGGGAGTCCGCACGACGGAAGCTGGTGCTGACGAGGGGCCGGAAAACACCCCACCACCACCATGGCCAGCAGAGAAGTGCAAGAATGCCACACAGACAGGACGCCACAGCTATGTCGAGTTGTACGCCAGCAGGCTCATGCATACCTGGACGGATTGTATGTTGCGGAGCGTCCGGGTCGGCAGAACCATCTCCCGGTGGAAGGCCCCCTGAGGGTCCCCAATGGCGACTGACAGCATGCAAAACAGACCAATGACTCATTCACACATCGATTGCAACGGTGTCCGGTCAGCGAACCTTGGGGTGCAGCTGTCATGGTCTGATCGGTCGTCCATCGGTCGAAGTCCAGCCACAGGTCGGTCCGGCTCGGCCGACCCACAAACTCACGGGCACGTCCAGTCCCTGTGCACAGAGAAAGGGCTGAGACGATTGGTGCGGCGCCAGCCCGCATTACTCACCTCCTGCAGCCTCAGACGAAGTGAGTATCTGACGCGACGAGTGCACCACACGGCCTGTTGACGCACATCCAGACAGACAGACAGGCAAATCGTGTGTGTGTGTGTGTGTGGTGTTGCGTGGTGGTGGCGGTGTGTGTACCTGAGTGGTCGACGGTCGCCACAGCATCCACACGACCACCTGTGCAGTGAATCCATCCATACACACGCCCCAGTCAGTGGATTGAGCGTGGTTGTGCCGCCGTCGTTCTCTCTCACCTGCACGGGCAGAACTCGCAGCACCGACAGCAGCAGCAGCAGCCGATGTGTCGTCACCGACAACAGCACCATTTGACGCACAGACAAGGACCACACACACACCATCGGTGGATGGATGGATGGATGTGAGTGTCGCTTCCTCTGATTCTGCATATACCAGCATGCGATCGTGGAGCACCAGCTGCTCGGGATACGGGGGCGCCGGACATGGCTCGATGGGTGCGGGCAGACGGCACCAACAGACTGGGCACAGACGAATAGGCGGGAGGAGATGCCTGTAAGTCATGAGAAAGCGACACACAGAGCCCATCCATTGTGTTGCATGTGGGCAGACTCACGCAAGCTCGTCAGGGCATACCTGAAACGACTGAATCGTCTGTAACATGTTGGCTGCACTCGGTGTCATCGGGCCGGCGACAGTGCGGGTGTAGACGCCCTCGGGGTCCAATGCACGAACTGGCAGAAAGCAAAAGCAAACAATTGTGACACTCGATATCGGCCCGCTGCCCACATCAACGAACCTTGATGCGCCACCGTAAGGATTTCCTGCATCTGCAAGCCGGCGACGAGGATGAGGGTGTTGAGTTGGGCCTGCAGGGAGGCGAGATTGCCGCCACCGCCACCCGCCATACCCCCTGTTTGCGAAGGAGAGAGAGGGGGGAGGGACGTATAAGTGGCTGGCTGACGATTTCTCGTTGGCTGTCTGTGTGTGTACCTGAAGCCGCGCTGCCCCCAGCAATGAGATGCTCATGCGATGGATCGACAACAGAACCTGACAGAGAGACAGACACGACACACATGGACACGTAGGTGGATGGATGGGTTGCTTACTGCGATGGTCACGATCTGTGTGAGCCGCAATGAGTGCCTGGTCATCCGATGGGGCACGACCATCACCTGACACACACCAACACACACTTAGGCAAGACCACACCGTTTTCCACCCCCTCTCCCATCATCCATCCATCCATACCTTGCTGCGCTGTAGTAGGTGCGATGGCTACGTCAGAGCCCGCAGATGGCTCGGCCAGCGCCGCCGTCTCACCGCCCCCGCCTCCAAACACACACACATCGAATGTCGGGTGTGCTCTCCCCTGTGTTGACGAACGACCTACGTGTCTGTGAGGTCTGCAGTGGCATGCACAGTCGCTCGTCCACCGCATCATTGCCGTCAGCTGACACACAGACAGGGCAGAAAGGAACGTCGTGGTGCCCTTCTGTGCCTTGTGTGTGATAATGTTCGGTTCGCCCACTCCAGGGCTGAAGTGGGCGAAGCGAACGACCCAGCGGCACCCGTCCTGATGCGAAACGACATACATCAGACAGACACGTCAGTGCACACACCATCCTCAGTCAGCACTATCCGCTCACCGCTGCTTCTGGAAGGCGGGCCGGGGGCCTCTGACGGGCGAACGTCGTCTCGCATCAAACCTGCAGCACACACAACACACATGTGTGTGTCTATCAGCATGCCTGTGTTCTGAGCATCTCACTCGGCACACTGGAAGACGATGCTGCCGCTGCTGCCGCTGCACTTGCACTCGCACTCGCCTGCACACACACAGTCCCACACACAGAGATGCACACAGACGGCATGCCGCCAATCGACGCATCGAAGTTCCCATCCTCCCGTCCGTCCAGCCATCCCATCCCACCTGTCTGGCGTTGGCCTCTTCCTCCATCCGCTGGCGCGCCTCCTCTTGACGCCTCTTCTGCTCCTCCTCGACTTCCCTGACCAGGGCTTCGAGCTTTTCGGGCTCCAGCTGGGGGCCCTCCGCAATCTCACGCCGCATCTGACACCACACACACACACACACACGGACACATGTCAATACATGGACCCCTCCGCTCCCACACCCACACCCACCCACCCACCCACTTACCGACTCTGGGGTTGGGAAGAACTCGTCATCGGCGGCCACGTAGCCCCTTTGTCGCTGCTGTATGCTGGCCAAGTAGGTGGCCATGCGCGTGTGGTGGATGTACAGGTCGTGCAGGAGGGCGTCCAGGTCTGGGTCGGGTTCGACGTGTCTGGTGTGGGCGAAGAGCCGCACGAGGGTGGGGAGGATGTCGGCGAGGCGGTCGCGCTGGACGGCCGTGTGGGTGACAGCGTGCAGATCCAGCTCGTGTGGGCGGATGGGCAGCCCTCGCGCATAAGTCAGCAGCCCGGTCAAGTCAGCGATCTGACAACGGAAGGATAGGACAGGACAGGAAAGGTAAGGCCACCCATACACACACCTGTCTGATCGATCCCCAACCCTCCTCTCTCTCTCCCTCCCTCCCTCTCTCTCTCTCTCTCTCTGTGTGTGTGTGTGTGTGTGTGTATGACACTGCTTACGTTACTGAGGGTGTATGCGATGCCCCGCTGGTCCCCATCCAAGAGTTCCGTCAGCACCAGGTCGAGCAGGCTGATGGCCATCCGCCGCACGGCACCAGGCAGGTCCATCGTCTCAAAAGTGGTGTCGTCATACAGGCGGTATCGTGCGTGGTCCAATGTCAGCCGATCGATGACCATCCGCCACACGGCTATGTTGGGCATGCTGGCGCCGCGAGTGACCAGCAGGAAGCAGATGTGGGGCATGGCGCGGGGCAGGTCGGTCAGGGAAGAGAAGGCGTTGTTGAGCTGACGTGCCTGAACGACAAACACGAATGCCATCCATCCATCCACCCCTCTCTCCCTCAGTCGTCCGCTCACCCAGTACTGGAGGGAGCGTGGGTCGGTGGTGACGCTGGTCATGCCCTGGAAGGCCTCGGCCACGAGAAGCATCGCCTCGCGCGTCTCGGCAGGGTGCAGCAGAGGGCCGAAGAGGGTGTGGAACAGCATGTCCACTTGCGGAATGGTGGCGCGGCGGGGGTCGATGCCGTCAGCGACTGTTGTGGTAGCAGTTTCCTGGAGTTGCGGCGCGCTTGTGGCGCGGCGCAGCTGGCGGCTTGTGCTGAAGCCGATGGGGTAGCTCTCTCCCGCCGGGATGAGATCCTGCTGGTAGGTCAGCTCCCCGTCATCGTCATTGTTGGCCGGAGCGCTGCCCCAGTCGTAATCGTCGTCATTGGCCGGTGCAGGCTGCTCTGACGGCTGCTGCTGCTGACGGGGCTGCTGCTGACAACACACACGCCCCAGCCAGCAACACACGTGCCTATGTGTGCCCATCCGTCTGTCTGAATGTGTTCAGGGTGTTGTGGTGCCCACGTTGGCCGCCGGTAGGGAGTTGCCCGAGCCCAAGTCGTCGTCCGAATCATCGTCACCGTTCCTGCCTGCCGACACAGACACGGGGGCCACGATGAGCTCCTGCGACTGGGAAGGGACGAACGGTGCGATCTTGGGCATCTGCACATCCTTGAGCGGCTCCTCCTTGGCAGTGTGGATGTCGGTGTCCTTGGTAGTGCTGACCATGGTGACGGCGGGGGCGCCGGCGGACTTCTCGGGGTCCTCCGCAACACTCGCGCCTGACGCATGGCACATGCAGGGAAAGGTGAGGGGTTTAGGTGGTGACCAGCGAGTCGCGTGCGTACCCGCAGCAGCAGGGGCCGTCTTCTTGTTGTTGTCTGTGTTGTTCTTGTCCTTGGCCTCCTTGTCAACACTACCAGCTACTGAACAACACACACAGACATCCACAGAGAAGGGCACAGTGATGAGTGAGTGGTCCGTCCGTCCGTCCTGTCTTCTCCGTGTTGGCTGTGGGTGGCTTGTAACCTTTGTTCTCGCATGCTGCTGCTGCTGCTGCTGCTCGGTGCGATTCTCCCCCTCCCCCTCCTCTCCCTTCTGACCCTCAGCCGTCCCCTCCTCACCGCACACGCCCACACCCACACCCTCACCCTCACACGATCCATCAACTCCAAGACCAACAGCGACGTCAGGGGGCGACACCTGCTCGCCGCCCTCGCCACACGCAACAGCTCCCTCCTCACCCTCCCCCTCCCTGCCCTTGGCATCGTCCTTGGCCGCCTGGCCGTGGTCGTCGTCAGCTGTGTGGCCCTTGTCGATGTGGTGCTGGTCGACGGTCTGTGCGCCTTGTTCGGGTTTCGTCACGACGGGCGAGGCGGGTGGGCTTGCGCTCTCGATGAGCTGCTCGTGCTGCTTGACCATGGCCTCCACGGTGCACTTGGGCGGGCGTGAGGGGGGCTGTGGGGGTGTGGTGCGCTCGAGGGCGTCATTGCTGTGGTCGGATGGTGTCTGGAACTCCTGCTGCTGCTGCTGCTGCTGTTGGTCAGCCTGCCGTCCGCCGTCGCCATCGGTCTCCTCTGCGGGTTGGTTGCTGTCCTCTGGCTGGACGGCGGGTGACTCGTCCACAGTGGCATCAGCTGCGCACAGACAAACACATAGAGAGGGGGAGAAGACGGGAAACGTGTGGCAGAGGGGTGTAGTGGTGTTGTCTGATGGTGCAGTGGTGTGGAGGGGTGTGCGGCGGTGGTGGCGAGGCCTCTCTGACGTGTTGCTGACCCCAACGTGGTGGCGCGCGACCCCTCTGACCACGTGTGTGTGCTGGTCTACACCCCCTGCCCCTTCCCCCCCGCTCACCGGGCTGCTCGTGTGGTTTGCTCTCGGTGTTTAGCTGTTCTTGGTTGCCGTCGTTGCCCTCTCCCTGCTGGTCTCCGTCGACGGCACCAGCCTCCTGGTGCTCGGTGGTGGTGATGTGGCCGTTCTCGGCTGTGGGCTGCTGTTGCTGCGCCTCAGGGGAGTCGCCACCGTCTTGACCGACAGGGGAGGGGTCTGCACACACGCGCACCACACCCCCCCCCCCACACACATACAACACCATGTTGGACGCGAGACACGTGTGGCGTGTGGTGCGGTGTGTGAGGGTGTGTTTTGGCTGTGTGTGGGTGTGCGGTGGTGTGTGGTGTCGGCGCTAGAGGGTGTGTGATGAGATGCCGGGCTGGCGTGGACGTGGGGAGGTGTCTTGGTGTCTGCCCGTGCCACCCGTGCCCGTCTCCGTACCTTGCTCGCCGTGTTCTTGGTCTGACATGGTGCGCAGTCTGTCAAGAAGGCCCTTGCCGTGACCGCCTGGCTCAGTGCTCCTCGGGAAACCTCAACACGTCGCCAACCTGGACAGACATGCGCACCAAAGACACACAATGCGCCAAATGCATGAGTCTTCCTGCGAGGATCTCCCCTCCTCGCCCTCGCCCGTGCGCCACTGACCCGCTGCCTCTCTCCCTAGAGGCCTGGCTCCCTGCCCGGATGAATCAGCACGACGCTGTCTGCCTGATGTGGCATGCACTTACCTGGTTTGGTCTCAGGAGCTTCGTGAGGGCTCCCTGTCGCCACACGTAGAGAGATTGGAACACAGGAAATTCCCGAAAGGAGAGAAAAGGCCGAAAAACTCGGAGGCTCTCGAAGGTCGTCGGCTCGCTCGGTCTTGAAACCCTAGCCCTGTAGAACCCTGGCGGTTTCTTTCAAAGGAGAGGACGCGAACTGGCCTCATGCAGTGAAGATCTGCCTTGCGTGGAGCTCGTATCCGGGGAGAAGGCGAACAACCGCCACATCGGCAAGCTCATCTCACCTCCGATGTGTCGTTCCTCACGCGCTGCACAGCCCTCGCCAACACCTCACCATGCCCCAGGCAGTCGGCTGCAGCTGCCCAGGGACAACGATCTGCCGCCCTTCCCTCCCCCTCTCTATGACGGCGAGAAGCATAAGCAGAAGGCGGCTGCAGAGGGCACAGAGGGCACAGAGGGCACAGAGGGCACACAGAGAGAGGGAGGGCATCCATCCATCCATCCATCCATCCATCCATCCATCCATTTTTCCTTTGTGTTGGTTTTGCGTTCCAGACTCCTGAGGGAAGCGCGAATATAACCCCTCCGTCTGGCCCAGCGCCCACCAAGCCCGTCACTCCACCCCCTCCCCAGGGCGTGCAGCAGCAGCACCAGCAGCAGCAACCTCCGATGCAGCCACCGCCACCGCCATCGATGAGTGACATGCCCTCAGCGGTCTGAAGCAGCTGAAGATGAACACCATCAGCGCTTTCGCCGGCAAGCGCAGACGGCTGCTGGGGGCTCCCTATCCGGGGTTGGCCAGGGATTTCCTCGAGTTCTTCCTGGACCGAATGGACGCCTTCCCATCCCAGTGGATGAAGAGGGTCATCACTCTGTTGGTCGTGAGTGACAGCTAGACTGTCGTGTAGCCACTGGCTGCCTGGGTAGTAGGGAGGGAGGGAGGGAGAGAGGGAGGGGTGGTTGTTTTTGTACGTTTGTGCGATGCAATGACATCATCATCGGATGCATGACATGATGGGTGTACAGTAGCCTGACTGTCCTGTGGATCAGAGACGGATGACTTGCGTGAGGACCAGCGGCTCAGCTCGTCTGCGGCCGTGTGTGAGTCTTTTTGCTCGCTAAGGGGATGACAGCCTTGTCCCATGCGGTTGCGTCTTTATCCAGCAAACAAGGTGGTATGTCTACTAAGGTAGGCTGCTTCGCATGTGGCTGACGTCTGATGGACTGACAACCGCATTTGTTTTATGTGGTTGCGGGCACGGCTTTTCCTCATGCACATATCTCTGCCCTGCCCTGTTCTGTGGGCTGCGTATCCTTGGTCCTGTGCTGTCCTCTCAGCTGTTGTCTGAAGGGGCGATGAGGCCTTCCAATGAATGGCCGTGCAGGGGGGAGACAAGGAAGTGGTGCCCTACGTGTCGTGTTTGGACAGCGGCAGGGTGCAGTGGTCGATTACGTGCGGCGTGGAGGGCGGGTGCTTGAGCGATGCATGGCTAGAATGTGAACACATTATGGCTTTCGCTCTCGTACATGCCTCTCGTCGACCACATTGCAAAACTGGCGAAGAAACCCAGGTGGGTCTTCCGTGTGGTGTGTGTGTGTATGGAGGGGACGGGTCGAGAGCAGAGCAACCATTGAGTGCATTGCCTTGCCAAGTCATTAACGCCATGCACGTACGTGTACGTGTGTCTGTTCATGCATGGTATGCGAGTCAGCCGTGTCGAAAGAGAAGGAAGTGGTTGCCGCCTTTGGTGGTGCTGTGGATGGTGGCCTCGCAGCGGAGGAGGGAGAGGGCCGCCGCGCGCGGGACATCAGCTCGGAGAAGTGGCGAGCACTCGCTGCAGACACACACACAGACAGAGAGACATAGACGTTGATGCATGTGTCCATGATCCTGTTATGTGTTCACTGACCGTCTGAGGTGCCCTCGTCCTACTTTGCCTCTGCCGCCACACACAGCGTTGCGCACGTGATGATTCCTCGCTCCATCACTGAGTCTCACCTAGTCTCACCTCGGGAAGGGGCTTCACTCTTTCTCGCTCGGAATGGCAGATCAATTGCGGCAGATCGAAGGCTCAAAGCGTCAGAAAGGTGTTGGCGGAGGCAAGCGACGTCCGACGGGCCGCTTCACCCTTGCTTTCGTTCATTTCCTCGCCGATCGCTGCTCGGCTGCCGAGAATTTCGCGACGGGGGCAGAGACGGCCTCCCCTCTTTTTTTTGTTTACTGTATTTTCATGATGTCGGGCGTTGGAGGCTGTTATTCAAAGCTTTGTGCAGCGAATCGGTTGCCATGGACGCGGCTGCGGCGGCGAACAGCTGCGGCGGCGAACAAGGACTGGCAAGGAGGTGCCGGAAGAGGGCACAGCAATGGGTGAGGAGCCGGGCGACAGCGCCAGCGCCAGGAGGTGGTGGCTTATTGGGGAGGACAGGTTGCTGACGGACGAGGAGATCGATGCCATGATGCCGAGCGACGAGGAGATGGCGGCCATCGCCGAGCAGCGTCGGCGCGACAATGAGGACCTCAGGCCCGAGGACATCGCTGCGGTGCGGAGGCTCATCGCCCTCCACCGCGACCCTCGGGCCACCGACGAGGAAGTCCTACGAGCCAAGCAAGAGATACCGAGAGAGGTAAGGAGAGCACGAGGGATGAGGGCCGAGGGCAGAAGAGACGCAGAGAGAAGTCGGGCTCAGCTGTCACAGCAACGCCAAAAGGTGGGATGCTCTGCTGCATGTATTCCTTCCAGGTGCTCCGCATCGCGCTCAACGGGCTGGAGCCACACGAGATTGAGGAGCTCGAGCAGGCAATTGTGCGGAACTGCCGCTGTGTCGCCTGTAAGTAGAGAGAGATGGAGAAGGCATAAAAGACGTGACACTCGACGACATACTTTCCCTTCTTCCCTTTGTCTGTCTTCCCCAGCCAACATCGCTGCTGAGCGAGGCGTCCCTCTGCCCAGTTTGTTTCCGCCGCCCCAAAACGTGAAACGCTTTCAGTGAGCGCCATGATGACGGACGAGGAGACCAACGCCATGATGCCGAGCGACGAGGAGATGGCCGCCATCATCGAGCAGCATCGACGGGACAAGGAGAACCTCAGGCCCGAGGACGTCGCTGCGGTGCGGAGGCTCATCGCCCTCCACCGCGACCCTCGGGCCACCGACGAGGAAGTCCTACGAGCGAAGCAAGAGATACCGATGGAGGTAAGGAGAGGGACGAGGGATGAGGGCCGAAGAGACTTGGGAAGAGACGCAGGAGAAGACGCTAAGGAGTCATTGTGGCACTGCTGCATATATTCCTTCCAGGTGTACCGCACCGTCTGCCATGGGCTGGAGCGCGACGAGATCGAAGACCTCACCAAGCTCCTGATCAGGAACTGCCGCCATGCCGCCTGTAAGTAGAGATGGAGAAGGAATGGATGACATGACTTTCTACGACATACTTTCCCTTCTTCCCTTTGTCTGTCTTCCCCAGCCAACATTGCCGCTGAGCGAGGCGTCGCCCTGCCGACGTCTCCCCACCCCTTTCTCGCCACACACGCCCCTCCCCCTGCCCCCGCCGTCTCCGACGCCCCTCCCTCTCC